GAAGCTCTACCCACTCGGCCACCGAGGCGGAAGTCCTTGGAATTATTGATTAGTAGAACAGCTGTTGCAAGTAATTATATTTCTATAAATATGTCTACATTTTGAGTGAATTGTTTTTGTTTGGATATTTACAAAAATGCCTAATGATTCTCTCTACCCGTAAAGGTCCGGGTTAGAATTTGATCCTCAGTAACCCATGCTTGTCGTAAGAGGCGACTAACGGGATCGGGTGGTCAGGCTCGCTGACTTGGTTGACACATGTCATCGGTTCCTAATTGCGCAGATCGATGCTCGTGCTGTTGATCACTGGATTGTCTGGTCCAGACTCGGTTATTTACAGACCGCTGCCATATAGCTGGAATATTGCTGAGAGCGGCGTAAAACTAAACTCACTCGATGTTAACACTTTGGTGAAACCCACAAGCACATGTTGCTGACAAAACAGATTCTGTTTCTCAGTTTATCAGCAACATGTGCTTGTGGGTTTCACCAAAGTGTTAACAGTGAGTGGAGAGTTTAGTTTACTCCTTAGCCAATGTTCCAACTATATGGCAGTCAGTCGAGTCTGGGCCAGTAGTGATCTGGGAAGCTCCACAGAGAGTCTGGATTTCGAACTGCGAATCTGACCACCCGATCCCGTTAGTCGCCGCTTACGACAAGAATAGGTTACTGAAGATTAATTCTAACCCGGATCTTCACGGGTCCAAAGTGTTAACAAATAAGGATGACATTCTTCAGAGCATACCTCCGACGTCGAGATAGTGTAACAGAAATACTGCTCTCAGTTGCTGAATATACTCCGACAATGCAAATTCGTTTTAAATAATCAAATTGAGTTTTAAGTATAGCACACAACCTAAATCACAGAACAAGGCATTAAGAAGTAATTATTCTCTGCTATAAATTTAATAAACTTTTGTTATCTTGATAAATTGGAGTATTACGTTATTATATGACAAAAGCTTTTTATGAAGCATAATGATGACCAAGGCGATTAATTATCACTTCCAATATTATATAGTCATCACATTTTACTCTCATCGACCGATGGAAACTTACAATCCATCGGTAGTTCAAAGAATCGTTAAATCGCTGTTAATCCATAATAAAGATTTTTCTTTCTGACAATGGGTACAATGTGTAAAGCCCATTTCTGGTGTCCCCCGTCGTGATGTTGCTGGAATATTGCTAAAAGTGGCGTGAAACCACTCAGTCAGTCAGTCTTTCTGACATAAAAACCACTGGCAATATTTATAGAACCCCATGCGAGGAACGTAATTCCCGAACGTCACTGAACAAAACAGAAGAGGTGTAATAATCCATTTTACATTTAACTTCATTCGGTCCCCCGGAGCGGTGGGCTAGCCTAGTGGTTAAAGCGTTCGCTCGTCACGCTGAAGACCCGGGTTCGATTCCCCATGTGGGTACAATGTGTGATATTGCAGGAATACTGCCAAAAGCGGCGTAAAACTAAACTCACTCACTCACTGTGCAGGAAACAATCTATCGCTGATTTATAAAATGTCGGCTCATATTTCTGTGATTCAAATAACTGTCCACGGAGTCCAAAACTTGGTTAATGGTTTATTCAGGGTCTCGGAATATGTTTCACATGAGACAAGTGAAGTATCAATAGCGCTGGCGTTGTCACATCAGCTTCACTCAGAGGACGTCGCACCAAAGACTAAAACGGCGAGATATCATTTGACCAAAAGCTTTATATCGGTACTACTGTCATAAAGCAACATGACCATTGATGTATTATAGTGGTGGTCCGATTAATTGAAATAATCGAAGATTGGTCGCAGTGATTAAACGACCAAGCAATCGATCATGTTTTCTCATAATCGAACACAAACAATTCTGGAACATTTGTTTGCATTAATAATATTTTTCACAAGGCTGGTTTTGTCTGTCATTAAATTTACATTTTATAATCACTACAAGCTCGTTCCATGTCATGATTGAATTTATCTTAAAGACTTCAAGAAATTTATGTTCCTAACATACTAGTCATCCTTTAAAGATGTGAAATTTACAAGTGCATTTTGTGCAATTTGCAAAAAACAAAAAGAAAATACATGTTTTTTCTTTCTTTCTTTTTTCCTTAACAAAAATAACCAGGAAAATGTCATAAATGACGCTAACCAATTATTTTCGATGATTGATCGGTTGTAATGAACCAATCATCAATTATGAGGTTTTAAACAATTCCCATCACTAAATTGTATTATGTATCATAGATAAGACTATAAAAGAGGAATAATACAACATGTAGCTATGTTACTCAGGGCCATGTTCCTCAAAGCGATCGTTGCGCTAAGGTGATCGTAACTCCCATTGAATTACGACAGTCGTAGCGCTACGATCGCTTTGAGGAACGGGGCCCAGGTCACAGTGCATTTGTACAATAGCTACTCTACGACGTTAACTATCTCTGCGGGCTCGGTTTAAATGCAGTGTCAGTAATAATACTTATATACGAATGACATTTGGCACTAACTGTCTGTTTACACTGGGGCGGTGGGGTAGCCTAATGGTTAAAGCGTTGGCTCGTCACGCCGAAGACCCGGGTTCGAATCCCCACATGGGCACAATGTGTGAAGTCCATTTCTGGTGTTCCCCGCCGTGATGTTGCTGGAATATTGCTAAAAGCGGCGTAAAACCAAACTCAGTCAGTCAGTCAGTCAGTCTGTTTACACTAAACATACAATAGTCATGGCGCCTTGCATATAATAATGGGACAGCCACACAAGTGACAGAGCATCGAACCACGCAGACACGTCAACAAACCGGGCGCGGTTGTACAAAGCATCCTTGGCACAAGGGCAGTCATAAGTCTATGTTTAGGTATAGGAGTTACGATCATCGAAGCAGTACGACAGGCATAAGTCTATGTTAAGGTATGGGAGTTACGATCATCTTAGAAGTACGACAGTCAATAGCTTATGTTGAGGTATGGGAGTTACGATCATCTTAGCAGTACGACAGTCTTAAGTCTATGTAAAGGTATGGGGGTTAACATCATCTTAGCAGCCCGACAGGCATAGCCTATCTTAAGGTATGCGAGTTCGATCATATTTGCAATACAACAGTCATAACCTTATGTTATGGTATGGGAGTTACGATCATCGAAGCAGTACGACAGGCATAAGTCTATGTTAAGCTATGGGAGTTACGATCATCTTAGAAGTACGACAGTCAATAGCTTATGTTGAGGTATGGGAGTTACGATCATCGAAGCAGTACGACAGTCATAAGCTTATGTTTAGGTATGGGAGTTACGATCATCGAATTAGTACGACAGTCATAAGTCTATGTTGAGGTATGGGAGTTACGATCATCGAAGCAGTGTGACAGTCATAAGTCTATGTTGAGGTATGGGAGTTACGATCGTCGAATCAGTACGACAGTCATAAGTCTATGTTAAGGTATGGGAGTTACGATCATCTTAGAAGTACGACAGTCATAAGCTTATGTTGAGGTATGGGAGTTACGATCATCGAAGCAGTACGACAGTCATAAGTGTATGTTGAGGTATGGGAGTTACGATCATCGAATCAATACGACAGTCATAAGTCTATGTTGAGGTATGGGAGTTACGATCATAGAAGCAGTACGACAGTCATAAGTCTATGTTAAGGTATGGGAGTTACGATCATTTTAGCGCTAAGATGGCCCAGCACAGCGACACCTGATCCTGGTACCTAAAAGAATAACATGAAAAATATTTATTGAACTAAGGCATATTCGCTCTAAAGGTCTTAAATTCCAAGTCCGTCTACATTCAGATATGTAAGATTGATTGAGCGAATTACCTAAACAGGATCTAGCGTTAGGTATATTTTTTAAATATTTAAGTATCTGTTGATGATTAAAGAATAAACAGTCTCGTGTATCGCCAGAGAAGTCAAAGTTGGTCGGAAATGGTAAAACAGTGATGAAAATTAAATAGGAATGGATCATGATGCGAGGAGTTTGCAAAAGGAAAAGCGTGTCTTGTTCTCCCGGAAGCAAAATGGTTGTGTTACTGGCTGGTTCTTTTTTTCTTGGCCTAATCTTCCACAGTCCAGTGGAGGTTCGCATGCGTGAATTGTTTAATAATCACTAACAAAGCAGAAGAAGCCTGTGCTGGAACCACAATTTATACAGAAAGACCTGAACAAATGTCACTTAACCGAACAAAGACAATGTTTGAAAAATCTTAAAACGTACTTTTATTTATTTTTTATTTTTAAACCAACAACTAACCAAGAATACGGATGTAAATAATAGAATACAGTCACAAAACAGACCAGCATGTGATTAAACTTGGATTTTCATTTATTTCAATATGGAAAAAATAGAAAAGGGCAAACTGAAATACTTTTCACTAAATGCATACTAGGATCGAATTCAGCATGAAATTATTCATTTCTTTATAAATATCCTTCACAATCGACGAAGGTACAAATGCCATTTACCAAAGTTTGATATCCACGCAGCTCCTTGAATCACATCACCAGATCTGGCCATCGGGTGTGAAGACGACAAGCGTTGCAATCTGGAGATCTGTCTCTCACATAGGTCTGAGGCTATATAGCTCTTCTTGAATGTACGATAAATACAATAGTTATCAACTCCACACTAAGGCTGTATCAAACATCATGATGACATGAAAGTGTTTGGGGTACCTTGATTTCATACACACGTGCACCTTTATTGACTGGGTTCAAACGAAAGTCTATGGAATTCCTCACGTTCATTGATCGGGTTCAACGAATGTCTATAGTATATCTCACGTTGACAGATTGGGTTCACATGAAAGCCTACAGGACATCTCACGCTAATTGACTGGGTTCACATGAAAATCTATAGGATATCTCACGTTCACTGACTGGGTTCAAATGAAAGCCTGTATGACATCTCACATTCACTGATTGAGTTCTCATGAAAGTCTATAGGAGATCTCACGTTCATTGATTGAGTTCTCATGAAAGTCTATACGATACTAGTATCTCACGTTCACTGACTGGGTTCAAATGAAAGCCTATATGACATCTCACATTCACTGATTGAGTTCTCATGAAAGTCTATAAGAGATCTCACGTTCATTGACTGGGTTCACATTAAAGTCTATAGGGTATATCACATTTATTGAGGTAATCAATATGAAAGAACAACCGACCTTCGCTGATGCTGTTCACGTGAAATTCTTTTGGACATGTAACCTTCACAGTTTGGGTTAAAGCTGCAGGACATGTTCGATCTATGGATGCGTTCCTTGTGTCTTGGGGACTGTAATGTCTCATTTCCCACATAGGACGTAATGGCTATCGTATATAATCCATGTGGATATCATTCAGCGATTTATCATCTATAATTGTATCCTACAAATTGGGTAGAATGTGGTTTGGGTCTTTCATCATTATCCTTGAAACAATACAGCAATCTATGCACAGGACCTATGCCCGCTGTGGTAGAGAAGGGTTGGTTCAGTCATGGGACCAATGTTCTCATAAATGCACACGTCCGGGCACCTGTACCGGGTTGCTTCACGTGACAAACGTCATGAAGGAGTCAACGTACCTGCAAATGTAATTTCCAGTGCTTTAAGAACGTGTTAGTTTTAGATTACAAATATAGTCTTGCAATGTTATTTGTGAGACAATATTGATGTTTGAGAGGTGAGGTGAGGTGAAATTGGGTTTAACGTCGTGCCTGAGAATATTTCGCTCATATGACGACGCGCATGCGTGTGTATGTGTATGTGCGACTGCTTGTACTTGTACTTTTATAGTGCTAGCTCACTGAGATACCATGCCGCAGTGAAGCATGAATACCCCACTCAGACACAGTATACTGACTCCGACCCGACCAGTCCTTGTTGACCCAATAATGCCGAGCGCCAGGCAGGGACCAACAAGTACCATATTTTAACGTCTTTTGGTATGACGCGGTCTGGGATCGAACCCGCGACCTTCCGCTCTCGATGTTTGAGAGACATCACTCGTGAGACATTGTTGTTGTCTGACAGACCGATCCTGATGGCCATACCTGGTTGTGACAGCGCAAGACCGGAAGTTTGCGAGAGACACTACTGGCGACAGCTACGACTCATGTTCTTCTTAAGAGTCGCCACCTTGCCCGGCTTCTCAGAATATGTCGGATGAACAGAGTGGCAAATATTACACCAAGCACCTGTGGATATGACAAATTAACATACAAATGTAATGCATAACATTCACTACTACTACTACTACTACTATTACTACTACTACTACTACTACTACTACTACTACTACTACGACTACTACTACAGTGTAAGGGACGAGCGTGTACAGTTGTCTAAATGCAATAAATCACTTCCTGTCTCTTAATCAAACCAAGGACAGCTGGGCCAAAGGTTCGAAACGTTCGTAGCACCAAGAATTCTTAACTTTGATCGTAGCCCATGGGTTAAAAAATTGGCTTAAGACGTTCGTAGGGCTACGAACGTTTCGAAAATCTAGGTCCTGGTCGAGAGCTCAAATTCGATATTAACCCTGCGCAGTAACAATACCGAGCACGCTGATTTCCGACCACCTTTCCTGGACCATTGTTCTCACTTAAACATAATTTTACAAAGCATAATTATTGTTAACTTACATTTAATGTTGTATCTAATTTCCAATGGGGCCGTTATCTTGCTTTCACTTTTTTCTACTTTCTATGACACAAGGCTTTAACCATAGCTACACAGACTTCAACCCAGGGTAAGAGCCCACGTTGACAGTTCTTCTATTAAGTTGACGCGCCGTGCATATAAATGAAATGTTATGAATTGTCCACAAGCATCATTACACAGACTGTGACTCACTTGAGGTGTGACAAAGGCCAACAGGAGACCACCTATGTATGATTCATTGCCTCGCATCCAGTCCGCCAAGCCCCGCATGCAGCCCTTGGTGTTGATTCTGTGGAGTACTTTGCTCCTCTGAATATCAACAGAAGCATCAGAGTAGGCAAACAACGCTAATGAAGAACGCTAACATCAGAGTGTGTCGCGGACAATCATCTCCGGGGATACTGTTCAGCTCTGGACGTCGTTATAGGGATATCACTTAGCACTTTGACACACGGATAGGCTATTTTAACATTGAATGGGTTCTATTAATACATAATGCCATTTAGAAAGTGGTCAAATGTAAGATCTGTAATATTTGGGTTATTAAACTAGTAATAACGTTTCTGTGACAGAACTTCAAATTTATGCTTCTAGTCAGTAAAATCGTCTGTAAATCTCTTACTTTTGGCGATGTAGCATGCAAGAGGAATAATTCAAGTGTATTAGATTAGAATTTAGACTCACAGGAACAATGGCATTTGGAAGCTTTACATTAGAACTCTATTAATTGATTTAATCGGACTTGTATCCTATTGGATATAAAAATGTTTACATGCTGACTTGCATCTTCTATTTCCGGAAATGGGACAACATTGCTTCACGGACCAAAATATTGAAAACATATTTACCGGTTTGTTTGTAGTATCGAAACCGCACATGACATTGATATAGTCTCCCTGAAAAGAACAGTTTGATATCACCCGTGGCAGTGTAATATCACATGTGGCAGTTAAATATCATATGTGACAGTTCAATATCACATGAGAGGTTCGCAAGATGTTTTATGGTGTGCATAGGAACTAAGACTTATAACAAAGATTAACAACAACCTGTAGGTAGGTTTATATCTTGATTCTAAATATAGACAGTAGTAGGCAGCAAGATGCCTTATAGAAAGGATATGTAAAGATTATGTAGGTACAAACGGACTTTTATCTAGTATAAGATGGTGATGTAAGTTGATTACAGATTCGAATATACAGAATGACGCCTTATGAAAAACAAATCAAGATACCTACGGGCTCGATTATGGAGAATGATGCCTTATCAAAAGGATATGTAAGAAGCTTACAGGCTCGAATACTAGTAAGCCGCTTGATGCCTTATCAAAAGGGTATGTAAGAAGTTTACTGGTTCGAATATGCCGCTTGATGCCTTATCAAAAGGCTGTGTAAGGTATCTACTGGTTCGAATATGCCGCTTGATGCCTTATCAAAATGATATGTAAGGTACCTACTGGCTCGAATATGCCGCTTGATGCCTTATCAAAATTATATGTAAGGTACCTACTGGCTCGAATATGCCGCTTGATGCCTTATCGCTCGAATACTGGCTCGAATTGCCGCTTGATGCCTTATCAAAATGATATGTAAGGTACCTACTGGCTCGAATATGCAGCTTGATGCCTTATCAAAATTATATGTAAGGTACCTACTGGCTCGAATATGCAGCTTGATGCCTTATCAAAATTATATGTAAGGTACCTACTGGCTCGAATATGCCGCCTGATGACTTATCAAAAGGATATGTAAGGTACCTACTGGCTCGAATATGCCGCCAGATGACTTATCAAAAGGCTATGTCAGAAGCTTACGGGCTCGAATATGCAGCATGACACGGGCACAGCACACCTCTCTGTACTGGGGTTGCTGGCGGAGCAGTTGAAGTAGCGGTTGAGCTGCCAGTCCATGTAGCCGATGTTGTTGTGGCTCATGCCGCAGCACTGGAACTGAGTGAGTGAGTAGGTTCATTTAACACGGCGTTAGATGTTAGAGCATTTCAGCTACATCACGGGGTGTGATCATAACGTGAGAAGCAGGTCGTTACTACTGTGGTGTAAACAACGGACATGGATATAGTGCTGACAGACATGCCAAGAAACATCTTTAGGTTGAATCTTGGATTAGAACCCAGAATATAATTATTCTGGCAGGCAGCTGCTCAGAATGGGAGTTACGATCATCTCAGCGCTACGATCGCTTTGAGGAACGGTACCCAGGGCCCCATTTCACAAAGCGATCGTAGCTCTAAGGTGATCGTAACTCCCATACTTTAACATAGACTCACGACAGTCGTAGCGCTACGATCGCTTTGTGAAACGGGTCCCTATGACCCCCCAGCCCAAGTAACTGAACATTGTGACAATCACGTCATGGTTCCCATGGCTGTACGGGTGCGGGATTGACAACCTACGCGCCACACTATGAAGCATGACCCCAAGAAATACTTGTTGTAGAAATATACATTGTTGAAAGGTCGACGCGTGGTTTTGAAAGGCGCCAACATTCGAAAATATTTATTCTCGCACTATTCAAGGAAATGCGTAATTTTACAATACAAATCACATGTTTGACAACAAAACACTGGCTAATTCATTATTTTATGCATTGTTCAAATGTTCTGATCGATGACTGCGGGGTTTATAATACAGTTGGAATAAAATGTACCTCTTTCTGTATCAGATCGATCCATTTCCGTTTCTCTTCGTCGTCATGGTAACGCTTGATGGCGTCCCTCAGTATCATTTCTGGTCCAGACAGGATGGACTCCCTGGCTTCTGGCATGGTGTAGAACACGAACACCAGGATACCGATACCCACCTGGATGACCAGCACGACCACCAGACACACGCGGAACTGGAACAGTGAGTGAGTGAGTGGTTTAATCTCGCTTCTAGCAGATACAACTGTCAACGCATGTACAAGGATGTTCGATATCGATGCAGGTCCAGTTTGAAGCCCACAGGTATGTTGTTGACAAACAGGAACAAACAAGGATTCTTTTTCTACAAACAGCCGATCCGGGCACCTAAGGGTATTCCCTCTACAAATTTCAAACATCTTAAACAGTTTGGGTTAAAACTATGGTGAATGTAATAGTGCGCTTGCAACTTTACACAAAACATAAAGGTTTGCATGAAGCATTTTGGGGATATTTGAACAAGACTACGTCTTTGACGCAGATGCAAATAGATCTAGAGACAGCAATCAAATGGAAACAAATACATGTATGTTGTACAGAGGACTTCCTTAAAGCCTTCCTCTTGAACTTGGAATACCATTTTTACGCATAATACCATTTTCACGTACTTCACGAAAGACGTACATACAAGCATGTTTGAGAAAAAGAGAATGTCTGATAATCTTAATTTCTGATTAGGTGTGTCAGTGGCTTAGTAAGGAAAGAGTCCTTTTCCTACTTGGTCCTTCAATAGTTTCAATAATACTGATCCTCTCGTTTTTCATGCTACAATATATATCAACTACTGCTAGCATAGTTCGTTTACCACAACTGCAGTATGTGCATGTACAGTTGCGAAACTGTGTTGAAAAATGGGGGCTGATATAATGAGTAACGCCAAGTGCCGAGCAATTTAAAGGGGGTGTCATGTAATCATGCTGTTAGTCTACATTACCGGTTAATAAACAGTGTTCATTGTATACACGGTTCCCATTTTGGTAGTGAAGGTAACTGTCAGTTTATTTGGATATCCGGAAATTCGTTTAAGCGTCGAATATTGGAGAAAACGTGTCGCATAAGCGAGGTTCGATTGTACATTGACTGACGACAATGCTCGCAACCATGAAGATATTGTGATGGTGATAATGATAACGATACTAATGTCTAAGGGAGTAGACATATATGGGATTAGCTGGAGTAGATATATATGGGATTAGCTGCAAGAAGTTTCACTGACCAGTTTGTAACAGTGAGAAGTACTCATACAAGGGGTCTCTGACAGGAGGAGACAACGCGTAAGGGAGTAGATATATATGGGATTAGCTGCAAGAAGTTTCACTGACCAGTTTGTAACAGTGAGAAGTACTCATACAAGGGGTCTCTGACAGGAGGAGACAACGCGTAAGGGAGTAGATATATATGGGATTAGCTGCAAGAAGTTTCACTGACCAGTTTGTAACAGTGAGAAGTACTCATACCAGGGGTCTCTGACAGGAGGAGACAACGCGTAAGGGAGTAGACATATATGGGATTAGCTGCAAGAAGTTTCACTGACCAGTTTGTAACAGTGAGAAGTACTCATACAAGGGGTCTCTGACAGGAGGAGACAACACTTTAACCACTGAAAACTTACAATCTTCAACAAGCGTACGTTTTCCCTGAGGGCGCCTAGAAAGCCGAAGAATGCGACGATGAAGATGGTGCAGCCCACGATGCATAGCATGACGGCGGGGTCGAGGAAGAAGTAGCCGCCCCCGGCGAATATCTGCCCCTTGGAGGACAGGATCCAGTATCCGAACGCGAACAGCACCACCCCGGCCACCTGCACAACATGGGAACTCAGTGTCTTGACACAAAGAAGCTCATTTACATAGTTACAAAAGAAATGAATTCACAAGCCAGACAATCCAGTGATCCGTTTTACCACTGCGTTAGTCGCCTCTTTACCAAACAGATACGCTTTTGTAGCAGGGCAGGGCAGGGCAGGGCAGGGCAGGGCAGGGCAGGGCAGGTATGCATATAGTAACACTGCGTTGGTCGCCTCTTTGGACAAGCATGGGTTACTGAAGACCAGTTCTAACCCGGATCTTCAGGGGGATATTTTGTATTCCAAATAATAGACATGAAAACTGAATTTGAACAAGAAAAATACAAAAGTTATGAAAATATTGCTAAGGTGAAAATGCAGCCGAAAATCTGAAACCGTAAGGTCAAAAGGACAACTGTGCTACCGGTATCAAATCCATATCCATCAACCATTTCAAAACATTAAAAGAAAAATCAACCATTGTGTGCTTGTTCTATCTAGCTCCCAATATACAAGGGTGTTCATATCAGAGAGTTACAAAATACGAAACAAGATTAATCATCTCTAACATTGAGAAGTGGTTATTATCAGACTGCATAGATGTTGATGTCGTACAATGGACTGTACTTTTGGCAAAGGTTTCTTATGATTACGTGAAGGGTTTACGTCGCAATAAATTTCGCCCAAAATCATCCCAATTCAACAGACAAAGAAAAACGACGTTCGTCTTATAGATGTTGAACATTACAGTTGAATTCTGGGCCTATTTCAGTTTGATGATTCCGATATACGGCATTATCACTACAAATGAAATTGTTGTGATGAAAATGCATTTTACTCAAATAGAAGCTGATTGTGTTCTCAGAATCAAGTTCAACTAATTGAACGGCAAGGTTAATCAGATGATAACTCATCTATTATCAGACCTCCAGTCGCTTTATTAATTACTGGCAGTTCCCATGAAATAACTATGAGGTTGTCGTTAGAGAGAGAGCGCGGGATATTATCGTCTAGTATTGATTCCTAATCTACATCAACAGAGCAAAGCAGATGCAGTTGACAACACATTAAAATGTCATCTCAATGTTCGTGTGAATTAACAATAACACTAGGAGATAGATTACTAAAATGTATTAGTTATGATGAGAATCCGATATGTTGAGAGTGATGCCTCTGTTTGATATGACAGTTATCCATCTATCACAGATCTCGCTGCTGGATCTATGTGCGGATGCAAGCACTAAGTCATATCAGTATAGACCATTTGAATAAACACATCATTAAGCTGAATGTTGAACTAGAGGCACTTTACATGCCCTCGTTGAGGCCCTCGAAAGGAACTTGGTTAGCGTCAGCTGGAAGGTTTTGCAAGTTTTTCAAAAGCAATTTTCATACAATAACATGAGTTATACCAAGTGACATACATTCGTACATACAGTTTGTCCGCCGTGACATTGCTGGAACATTGCTAAAAGCGGCGTAAAACTAAACTCACTCATCCACTCGTACAGTTTGTCTCATACGCAAAGCTCATATTGAAACCTCAAGAGTAAGTGAGTTTAGTTTTACACCGCTTTCAGCCATATTCCAGTAATATCACGGATGGGGAGGGGGGCACCTGAAATGGGCTTCACACATTTTACCCATGTGGGGAATCGACCCCGGGTCTTCGGCGTGACAAGCGACCGCTTTAACCACTAGGCTACCCCACCACCCCAAAACCTCAAGACCTACACAAGAACTAACCAAAGGAATCTCCATTTACTGATCATATACAAAATGAATTATATTTTCTTCCAGCTTCTAAAAGCCAAGGATGTCTTTTTCTGATGAAGTAAAAATAATAATAAAAATCTGTCAGATGATCAATAAGCTCAAACTTTCATATTTTACAATGTTCGTTTTCGTAAAATTTATAAACTCACCCAGAATAGAAAATTGAAGATAAATATAGAATACTTGAGGAACAGTCCACATAGGTATTCCCTCCGGTAGTTGGCAGGGGTCATCCGTCGTTCTGGTACATACAACTCAGTGCTGGAGTCGTGCTCCTCCTCCCGCTCAGTCCCCTCCTCTCTCAGCGCACTGTACTTCCCTGGAGACATTCCATCATCCCCTTTACTGTCCTGTGTAGCAGACCTGATCACAGAAGGTGCTGCTCCGCCTGGCCCATCAGAGAAGCACGTTTCTTGAACCTCTTCCCGTGGTTGTGAGGGATCGCTTAACTTGAGTCTCACAGAGTTATCTCCCCTTGGGTTGTCTCCCTTTTCGTCGCAACATTGTGGCTGTTCATTAGACTCTCTAAATTCTGCAAGCAGGTTGTCGGTTGATTCTGTCGCACTGGGTTCATGTGGGTGTGCTAACTGTCTGTGTTCTTTCATAGCTTTTGGTCGAGGTAGTCTCCATGGATCATTTTGATGTTTGTCTTTGGAGGAGACCGTTAGAGTCGGCCAACAGTTGGTGTCACCGGTCTTCACAACATGGTCAGCCGACTGAGCCGGGACACTACCTGTGCCATGGTGTGCGTCTTCCTCAGAATCCATGAAAAGGATGTCTTCCTCGTCAGCAATAGGCGCTGAAATAGAATTGTTTAAAAGTTTATAAATAGAGTTGTGTCAATCGTCCAGAGTGCTATAAACAAAGGAAATTAGACCTTTACCCTACTAATTTGTTGTCCTTAGTCTTTCTACTCCGTACTGGTGCTTTTCTACTGAGATGAGTCCGTTTTTGGCTTTCGGTTCAAATTGGCATCGAACCCTACTCACCTTCGACGACTGATGTTGAATGTAAAGCTTCAGAAAGCAAACGGGTACTTATGAAGACCTCCCGTCCAGATTGGAACTATGGTCTTCTTCCCCAACTTTCCAAAAGTGACTGTGAATGTTTTGCCAGTTTTCTTATAGTAACAAGCCGTCGTGACGTCGTTACAAGCCGATGTAGACATGCAAGCATGTCTGGGCATGGCGTATACACCTGCCGTTGTTATAGATCCAGGGGTGGAAATAACCCATTGCCCGACGCCCGAGTCCAGTGTTTTTTTCTGTCGGGCAAGCAGATTTGTATATCACACTGTACCCGTGTCCAGTTGATATTCCAATGTAAATTATGTTGTTTATTTAAAATATCAAAAAGAAAACGGCCGGTATAGTGGAAAAATTATCAGGGCAAGTGATTTTACATGTGCCACTGTACCGGAGTACACTAGCAATTTTAAAGTTATTTCCACCCCTGAGATCGATGTATTCCTACTGCTAAAACGCTAAATTTGCTTGTAATCATCGAAGGTGTAGGGTTACCATGGTAATAGATATTCTATATTTTTCTCCGTAAATATCCGTAAGGTACCATATTTCTCTATAGTTTTTAACGTATTTTGTTTGCTCATTTTGAAGACATTTAGGTTAAAACTACGAAATATTTTGTCGATGTTCCCTTATACGTTGTAAGAATAAAAGCATGATTTGATTACACAATGCCATTTAGAAAGTGGTCAAATGTAACATATGTTATATTTCGGATAACACTTTGTTAGTAAATTACAGATTCTAGTACTTGTTGACACTTCAGCTGTGACAACACAATCATTTGTGAAAGCTTTTAGTGCGTGAGTTTAGTTTTACGCCGCTTTTAGCAATATTCCAGCAATATCACGGCGGGGGGACATCAGAAATGGGCTTCACACATTGTATTCATGTGGGGAATCGAACCCGGGTCTTCGGCGTGACGAGCGAACGCTTTAACCACTGGGCTAGCTCACCGCCCTCAGTGACATGAGTGAGTGTGCGCTCGTGCCCCAATTACGTAGATCTCTGCTCACAAGTGGGGAATCATGTGGGGAATCGAACCCGAGTCTTCAGCGTGACGAGTGAACGCTTTACCCACTAGGCTACACCACCGCCCCTAAAGCTTTCAGTAAATCTATAGTGGCGATTGACCATATTTACCGATCAGCTGATCACGCCTCATTTCACAAGTTATGTTTACATGTCAGACTACTCCAGTTTGATTGCCACACATCACATCGTCAAGTGTCAACATAGTGTCAATATCACTCGACCATGAAATCATACTCCATTACAACAGCGCCCATTTCAAACACAGATGATAGACGATCCCACAAATAACACGTTTCCATCACCTTGCCATGATGTCAATACGACTTGAGCTTTTTACGACAGAGAAGGTGTATAAATGTATATCTCATGGGTGACTTGCATGATATTGACAACACAATGTAAATAGACATCATTCAATATATCGACATTCTATTGTGAGTCTGATTGGTTAATCGATATATAACGTGCGGTTGAATGCCTCACGCTGATCCAATAATAGGTGTGAATTAGGCATTTTCATTCCTGTGGGATATAAATGATATCCAATATACTTGTTATCAATCTACGAATATCTGGTATCATGTTGCAAAAATGCTTCAGGCTCCAATTGTAATCGAGGCTTTCTTGTTTCCACTGCTTTGGTTGGCATTTTTTTTAAGCTCTTGCAAAATTGATACTGCAACATATCATAAGATAAATGTTTATTTGATAGTTCAGGCGTCTTTCTGTGACCGATGTCTTTTCTTTCGGTATTTGATTTGTATCAAGAGAAAGTTGATTCAGAGGCGAAAACTAATTGTAATATCGATACTCGGTCGTTTCGATCGCATGGTTGTGATAAATACAGCAAGCTCTGAGGTAGCACAGCGCCGGTTTTGCGTCACGGATATTTGATATGTAATTGACAGTGACGTCATTCAATATTGATAAAAAATCGTCGCTTGGCAACAATAGAGTAACTAACATTAAAGGCGGATGGGTTTTTTTCAGGTTTAATAATGATATACGTGGTATCTTTGATCAAATTGATTTTCGAAAATAAAAATATAACCAGGTATGGATTACCTGTCTGATGACGTAGCGCCCAGAGTCACTAACGTGCAGAAATACAGTAAATACTGGAATATATACTGAGGGAAACAAATAAGGGACCACATGAAAGTACAAGTGATACAAAGCTTGTGAAGAAACCTGGAAACAAATATAGGAACACTTGTACTTTCATGTGATCCCTTACTTTTTTCCCTCAGTATATGTTCAGATAGCGGGAAAGAAGGGGTTGGGGGTGGGGGTGTTCATTACTGATCATGAGTGAGTGAGTGAATATTGCATAACGCCGCATCAGGAATGATGCAGCTATTCGCGGCGAGATCACGGGTGAATGGGGATCGGTTTGGATTTTCGAAATGTACACTGTGATGAAAATAAAATATGCCTGCATTTTTCATGGTGGCAATGAACGACATGTTTTTCTGAAGATTATGTAGTTGATATAGTTATCGTCGTTGTGTTTCGGATCTTTTGTTTGCAGTGTTCTGAGACTGCGTTAAGATTATTAATTACTTGACGTCTGTGAAGTTTTTCGTCCAAATTCCAATTCCGTGGTGCATAAATTGTCAGTCTGTTTCAGATGCAAGTGTACATATCACAATGTGTCGAGAGGGCTTATTTAAGTTGGATAACTTGTGCCCAATCCGTTTCTTAATTGAATAAAATATGTTTCAATCAATCAATCAACATTGTGTCAGCAGACTGATTGAATGGTTGATTGAAACATACCTCACTAAAAATGTTTATCTCTCTTAAGTAATCTTTGTTAGTATATTTTCATTTCATACGTACATTGTAATGCATATGCCTTTCTGCATTTGCCATGAACACTATTTCTACCTTAAACACATAATTTTGGGATATTAAACCTTTAGAAATCGATATGGATATGTTGAAGAAACACAGATGTTTATATTCGCATCCTCGAACCAGAAATCCCACCACAAAATTTACTCACCCGTTCGCAATGCAGTATACAGTCTGATGCTTCACAAGTACAGTCGTTCTACATGCAAGGAAACATTGAACCTGTTCCAGTGGCCTGGTTATTGCCTCCGTGGTGTATTCTACCATAACACTGAAAAATGCTTGATTCTGATTGGTCAAAATAAGATTATAATTTGGTATCTAATTGCATTCGATTCCGAAATATCAAAATGCCTTTTCACAGAAAAACTTGAACCATGAAAACATCGATCTGTTGAGTGACAACACATCGATGCATAGATCTTTGCTGCTGATAAGCCGTTAGAATTGTGTGCGTTCGATGTCAGGATACTATCAGATCTCTCCGTCACTCAGTGGTATACGTGGAAGGTTCCAGCGCCTGATGTCAAAGATGTCATTCTCTGGCACTTTACATGTATACACAAGGACTGTTTGGATTCAGTTTAATGTTTCTAGCGGAGTATGCATGATACAATAACGGCACGGGATGTCAGTGGGCGGGCAAAATAGAACCGGCATACCTCCGTACAAGCAGCCACATACACGTTCATGTCGCGATGTAAGTGCAATAATTTTGGACGCTTACTGGTGTAAGTTTGAATGCTATGTTGGAGAACCGGTAGACATAACTGTTCGTCAGAGGCCGCTTTAACATTATTCCAGCAATATTACGGCGGGGGACACCAGAAATGGGCTTCACACATTGTATTCATGTGGGGAATCGAACCCGGGTCTTCGGCGTGACGTGCGAACGCTTTAATCACCAGGCTACCTCACTGCCGTCAGTGACATGAGTGAGCGTGCGCTCGTGCCCCAATTACGTAGATCGCTGCTCAAAAGTCTATCCAAAGGTTTGCATGGGTCACGCCTAATTACAGGACGTCGTGATGAACCTGGCCTCTTACTGGCTGTGGCAAACAAACTTCCCTTATTTACAGTGTACACTCACTTTAATGACCTGATACAGCTGACTGCACACCAACACCCAACCATCTGGTTCATTTCCCAGGAACGCGACTTTCTATCGGGTGTAGCGACACTGTACACTGATGGCAGTCTGGCACTAGTGAGCTACAAGCTGGCTCACGACACAACGTTAACAGAGACGGCAGCGGCTATTACGTACAAATATGTTATATTATACAACACAAATCAATATTCAGGCATTGTCAAGTATCATCAAGCATGACAGTGCTGGTCAATACAGTACAGTATGTAAAATAAACGCATGAAACATAACCACTGATAAATCACCAACATCACGGTTTATGAACATTACTGTATAAGTTCTATTATACAACATCACCAACATCACGGTTTAATAACATTGCGGGCGAGTGTTACTGTATATGTTCAATTGTACCAAATCAGATTCAAATAACGTAGAAACAACGCTAATGATAAAAGTTATCAAGCAATAATATCACCACTACAAGTTATGCGTCCACATGGCGCAATCTGTTAATGTAATATTTGTTTATCGGGGAACAATATGGACACATTTAGTCATCAAGATTGTAGCGCCATGTCAGTCTGACATGGGAGATAAGGCGCATCACGGTGTGGAATTAGGTCTGCTTTCAATCGTCCAATGAATCCAATAAAGTATAGTTCTCATTATCATGACCACAAGGCCACTTTAGTATAAACAAATATCTTCTTAAAACGTGCTACAAAACATCAATACTAATACATTATTTGAAAAAGAAATCAGGTGTATTATTTTACTGAGAAAGTCTTTGAATAACATTTCGATTTGTTAGATGGTTTGTTGTGTAACGCCGCACTCAGCAATATTCCAGCTATATGGCGGCGGTCTGTAAATAATCGAGTCTGGACCAGACAGTCCAGTGATCAACAGCATGAACATCAATCTACACAATTGGAATACGATACATGTGTCAAAACCAAGTCAGCGAGTCTGACCATCCGATCCAGTGAGTCGCCTTGAATGACATTTAGAAGTGATGCACATAAAAGGTGAGAATTTATGGATGTTAATTTCTTTATTAGAAACGACGTTTCGGAGTATATTCTGATTCATTCACGTGATAAAGAAGTGAGAATATACTCCGAAACGTTGTGTTCCTCATAATAAAGAAGTTGACATGAACAAATTCACACCTTTATTTTCTTCTTCTTGTTAAATCTCAAGTGAGTGAACTGTTTTAGTCTCCTTTGGCATAAGTCCAACATATCAAGCATTATATGAACGATAACACGGTAAGTAAGCATGAATTTACATCCGGTTGCTATTTACGAGAACGCGTTGTGCAATTACAGGCTAAATACTGACATGTTGGCCCGAACACGCATTGTAGGAAAGGTCGAAATATGATAATATGTCATTAAGTCCACTTTTGCAGCCGTTTGTTATAACAACTATATATATAATACAAGTTATGTGTCCACATGTTGCAATTTATTAGAGCAATATTTGCTTTTACATGGACATTTTTGGACAATACAATCATCAAGATTTTTACTCAATGTCAGACAAGGTAGAAAAGGCGAATGGTCATATTCTATTTGACTAGTTTTGCTTTTAACATGTTGGGATATTAGGAAATAAATGAAAATGAGATTAGAGACTCCTTCCGTACCAATCACCACAAAAATACGTCCTCTTACACACAAAAACACTTACATTTCTCAATTCGAACAAACTCTGCAAGTGGTTGTGATTTCTGAAGGACTGTTGTAGATTGTTGAGTTACAAGTTTCTGTTTAGCATCACCGTACATTCTCATGCTTAATCCAGTATATTTAAGAATACCTTTTATTTCATGTTTTTCGTCATGACGGGGTAATTACCGTGACAGCTATATTATTAAATGACGATGAAATCTGGAGTCCTGGTACATGTATACTGAACTGCAAAAGAAACGTCACATTTCAAAATCAAATGCCAAATTTTCTTACAAGGTGGCGTTTATATTATGACTGTACCGTTTTGCTAACATGCTTTTGAATCCAAATTGACAGTTATTACCAACATCAGTGTGTTTTCTGATGATAAAGCATATCGACCAAACGCACCTAAAAGGCAGACGTGGTAAAAGGTTCCGTATGACATTCATGAAAATGAAAATGCACGTGCATATCGTGACAACCCTACCAATGACAGCGAGTCCCAAACTCGTCTGAAATCATTTTTGTTTTGACGCAATCGCCATGCCACGACTTACGAGAGTCATAAGACCCCATGTTGTACAACATTTTGGACGTCACGGAAATCACATCTTCAAGCAAGCAGGACAACACTCGTGCCCACACTGCCAGGGTAACATTGAACTTCCTGAGGCAACATGGCATCCAAACACTACAATGGCCTTCACTCAGTCCTTATTTTAGTCCAATAAAAACACCTTTGGGGCGAGATTCAAAGAAGATTGAATGACCTCCAGCCAAGGCCGACAACTGTGGGTGGATTCGATCAGTCATTTCGCAGAGTATGGACCCAAATGCCTATATGGCCTTCATCAACCGGCTTATTCATTCCAAGTACAGACGATGCAACACCGAATATATGTTAACCATAATTGTTTAGTTTGAACTCAATCCTCCGTTTTAATTGCTAATTAGAGCGAATTGAAGTGTACGCTTTAAGAAACCTCTATCGGTGTGACGTTTTCTTTTGCGGTTCAGTATATAATTGTAGTAACAAAAGCATTCAACTTTGACCTTCTATATGGTGATTATCGTCCTTATTACTATGTCTGCCCAACAATTATTACAAAAAATGTCGTCGCAGCTTACGCCTATGCAACAATACTGACGACTAATATGCAAATGACACATGAAGTCATTATTCTGGTGTAAATTCATTCGTCTCAAGACCTCAATGAGTGAACGTTTTGACACTGCTTTCAGGATTATTGAGTATGCCACCAAGGGAACTCAACCCTACCATGACGAATGCACGAGGTTCAGAGACCTGGTGTTAAAGTTGGAGGCGGGCCATCGGTTTGACTCAGGGCACAACTCCATCACCATTGAAATCTTAATTTCCATCGTGACATTTTTCAAATTTTAAATGATCATGACGACGGGGACGACGACGACGACGACGACGACGACGACGATGATGATGATGATAAAAAAGTAATGACAGGTCTCAAATGACACTGATTATATTATAAGTACATTTGTCGTATAACGGCAAAAACAGTCAAAACTTTCTGATTTTGAAATTTGCTGCTAAAAATGTGCTTAGACATATACAGATTTTATCTAATGCACCCATTGTGATTTGATTAATAAACTTAATCCTGCTGTAGAAAGACCTGTATGTTTTAAACCAAGCGGAAAATTGAAATAGTTTACTCGTCGACGATTTAAGTGATAGTCTATATTTGAGAAAAATAATTTGACAACAGTTACCTACCTTGAAGGCTTGACATATTAAAGTGCACTGAATTTGCCCATATAATTCCGTATTGGCTATTTTTGAATCACGTTATGAAAAGCTACACAATGTCCTACTGGTCACAGACGAAACCAAAGCTTCCACTAAACACTGTGCTCCATTACAAGCGAACAAATATTGACAGTTCTGCCACGAACGAGGTCATTCTCGTTATTAAGCAAATTCCGTTTCGTGCAAAAATATCCAAATTATTTGCAATATTACTTTATGTTGGTCATTAACACCGACTTTCATTGATTTATTTTTTATATTGTAACAAATGATTTCTTTGAAATACATAATACATAAATGCGCGTTATAACGGTTTCGGTGATAAGGGGAGGCTACCGTGCACGGTCCCATGCCAACGAAAACTAATTTAATCCAACGCAGAGCATTGCAATCTGACTGTTATTTGCTGCAAACATTTGTAGGCGACTGTTATAGATTTGAGTGGACATTATCATGATTATTAAGAGAAATTGACAGAGAGATCCGCCCGAAACTGATTCGGGTTGGCAAGTGAAACAGTGGTGATATGATAACCCGATAACCCAGGGGATAGCTGTTGATATCTGCACGCGACATTTGGTGCCAGCGTTACTATCGATCTCGTTTGGTCACACAAATAAAATATATGATGTTGATGTCGCTTGATTTTAAAAGATAAAGATCTAAATACAAAACAAAACCTATAGCTTAGGTTTTTAAAAGAAAACATATTTAGAATTATAGACAATAAAGCAAGTAGCGAAACATTTGTTTAAATCGGTTTACGGATTAACGGGTAGTTTCTTGGGTGGTCCCTTAAGTCACTCTTTTTAGTGTAGTGGTTGTGAGTTCTAAATGACATTATTTCGATTATTTTTATCGAACCTGATGCAATTGCTTTTTTGCTCTGGACCTTTTGGTTTCGGAGATGAAGTCAGCACTGAACAAGAAAAAAACAGAACTATTGTATTTAATTTTACTAAAATAATACTGTCCCTATATAAGGTTATCCTAGTGGTGTTTTACAGGATTGTATACAGCCTGTATAGCTTAGAGGCTGAAGTGTACGCTCGTCCCGCCGAAAGACCCGAATTCGATTCCACACATGAGTACACAGTGTGAGGCCCATTTCTTGTGTCCTCCGCCGTGATATTACTGGAATATTGTTAAAAAACGTCGTAAAATTAAACTCAGTCACTCAAGAAATAGTCGACGACACATGCCATTCAAGCGAGTCCAAGAACAACCAGTGAATGGTACCTATCGTTTACAGCAGTAAGCGGACACTAGCAAATTAAGCCGGCTGAGGACACACGAAACCAAACCCAGTTGTTGACACCTTATGTTTCAGGCAGTCAGTGACACCTTCCGATCAAGCCAGTAGCCTAATATAAGCTGCGGGTCAAGCCAGCCGGATACAGGCTAGCTATTCTCGAAACTTCTAAGTCCTACGAACTTCTTAAGCCCATTCTTAACACATTGGCTACGATCAAAGTAAAGAATTCTTAGGGCTACGAACGTTTCGAGAATAAGGCCCCTGACCCGTGAGGATCCGCGTTAGAAATTGTCTTCAGTAACCCATGCTTGTCGTAAGGGGCGACTAGCGGGATCAGGTAGTCAGGCTCGCTGCACATGATGCTGATCACTGGATTGTCTGGTCCAGACTCGAATATTTATACACCGCCGCCATATAGCTGGAATATTGCTGAGTGCGGAGTTAAACAACAAACCAACCAGCCAGCAAAGCCAGCCGGTTACACCTACCGGCCATCCGGACAGCATCGAAGCGACACCTGCCCCTAACTATAGCTTGTCGATAAAACCTGACAGTTGTTTTATCACCCATTTGCAATTCATACAAGTCATGAGGTACATGGTTCAGGGCTAGCGCTCTGGAAGTACTCGAATCTCGAAAAACCAGTGTTTGACATCATGAGCAACGATCCACGCCGTCCAACGTCACATCGCATGTTACGAAAAACTTGGACTGAAGGGGAGCAGTTGTTGGGGAATCCCAATAGGTTCCGGGTACGCGGGTTCTGACAAGTCACATAGCGATCTTCTAGGAGGTTCTTGGAATGGGGCCGGGATCCGGAGTGAAGAAGACGCGGGTTCCAAAATTGGTCTCTTCTCACTGCTAGCAATGGGGACCCATTCTTCAGCAAACCATTCTTCACGTTAGAGGCGACCAACGGTATCAGGTGGTCAAGTTACTGGACTTTGTTGATGCATGTCTCATTACATCTACGAAGGTTGATGCTCATTGTGACAATCACTGGATTGTCCGGTCTCTCTTGGTTATTTACAGACCACTATCAGAGTGCTGGCATGCAGCTTGGTGCGGTGTCAAACAAATAAACACAGTCACACAAGAAGTGAGTGAGTGAGTGAGTGAGTTGAGTTTTACGCCGCAGCCAGCAATATTCCAGCTATATGGCGGCGGTCTGTAAAGAATAGAGTCTGGACCAGACAATCCAGTGATCAACAGCATGAGCATCGATCTGCGCAATTGGGAACCGATGACATGTGTCAACCAAGTCAGCGAGCCTGACCACCCGATCCCGTTAGTCGCCTCTTACAAGCATGGGATACTGAAGATTCATTCTAACCCGGGCCCTCACGGGTCGACACACAAGAAACATGCAAAACATACCTAACATCCACAAACCAGACGTAAATAGGTTGTGGCAAGACCACAAAACAAAACCAGACCCCTCCTACTGACAGCCACGCAACTCGCCAAGCTGGTGCCCTTGCTAAATATCGCCTGATAACGACAATATATTACAGATTCAGACATCTGAAATTGATTTCTCGATAACATCCACGTAATAAACTAGCAAGCATATTTACCAGGACTTTGTTTCTGCAGGAAGTCAGGGAAACGAGTTCCGGGACTGACAATAAATTATTTATACAACTTACACATGCCACGGGTACTTTAGCATTATTTGAGTTGAAACCGAATCGACTTTCATAACTGACGGACCACTATGAGATAGTGGCTAGAACGCTACCCGAGCATACCTGGGTGTTGTTGTACAAAACAACGTTAGCGCTAAGACTACCTTTGTCTCTGCTAAAGTATGGGAGTTTCGGTCACGTCAGCGCAAAGATCGCTTTGTAACGCGGCACCCTGGTCGCGTCACCCGGAAAGGCGTTCGAAGACTGTACTTGTTACCCTGCATGGCTCTCGACATTATGGGGGTCGGCCTGGAGTCAATCACAAATTGCTGTGTCTGTGCGGGTATCACGTTAACACTGCAAGAGGGTATATTAACTGGTAAGTCTTAACACTGGCAGTAGTGGTGAACGAAGATACGAATTTAATCATCTGATCTGACCATCCATTTGGCATTGGTTGCTAAGGACATGGGTACAAATTAAAGTAACATTGGCGCTGCGATTTTCCGAAGTCTGTGTTAAGGTATCGGTGTTACGGTCACCTTAGTGCTCTGACCGCCGTACGTCAATGTTAAGGTATCGGTGTTACGGTCACCTTAGTGCTCTGACTGCCGTACGTCAATGTTAAGGTATCGGTGTTACGGTCACCTTAGTGCTCTGACTGCCGTACGTCAATGTTAAGGTATCGGTGTTACGGTCACCTTAGTGCTCTGACTGCCGTACGTCAATGTTAAGGTATCGGTGTTACGATCACCTTAATTAGTGCTGTGACTGTCGTAAGTCTCTATTAACTTACGACAGTCTCTGCTAAGAGAGGAACAGCCAGGTGTACGCGGAGCACGTGCGCATGTGCCGACAAAGTTATTGAATCATTTTCCTGTGCCGTCTCCATCCTTTCTCGCACACCGGCTGTTCCTCTCTTTGCACCCTCCCTCGTAACAAATAGTGAACTGTGTCAAAATTTTACACACTCCGGCGCAGTGATGACTTAGCATAACATCACTGCCACAGGCGAATTTGCATATCACGTGACCGGACTTTTCTCTTGTTTGTATACAAACGCGCATATTCATAATAAGAAGAGACTGACCTTACGCAAGCTTTTCGGCGCGCTCTTCAGAATGTTTTACATTGTTACATATATATTCTTCCACAACTGCGACAGTAAGGTTTATGACAGTACATATTTAGATATCAAATTGGCTACATCGTTTGCTCTCCGTCGGCTTCGATGACAGCACGTGGAGCCGTACAACCTATGTAAACAAAGGATCGTTACGCAAATCGAAATAGTATAATGTTTTTACGATATTTTCTCAGTGAAACTAAACCATTCTATCAAAGATGTCTAATTAGATGTGTAGACTCGTCAAAATAAAAGAGTTAAGAAATATGTACATTATATTGAATGATCGGTGCAAGATGTGACGAATCGTCACATCTTTCTGGCCTGTGGCAGAGGTACTATGCTGGCTGGCCGCATGGAACTCTGGGTAGGAGAGTGAAAATTTTAATGATAGTTTGTTAAACAACTTTTTTTATTTTTAAGACATAAATTCTGCACAAAAAAACACACAGTTGGTCTGATGTTTTGATTATGATCAGTGTTTCATTGAGTATTATATGTTTATTAGTTTTCGAATTAGATTGCAATTTATCGGTCCGATTTTGAGCCAAACGGACTATACAAGTGAACGTTTAACAAAGCTATAGCAAACCCAATCTGATGCTAATAGTATCTAAATAGGCTCATCATAGACCGGAAGTTCTAAACTGCCTCGTCAAAATGCAGGAAGTGAGGGTAATTAGCGTCAGACTTATGTCTATTCGTGAATGTGTCAGATGGCCTTCCACTCCAGGAAGAGAGATCGTGGTCGAGTCCAGAGAGATATATATTGTTATAAAGGGTGGTTTGCCTTGGCAGTCTTTTGAGCATCACTGTCTCACAGTGTTTGAATGCAGCGGTCAGTAGTATACCTATAAAAGTTCAACTATCTCTGTCACTGTGATACAATGACGGAATGAATGTTGTCCAACGCCCCTTTGGCTCGGGAAGATCCGGGTTAGAATTTGTCTTCAGCAAACCATGCCTGTCGTAAGAGGCGACAAAACGGGATCGGGTGGTCAGGCTCGCCGACTTGTCTGGTCCAATTCCAGTTCCAAGACCAATTCTAACCCAGATCTTCACGGGTCCATACAGCTGGAATATTGTTGTTCAACAACAAACTACACAAGGCACCTTTGAACTGTACTTCTGTTTATCGCAAGGCATTCCCGAAGTGAACGTCAGAAACTTGTGCCGAGATGGGATAGGCCGTGTTGAACGTCACTTTGAACAGCATATCAGTTCAGAGTGTCAACCCCATGCGGAAGAGATTTAATGGCAAATGCGGGATCCTTTCCGGGAATCAGTCTCTGACACGTTATCTGGTGTTCCTGTGGATGTTGCATTGATGTGCGACCTCACCAGAATCAAGTATGAAGGTTCGGACATAGTCTCTGATACGTGGCATGGTGATTTCGCATCAATACGATTAAAAATAGGGTTCTTTCTGAACACAACATTTCGTCTTTAGATGTTTGAGAAGGGCCTCTCAGTACACACACGTTACGCTTTGTTTTTGGAAAGATATTCACTGTTGGAAGCGTTCTTTGAGCGATGGCCTTGTTTTCAAATGTGTTGATTTTCAGCACCTGTTATACCCAAGACAATTGTAAAATACTTCCATATGAGCATACGCACAAACCTTAAAGCAGTGTATGAAATCAGGCCCGCACGGTCTAGATTTCTGACGGACGGTCTAAATTTAAAGCTAGCCAGCCCGATGGTCTGGTAATTTTTTTAGATGTTCCATACATCTGAGTAAATTCACCATATTTGGTCTGGTTAAATCCATTTTGGGCTGACAACATTTTGAAGTTACCAGCCCTGATGTCTGGCTGATTTTACGGCTTATTTCATACACTGCTTAAAGAAGTATGCAAATTCTGATTTATCAGCCGCCATATGCGTATAAATATAAACATTCAAAACAAATATGTTTGCTATAGAAAACAAAGGCAAAGTATATCTTTCAACTATTTATTTTTCCCCAATTTTTGTACTCACACACACACCGGTAGTACTTGATGAACTGTGGTTGTAGTTAGGACAAGTATCTTGCAGCATCATTTACACCTGTCTGACTACGTCACAATGACAGCACATAGCACTTTTCATATACAAAAATATCCAAGCAAGCCCTCTTATACCTCTCAATCCTTTCACTCCCAATGGCGTCTGGGACATGTCATCAATAATTGGTTGTGGAGGGAACATTTCATTTTTCATCCTCAGTACGTCACTCCCAAAACTGAAACCTAAGATTGTTTTTCAAATGCACTCAAACTGCTAATCCACAAATTACAAAGCAAAACTTGGTACACATAACTATTATAATTTAACGATAAAATACACCCTAAAGTCCAAAGTGAATAATTTTTCATGACCATTTTCATAACATGAATCTCTTCAAAGGCATAACTCAATGGCAGTTCAAGAAAAGGCTGTATGATTACGCACCCTCATTTCTCAGACACCACACGTTAACTGCATACACTTGGCCAGTCAATGTGTACCCTCAACCCTTTCATTTTTCAAAAGCCTTTCCATGTCTCTGGCACTATGTTATTAATGACAGGTCCCAAATTACAAAGGGCATTATTCAGGCTCCCTTTGTATAGAGATAGCACTCAAACAGCAACAAAGGCTGACCACCACCTGTTGGTCGGTCAACATCTCGTGAAAACTGTCTCATCCCACAAACTTTGCTTCAGCTGTACAATTGTCATGTATGTACACGAAATACTGATCTGTTGATAATATTACTATCCTAGAAATGTGATGATGAAATCAAATGTGATAGAAAGGTAAATTACGAAAACGCAAACGTGTTTCAGTTAATTTTTGGCCCAGTCCATTCTGTTAACAGGGATATTAAACTAAATGGCATATTGTGAACATGAACTAGCAGTGTCCCCTCTGCGAGAATGAACTAATCTGATTCTGCCCATGCATCTTAGAGGAGTGAGTCAGTTTAGTTTTACATCGCTTTTAGCAATATTCCAGCAATATCACGGGGGGGGGGGAGAGAGAGAGAGAAAGGGACCCCACAAGAATGGGCTTCACACATTGTACCCAGCATCTTTGAGGAAACTATGGCAGCTTCACTAAAGACTCTTCTGAAGTGTAATATCACAAAATATATTCTTTCTTTACACAAGTCATTACTTATATACCTACCCAGAAATGCTTTCCAAACTACAATCCTGTGAAAATGTTGGGCAAAACACACAAACCTGGCACTGAACACAAATTACACACGCCCTTCTTGATAAACATCGTTTGATTTTGATATCAAGTTCATTTTCATTAGTTTATTCCCTACCTTTGACTTATATACCAATAATAAAGGTCTTTGGCTTTTGTCAAAATGCAATTTACCAACAACAAAGAGAAAACCAGCCTTTCTTTACAGACAAGGGAGAGGACACACTTGTCTTTGCAACTTAAGGAATTGGTTTTCAGGAATGCACCATAACATAAGCAAATCTTAGCAATCATCAATACAAAATATTTCGCTTCTAAACACTTTTCAAACTGCTATAATAAACCTGCCTAGACCTGTCTCATAAGTATTTGGGAATGTGCCATGCAATGACCAACATAATACATGAGGAAGGCTGGGTGAGAGTCTGTATGGCCCCAAACATGTGTAGTGTTAGTTTAAAGAAATAACCAGAATATACCCAAAGCAAAACTTTCTTTTTTTAGTATCAAATATCGTAGCAATAATTACAAAAAAGTGAGTGAACTTAGTATACGTTGCACTCAGCAATATTCCAGCTATATGGTGGCGGTATATAAATAATCGAGTCTGGACCAGACAATCCAGTGATCAAGATCATAAGCATTGATCTACGCAATTGGGATACGATGACATGCCAACCAAGACAAATAAGAAAAAAAAGCTGTGGAGTGAAAAACGTCCGAGTACTACCCAAAGTAAGCTACGAATAACACCATCATTTATATTACTATTGTTAAGTCTTGCCTTGACAGATAAATTATTTGTAATATGAAAGAATTGTGTGATCCTGAACTTATGTTGAGTAGTATATGTGTGAGATGCTTTTTGGCAAAACCACTTCACCAATAAGAAGTTGCTGTGATTCCGAAGTTTGATTTGAACGATAGTTACATTGCTGTGGAGATAACAGTGGAGGAATGGAATTAGCTCTAAATCAAAATAGATCAAGAGTTCTCTCAACTACAACTCATTCCGTACCAATCACCACAAATATATATCCTCCTACACACCAAAACTCACACTTACATTTCTTTCAACACCGTTACAGCCTAGGGACTTACAGAGGACACTCTACTCAGATACAAGACAAAACACCACAATGAATGGCTCCAATATAAGCCCACTGTAGATAAATATAAGTACTATTCCAACACGTCACCAAGTCTCCAATGTCCTGAATATCATATCCTTTATTCCAGCACAATGACCCTCTGGGTGATCAGCTGCAGTTTGCATCACGACGACTTATAAATCAGTCTTTAAATTGGCACTACAGGCGGGCAATGCATTCAGACAAGCTTATTTGTATCTCAGAAATGATCTTAACAGGCCAGTTCCAGATGTGAATAACAAAAGCTGAACAAATATGGTGTGGATATCATATACATCATATTTCTAGGCACCATAGCATTGATGTTCAATATGAAGTACCACTGAAAAGAACATCCACGTCCTATGAGGGATTTCAATGGCAAAATTCAGACTTTTTGTTTAGAGTTGGTAAAGAAATTAAGCCAAATCATTTTTACAGCTTTATTAAATCTCAAGTATAAGATCAGGGTGCTGTTGTACAAAGCAATCTTAGCGTTAGTAAAGGTTGCTTCGTGAAAGAAGCCCCTGGTCTTAATGAGACAGTATGAGTTCAGACACACAAATACTTTGCAGAACACCCTTTTTATCCACCTCAACAATTACATTCAGAATGTTTAGGAGCCTTATTACAGCCTGTTAGACAAGTGGTTGAAGGCCTTGAAAAATGATTGCTTTGAGTATCAGCTTGTCCAGCCTGACCCCTTTAAAAAGTCATGTCAATATGACTACCTAGATATGACAAGAATACAAGGGACCCTTACAACTTGAATTGGTGTATACGCTAGAGGTTAATTATTGTTGCTGATAACCATTGCTGAACCATGACCTCATCCTCGATAATCTCCTGGGTATACCTTACGATCACTCTCCACTATACCCTGGATGCCTCCACGGCTTGGCCCGATAATTATATTACCTCCCTTTGCTGGCTCCACATTCAGCTCACAGTAGCTAATCAGCCAAGACGCCGTTACATCCTTGCCAGTGTCAACAACGATAGCAGTCGCAGTCGCGAAGGTCTGTTCGCAGTGCCACTCAGATTATATGAAAGAACTCCTCCTACCTCTTTCATAGTGCCTCTGCATCAATTGTGTTGCTAAGTTTAAACAGTTAGATAATTTAAGAAGCAAAAGTGAGTTGAGATTAGTTCGCTCAACTTCCCAGCGTAGACACCGGATTTGATAAAAAGCCAGCAAAGGGAGGTAATAAAATCATCGGGCCCATTCATAGATGGGGTTTCAATGAAGTCTTTAGGACACTGAACCTCAATTCATACAGTTCTTTTCATACAGATGTTTCTGAACATTCTACCTTTAATACTAGGAAGTTACATTATCATTGAACATCCGAACAAAGCAAGCGAAATTGGGCAGTCTGTGTACAAACAGTTGACTGACTGTTCTTCTACAGAAGCTGGTTCAGGCTAAGAACGGACCGGACATTGGTAAACCATGTTTCAACTCTGACATGTGAGCTGCAGACACCCAGCACAAGCTCAGCATGAAACAGAGTTGGGTTAACTCCGCCTTGAACAGTGTTTGAGTCATATCATGGCGTCTCAGCTTGATGTGAGATGAAAGCCCAAATAGAGGTCTGACATTTTCCATGTTGGCGAAACCACTGAACACAGGTATGGTCCCAGTAACCTTGTCCCCGGGTGGGAAGTAAATCATCTATTGTAACTCTGTCTGTAGCCTGAATGAAGATCACTAATTCACAAAGTGCCAGCACAATATAGAAGTGCAATGGGAGATCATTTGGAAGAGTTACAAGAATATACTTGTTAATCAGATGCTGCAGTCACTGCTGAGATCTCAACATAGTCTATCGAAGAGAGGGTAACTTTACACCATTTTCATCATTATTCTACAGGTTCAGAGGGGCATGCCACGCATCTGTGGAATCAAATCAGGTCTTTTGCTGGACAAGCCAACTCTTTAACCACCCTGTCTACCTTCCCATGTCCATTAATACCATCACATATAGTTTAGGGCAACAGTAAGCACCTGCTTATCTAGGCCGTTGTTCTTAAAGCAGCTAGCACGACAGCAACATCTTCAGTGGTTTTCATATACGAGCTTGATATTGCAGAAAATATGTCAAATGGTTGCATCAGTAATACACGTCACAAAGCTAAAATACAAACAGTTCAGACATGTCTAGTGACAGTTAGCACTTTCACAGATATCAAAACCCTTTCACACCTCCAGTGCAAGCCAGATTGGTAATACCAGCAGCCTCAACCACCAATTCCATTCAGTATTCCAGTCCAACCTGCAGTTATTGTCAGTTGTACTGTAAGCTATACCAAGCCTTATTCATCCAAGCACACAGCACAGCCACGCTAGGATCACACAGTCTGTATATACATGTTTGTCTATATCCCATCCACACACACACACACACACGCACACATTCGCTCGCTGTTATCCATAGTTCATCATGTCGAGAGATGTTGAGGAGGATGAAGGGCTGTTGCTCAGAGCTTTCAATGAGTCGTTGACATCTCGCCGGAAAACCGATAAATTCTGCGTGAACCTGCAGGTTAAAAAATACTTATGGAACTAAATAACAGAATGTCAAAATGTACAAAATTAATTAACTCAGATAATTTATACCATCTTGGCTTATCAGCTGATTTGTAATATACTCATCAAAACAAGTTAAGGAGCACACAATTTTAGCCACATAATGCACCAAAAAAGTGTATGCTATGTTTGATAGATGCACTAACCAAATCTTAAACTTACAAAATAAACTTCAATTAATCAATTTTAAAAGCCTTGAAGCTCCATCCTTAAAGTGCCCAGATTCAGCACATGCTGTGTTTGTACATACCTGTCTCTGTTTTTTGTGAGGAGGGACCTCTCGATGCCGTCCATGAGATTCTCAAAGCACTGAACCATAGTTGCTTGTTTCTCTGCCGGCTGACTAGAGATGATGCTCTCTCGTAGCTTGTTGAAATACTGCGAATAGGAAATCTCAGAACTTTCAGTCATAATCAACAGATGTCACCACAAAACACACACAAAAGATAACCTCACATGTTTATGCACAATGAATGTTGTTTGATGCCACACTGACAATATTATCATCATTTGTTGAATGAGTGAGTTGACTGGGTTTAATAGATCATATGAGTCTCAGACATTTTGAAACCCAAGGAACATAATCAAAGGGAACTGTAAAAGAATCCAGCTCACTGATTGGCCAGTTACCGCCTTGCAAATCCTATAAACGTCTGCTGGCCGCCTTGTAGAACCTATACACGTCTGCTGGCCGCCTTGTAGAACCTATACACGTCTGCTGGCCGCCTTGCAGAACCTATACACGTCTGCTGGCTGCCTTGCAGAACCTATACACGTCTGCTGGCCGCCTTGTAGAACCTATACACGTCTGCTGGCCGCCTTGTGCAGAACCTATACACGTCTGCTGGCTGCCTTGCAGAACCTATACACGTCTGCTGGCTGCCTTGCAGAACCTATACACGTCTGCTGGCCGCCTTGTAGAACCTATACACGTCTGCTGGCGCCTTGTAGAACCTATACACGTCTGCTGGCTGCCTTGCACAACCTATACACGTCTGCTGGTAGCCTTGCACAACCTATATACACGCCTGCTGGCGCCTTGCAGAACCTATACACGTCTGCTGGCTGCCTTGCAGAACCTATACACGCCTGCTGGCTGCCTTGCACAACCTATACACGCCTGCTGGCTGCCTTGCACAACCTATACACGCCTGCTGGCTGCCTTGTAGAACCTATACACGCCTCTGCTGGCTGCCTTGCACAACCTATACCGTCTGCTGGCTGCCTTGCAGAACCTATACACGTCTGCTGGCCGCCTTGTAGAACCTATACACGTCTGCTGGCTGCCTTGCACAACCTATACACGTCTGCTGGCTGCCTTGTAGAACCTATACACGTCTGCTGGCTGCCTTGCAGAACCCATACACGTCTGCTGGCTGCCTTGCAGAACCTATACACGTCTGCTGGCTGCCTTGTAGAACCTATACACGTCTGCTGGCTGCCTTGCACAACCTATACACGTCTGCTGGCTGCCTTGCACAACCTATACACGTCTGCTGGCCGCCTTGCACAACCTATACACGTCTGCTGGCTGCCTTGCAGAACCTATACACGTCTGCGGGCTGCCTTCCAAAACCTATACAAATCTGCAGCCTCCCTTGTAAAATCGATTGATATTTGAGAACAATTATCAATCTCTATGATTTATATTGATAGTGAGCCCTTTAAGTTTGTTGTGGTTTTGATGAGATGTTTTAGAGTTGCTTCATTCATCACAAAATGGACTGGTTAACTGGCCGAACTGTGTTGGTATACAAGCAGTGACAACTTGGCTCACAATCTGTAACCTATGAGGTTTCATGATGGCTTCATGTGCTCAAGACATGATGATAAGGATATATAAGAAGACACTCACCTCTTCATTGAGCAGAATGAGACCAAGGAGAGGTCGCGACATAGACCACTGGTTGCGACAGTCTTCGAACATGATGATGTTTAACACTGTAGACAGCATCTGAAACAGCAGTTACACAAAAATCATCAGCCAATCGGACGCACATGAACCTGGATGTAAAACTGCAGATGTACAAGCTTACCATTTGAATATAAGCTAATCAAAGATGTAATAACCACTTTTTTGAGATAATGTAATTCATTTACATCTTGTATTTTGTGATAAACACCATTTTGGTCTATTTTCTGGACAAGTAGACCTGAGATTTCCCTGTTTAGTTGTCTAGGGAGTCCACTATTCCGATATGTCAAACTGACCTGTTGTATTATCAATGACCTAAGGCCTGTCGAACAAAGTTGTCTTAATGCTAAGATCATACACCAATAGTTTTAACAAAGGGCGCATGATTACTTTGTGCACCATGCCCTTGTCGTAATATCATCAACATGTTTAAACATCACTGACCTGTTGTAATATTTCTGGATGAAGCTCAAGTATTCGGAGGAATGACTCGCTATCAGGAACGCTGCCAGCTCTGGTCTTCTTCTTCTTGACGGTGAGACGACGAAACAGATACGTGATGATGTTGTCGAGTGTTGCACAGCAGCCAGTGCACACCATTGTATCTGCAAGTGGATGCAGTCTTATCACGACAGGACAAGGGAATAAACAATGATATCCATCATCCTTAACCAACATCATTTAATGTCACAGCAAATGTACACCATTCCCAAATGATTGACAAACATTTCTACCAAGATGCCCTTTGACACTGGAACATTTCTCCAGTCAGCAACATTTCTGGTGTAATATGGCTGCTTCCAAATACAACTTGGTAATCAAGTGGCCGATAGTATGACCAAGAACCAACAAAGACAGGTGTGTGATGTATTTGATGACAGCACCTGTACATAACCAAGATTGGACCAAACAATCCCATGATCAATATTATGAGCAAGAATCCACACCACAAGGGCATGAAGACATGGAATGGACCAAGTCACAAAGTCTGACTACTTGACCGATCCAGACCATGGAATGGACCAAGTCACAAAGTCTGACTACTTGACCGATTCGGTCACTACTTATGACTGACTGAGTTTAGTTTTACGCCGCTTTTAGCAATATTCCAGCAATATCACGGCGGGGGACACCAGAAATGGGCTTAACACATTCACTACTTATGACCTTCACAGATTTCTGGTCACTCTACTAACCTGGATTCACCCACTCTCCTACCCAGAGTTCCATGCCACCAGCATAGTACCTCTGGCACAGTCAAATCTTGCACAGTTCATACAATATATTGTATATCTTGGCTCTTTTATGTTTGACGAGTCTACACATTTAAATAAACATCTTTGATAGAATGGTTTAGTTTCACTGAGAAATAACCTCAACGTGTAACACTATTTCGATTTGCAAAGCAATTCTTTGTTTACATGTGTGTGGTTCTATGTGGTGTCATCGAAGCCCTACGGAGAGCAAACAATGTAGCCACTTTTATATATAAACATGCATTTCATAAACCTTACTGTCGCAGTTGTGGACTAATATCTATATAACAATGTCGAACATTATGAAGAGCTCACCGAAAAGCTTGCATTAGGCCAGTTACTTCTTATTAACAAATATGTGCGTTTGTTTACAAATAAGAGGAAAGTCTGGTCACGTGATATGAAATTTAGCCTGTGGCAGTATTGTTATGCTAAGTCATTAGTGGTGGTCCGATTAATTGAAATAATCGAAGACTGGTCGTAGTGACTAAACGACCAAGCAGTCGATCATGTTTTCTCATAATCGAACACAAACAATTCTGGAACACTTGTTTTCATTAACAGTATTTTTCACTAGGTTGGTTTTGTCTGTTACATTTCATAAGCACTACAAGCTCGTTCCAAGTCATGATTGAATTTATCTTAAAGGACACTAAGAAATTTATGTTCCTAACATACTAGTCATCCTTTAAAGATATGAAATTTTGCCCAAAAAACCCCCAAAGAACTACACGTTTTTTTCGGTATTTTTTTGTGTATTAACAAATTTCATAAATGGCGCTAACCAATTATTTTTGAGGATTGGTCGGTGGTAATGAACCAATCATCAATTATGAGATTCCCAATTCCCAACACTATAAGTCATCACTGCTCCGGATTCACCACAGAGGCAAAAATAAGCACAAGGCACAAGGACATCCTTATCATACTCACCAAGTGCAGTGAGGCCCTCTGAAATTGTGGACAGAATGTAGAGAAAGACTTGAGGTTCTAAGTTGCTAATGAATGACATATGATCCTGGGCAAGACATTCTAGAAGACCATAATAATTCTGGCTCAACTTGGGGAAGTCCTGCAAGACAAGGAAATATCATTAGGCTCATATTCCTAATCTATCTTCTTTGTAGTGACTGAGGCCAGTTTAAGTTCCTTTCACAAACAATTCTACAACATCACAGGTGAGCATGAGGAATGGAGCTTCATACACTGCACTTCATGACAAGCCAACATTTCAACAAATAGCCTATCCAAATATATGCATCGTCCAGACATGATATTTACAAGCAAATATAAAGCCTGTCATATTTCTGTGTTAAACTATCAATATTATCAGCCATTTTGAAAACTTGGATCTAAAATCATCAATTCAGTGTCAAATGTTATCAATATCAAACCCTTATCAAGAAGACTTAAGTTCACTCTTGGGCAATTAAACCAGGGTTGATAGCATACTGAACTATCCACGTGTTGTAAATAATGAAATCAGTGCACTACTAAGTTGACGTAAAGCCAACCTCACAGTTTTGGCCTTCATGATTGATAGCATTACATGCATCATCAATGTCACCCATTTTAACCACCCAATACACTTTATATCCTCCAACAAGAAGCACACGTTGCTGAGGAACTAGTGACAGCAGAATCCATACAACGAAATATTTGGCTGAGCGGGTTAGGTGGTTTACTTTGTGTGCTGGCGATTAGGTGCCTGACTCTGAGGGTGTGGGTTCGAATCCCAGATGGGACTCGGCCCAACATAAGGTCTAGAATCTGTACTTCACTAGGAGGTGAGGTGAAATTGGGTTTTACGTACTACTTGAGAATATTTCGCTCATATGATGACGTGCATGCGTGTGTATGTGTATGTGTGGCTGTTTGTACTAGCCCAGACTTAAGCTGGTTTTATAGTGCTAGCCCACTGAGATACCATGCCGCAGTGAAGCATGAATACCCCACTCAGACACATTATACGGACTCCGAGCCGACCAGTCCTTGTTGTACCCATTAATGCCGAGCGCCAGGCAGGGACCAACAAGTACCATATTTTAACGTCTTTTGCTATGACGCAGATGCGGATCGAACCCGCGACCTTCCGCTCTACAGGCGGACGCTCTAACCACTACACCACGGAGACGGTACTTCACTAGGAAAGTGTAATCCCAAATATAACATATGTTACAACAAAACATGTCATCTCAACCGATGCGGTCTGCAGTAATGACAACGAAAACTGAAACTCCTGTACCTCGTAATATTTCTAAATGAATATTTGCCTCTTACGTTCATCATTAACTGAAATACAATTGGATTCTACTTAATATTTGTACAAAACATAAACATGTTATCAAAATGGAAGCTGAATACTTACAAGCAAATCATTCTGTGATATTGACAACAGCAACTTGACAAACATGCCTAAGGCGTTGTCAAGGGCGTCATCTCCATAGAGACGGAAGACACCAAAATTGACATAGTTCCCGCAGAGTGCTGCCTTCAGCATTGAGAAACAGATGGAGATACCTTTCAACGTGCAGCTGGTTAAGGAAACACTTCGAGAAAACAATGTGATTGTCAAACTCATGTTATTGAGCATAAAATAATGCAAATAGTCAGAGTGATTTCCTATGAATAACAAGTGTGATTTATATCTTTTACTTCAATCTCATTAAAACATTTTATCTTGAAATAAGAAAACAGACAGAAAGCAATGCTACTTCCTTTTGGCAGAAGTCAGGTGAGGTGACGTGAAATTGGGTTTAACGTCGTGCTTGAGAATATTTCGCTCATATGACGATGTGCATGCATGAGTATGTGTATGTGTGGCTGTTTGTACTAGCCCAGACTGAAGCTGGTTTTATAGTGCTAGCCCACTGAGATACCATGCCGCAGTGAAGCATGAATACCCCACTCAGACACATTATACTGACTCCGAGCCGACCAGTCCTTGTTGTACCCATTAATGCCGAGCGCCAGGCAGGGACCAACAAGTACCATATTTTAACATCTTTTGGTATGACGCGGTCGGGGATCGAACCTGCGACCTTCCGCCTCTCCGGGCGGACGCTCTAACCACTACACCACGGAGGCAGCCCTTTGGCATATGAAAATATCTGTACAGTATATAAGTGATACTTTCCATTTAGGTTTTATTTTCAAGACAGATTGTGAATTTAGATGCCTAAATGCTTACTGGCTCATCAGAGAGATCATCTGACACAACTTTCTATAGATGTGTTCATACTCATATAGATGATGTACAAATGAAATAAGAAGTCAGAATCATAAAATAATAAAAAGGATATTTTAATGGGTAGATTTGATCTTTGGCTATTTCTCCTATTGTGAGTATTCTTGACCCTGAAAAAAGAAAAATGTCAAGTAGTAAAAGTTTTCATTACATCAATTTGATTTGAAATGTTTTGTCACATTCCTGCGAGTTTTCAGCATATCTTAAGTCTTTGAACTTTGACTACTACTACAGCTGACAAGATGAAATATCGGCCAACTTGTTCCCTGGACTTGTGGTAGGGACGCAGACTATTGTGTATTCATCATAATGTCACGAGCTGTGAGGTTTGCGCCTCTCTAGAAAACTCTTTGAAGCTGTACTAGTTCGTACTTGTCGGGTTATAATGCCAGCGTAGATGCCATGCCACCATCACATGGATACTCCACTCAGACACAGAATAATGGCTCCATGTCAACCAGTCCTGGCTTTATCCCCAATATCCTGAGCACCAGGGAGCACAATAAATCATTTCTTTTCGATGAAAAGGCCAAGGTCCAAACCACTGCCCGTCTGCTCCCCAAGCCGACAGTCTATCCACTAGGCCATAGAGGATAGCATGAACCATCAGACCAAGCAAACATTTTCTGGGCATATGTTCTAGAAACTACACCATCTCCAATCAGATGCTATATCTGCTCCAGCAAGAATGCAGTCTTGTCATTTTAAGAAGCAGCTGTACACACAGTGAGTGAGTGAGTGAGTTTTACGTCGCACTCAGCAACATTCCAGTTATATGGCGGCGGTCTGTAAATAATCGAGCCTGGACCAAACAATCCAGTGATCAACAGCATGAGCATCGATCTGCGCAATTGGGATACGATGACGTGTCAACCAAGTCAGCGAGCCTGACCACCAGATCAGTTAGTCACCTCTTACGACAAGCATGGGTACCTGACTAATTCTAACCCGCATCTTCACGGGTTGTACACACAGTATTGTTTGTACACCTGTCCACCTACCATAAGTAACTATCATTTTACTGACTTCCCTGACGAGCAGAATACCATTGGGTGACGACACATCAAACTGAAGCCTCTGAGATCTGAAAACACGACACAGATATATAAGCCAGGCCACTATTGAGCACAATACACTATAGTACTATAGTAAAATTCATCAATGTGAGACGCCTGTAATCAATAAGTGAAGGCCACACTGGGAAATTACACACAGTCCTTTTCTAATTTGTCATGCTTCTTTGTACAGAAAATATAAGGTGATTTATTTAGTCTATTCACACTCATACACTTCTGGAGTAGTTACAATGGTGCATTACCTGTTTTGAGCTAGTTCGGCCATTAGTTTCAGCACAGGTGTTGTGACCGTAGGGTCATGGAACCACAGTTCAACTGCTCGCTGCAAAACTGGAGTGTACGTTGGATAGCTACATCTAGCTAAGGAATATGTTCATAGCAATGATTATTCCTTTATCACATTACCATTTCATCATCTGTACAAGTCTCCATGACTGGAATTAAAATATGACTGAATTATCTGTACACGCTTCAAACAAAAACTCAAACTACTTTTGTACTGTGTGTTATGTCTCTGTGTGTGTATGGTTGGTTGGGTTGATGTTTAACGCCATACTCAACAATATTCCAGCTATATGGCAGCGGTTTATAAATAATAAAGTCTGGACCATACAATCTAGTGATCAACAGCATGAGCATCGATCTACATGCAGTTGGGATACGATGACATGTGTCCACTAAGTCAGCAAGCCTGACCACTTGATCGACAAACAAGGGTTGCTGAAGATGAACTCTAACACACATCTTCAAAGAGGTGTGTGCGTGTGCGTGCATCAGTGCATGTGTGAGAGTGTACATTGCACACGTGCATCAGCTGCATAACAGTGACTTGTGTACATTGCATCACAGCAATATTTCAGCTATATAACAGTGACTTGTAAGTAATCAAATCTGAGCCTGTTTCATAAAGCAACCACTGCGCACTCTAACTCCCATACCATGTATTATAGATTTAGGATGATCGTATCATTAACAACACTTTGTGGAACAGGCCTAGGACCAACCCAAAATTAATCAATTAGAAATGGGAAATTACATCAAACAAGACACTGAGTCTGACCACTCGATTCATAAGCTCGCCTTTACGGCCAGCATATGTAATGGACCACTATTGTAACCCAATGGGGTGGTGGCCCCATTCCATGCCGAGTCCCCACAGGGTTCCAGCATCGGTACCACTGATTGAGTAACAAGGATACATCCAGTCAAACAACATCATGTAGCTTGTCTTTGTGTTGAACGCAAACGCTATCCCTCTCAAATCCCTTGCCAGACCTATTAAAGACCTCTGCAAAGAGAAACAATACAAAATATACTGAAATGCACTGACTGAAATTCACACACCCTTAAATATACAGAGCTACAGAAATTATTTTGGGTGATTGAGTTATGTACTCGCTTGTGTTCATCTTAATTAGGTATCCTAATTTTCCATTGAGTAACCAAATAAATTGTACCCACCTCACTCAAACTCAATTGGGTATTTTGCCATTTTTCAGTAATTGTAAAAATATAACAAAGATTAAATGTTGGTTTACGTGTTTGTTATTCATATTTGATCTGTAATATGAGAAATGATGAGAAAGACTGCAAGTTGCCAAGTTCATATGCTGAAATAGAACCTCTCGATACACCTCAGTACACATGTAAGATCAAATGTATTGTGTATTTACAAAAATTTCAAGCCTACTTGTACGTAATAGACTTAATAGGAATTGGTTTTCACATAAATATTTGCGTAATTTACGCAGATACGCAGCTTATCTGTACCTCTGAATACAGTCATTAAAGGTAAATAGATTTCAAACCGTTCAACAGTATTTGAAATATATGAAGAAAACACAGAGGCCTTTGATCACAGAGGTGTCAACCACTTTGAAAAGAATGTGCTGGGCATTGTGCTAACAAACCTCAAATGTGAATCAGGTGGAAGCATGGATGGAAACATCATTTGCCACCCATACTGACTCTGCAACATATGCCCTCCAAATTGACAAGGAATATCACAGAACTTTATCTGCTTTGATACAAAATAAGACAAGTATCCAAGAGTGTAATGACATCGAACTCTCAATGCAATGCAAATGTTTGCTGTGAGCCTCGACACAAACATGAAACAAGGACAAAGACCCATTAATTTCTGCCATAACTTTGTTGATGTCAACTCCTTTATTTTGTTAACATGAAGTTTCAGAGTTACTTATTACCCCTTCAGGTGTGGTGTTAACAAAAAAAGCAGTTGACATCCAAAAATCTTTGACTCATGTTCATCTGTACTCATACCTTTGCACCTTCCACATCCATTGCTGAAGTACCATTAGATAGCAGATTCCCAACTGCATCAAAAGCAGCTGAAACCAAAATGAAGTGACCAAGTTAACAGTGATTTCATTTGCCTTAATATTAAGTGTCAGCTTATCACTACAGCACTCAGCGTTATTCCAGTTTTATCACAGAAGTCTGTAAATATTCATGTTTCAATCCAGTAGTGCTGGAACGCTTGATCGAATAATCGGTCAATCGATTGATCTCGTTTGCGTCAGCAGTTATCAATGGACTCCGGAGACTAATTGATATTCATAAAAAATGAAACATCAAAATAAACTTTAGAATGTAGGTCTTTTATTGCTAAGTTGTTAAATTCAAGACATAAACAACAGATGCATTTTCCTGACTCGGAAAACTGCAATGTAAACAACATACTTATGTCTCAACAGGAAGTATCCTTGATCGTCATGAGCGTGGTTTACGATCAGTCCGTTTTGTTGGCTTAATGTTATGACTGTGTTAATTGCTCACAATCTTTGGTTTTACGATTCTAATTATCGATCTGCATATTGTGAGCGATAATCAGCATAACACTTGACGTCAGTAAACACTGACATAGTATCAACCGAGTCGCCATCCCTGACCTTCTAATCAATATGGCAGCCTCTTATAATCCGCAAAGGCTTTCCTGACCTTTCTTACCCAGAAACTCTGACCATCCAATCCCCATTAATGCTTTAGCAACATTTTGTTAATCATGCAAATGAAATATATGTACAAAAATAAATCCAAGAAAATACAAGACAACAGTTTCTCAGTACCTGTAAGAGGCATCATGAACTGGTCAAACTTCTCCTCATCTTCTCCCAAGTCCACCAGCAGCAGACGTCCCAGGGCTGTGTAGAATGTCGTCCGGCACCGCATGTCTGCCACTGGACTACTTCCTGCTGTGATGCCCAGAAACGGAAGTGCTCGAATTATCACGGCAGCCATATCTGCCGGAACAAATCAGTCAAGTGATTTAAACTGTAATCTTTTTGTTTATGTTTGTTGTTTAACACAGCACTCGGCAATATCGCGAGGTATATGGCAGCAGTCTGTAAGTAGTCAAAACAGGGCCACACAATCCAGTGATCAACATCATGAGCATTGACTTATAGAGCAATTGGGATACAATGACGTGTCAACCAAGTAAGGGAGCCGATGGTTCGGAATGACTCAACAGACCACCACCATATAGTGTGGCATTAAAAAAACAAACGAAAAAACAAACACAAGTTACCCACCGTGTGGTTATTCAGCATGAACTGCACCGCCTCCAGCTTCACCAGCTTCCTCACGCTGCTGTAGCCCACGGACAGGTCACTCAGCAGTGTCAGTGTCTTGGAGATGATCTGCTCACTTCGACCCCAATACTTCAAATTAGTTATTCTGAAACAAACACAGAGAACGTGGTAAGTTTGTTTGTTTACCGCCGGACTCAGCTATATTCCAACTCTATATGCTCTGTAAATGTGGACCACACAATCCAGTGCTCAAGAGCATGAGCATCGATCTACACAATTGGGATACAATGACTGACTGACTGACTGAGTATGGTTTTACGCCGCTTTTAGCAATATTCCAGCAACATCACGGTGGGGGACACCAGAAATGGCCTTCACACATTGTACCCATGTGGGGATTCGAACCCGGGTCTTCGGCTTTAACCACTAGGGCTACCCCATCACCCCCGGATACAATGACATGTGCCAACCACGCTAATGAACCTGACCACCTGATCCCGTTAGTTGGAACACCAACTCGCTATTACTCAATGTCTACAACGTGGGTGTAGTTATATATAATGTTGCCTGACTTACATTTTGCCGATAAATACACTAAGCACCATTGGTTCATCACTAAGACCGAGAACTTCCGACAATCGTCGATACACCTGAAATAGAAACCAAAATCTAAGAATAATCCTTGACAGGGAAACAAGAACACACATAACAGGGAGTAATTTATGAACCCGAAAAACATAATTTAGCTGAAACTGGGAAATTGTAATTGTAATTTTTTTTGTACTGAAATTAAGGTCTTTTCAAAGCAGATTCTAGGTCTTCCACGACATTTTCAAGGCAGATACAAATTAACTGCCTGTTCAATGCGGGACTTCACTGACATCCAAATGTCAACCTTGACCTACCTTTGATGTTTTCTGGACCTGGTCTCCCACATATATTTTCCTGAATTGTTCAAAGAAACTAAGTATTGCTATGTCCAACTTCTCACAGCCCCCCTGGGTTAACCTGGAGTCTGTCAGGTTCATCAGTTGAAGCACCCTGAAACAGATAGCCATCACCATGATGTGTACTCAATAGTAACTGACTACAGAGCTGGGATTATATTTATGACACTTTGTAAAGTATTTCAGTTACATCACAGTGTGTCAACATTGAGGAACATCTGAAGTGATGCAAGTCTGTTTAAAGCCACGAAGCACAGGTTCCTTGCCAACCTAAGGGACAGAACTCTGCTCAGCTAACTGCAGAACTTCTCTTAATTTATGTATAAATGGCGTTAACTGAAAACAGTTTTCCTTGAGGGAAGTATAAAGTCATTTTCCATCTATTATTTATTGTGCTTTTACTTCATGGCTGTTAAAAGATGAGATATTAGCCCAGAGATGCCAACCCTATTTTGGGCCTAAGTGTAATACTTGAGGTCAAAAAGTGTAATTTGGACCTAAAAGTGTAGTCCTTGTCTGCTGATAGCTTCAAAATGGTACACGTTTTCATGAAAGGAAGATTCCAGACAGAAACACATGTGACGAATCATTATGAAGCTCCATAAATCGAAAATTGTTGGTAATGTTACTCAAAATACTTTAATTCCCTTGAGTTAATTGGAATGAGTGCGATGCTAAGAGTAAGCAATTCCTATCGGTACAAGGCCATTTCTGCACCTGTGCATTATAAAACACTTCCCTGTTAAATTTTATCCACTTTATTGAATTTTCGCAGATTAAGTGTAATGGATTAATTTAATGGTCAAAATCGTAATAATTACTTCAAAGCGTAATGATTGGCATCTCTGTTAGCCGCATACAAAGTCAGAAAATAGAGTAGGAAACACCCTTATCAGATAAGTGGCCAACAGGAGAATACAACGTGACAGTATCACAAGTATATGTCAATAGGCTCTACAAACAATACTACAGGTTCCAATACATAGGTAACAAAACATAGCAGGTTTTGTTATCATGGATTTTACTTGTATCATTGACCAAAACTTTACACAAATTCATTCACGATGATGTTTCTGTTTGAAAATGATTGAAAAAATCCCGGAAACTCTGTGTTTTTTCTCCCACCTTGTTATCTCCCCCTTCTCGATGACAACAAAATGGCTACCACTTATTTACTTCAGTATCCATGTTACAGGCTCTGCATGCACCATCAGTGTAAGTCACTGTCAGAACCCTCAGCTCCCAGTATGTCACAATACAGATAACTGCGCTGCCATATACTGTTATACAATTCGGCCTACACTACTCACCTACACACAAGCTCTCCATCCATCGCATCATGTTCATCTGTACTTGCAAACGATACCCGCCCCCCTATCACAGAGCCAATTATATACACCAGCCATGTCAAGCGGCCTGTGGAACAAAAATACACGCATTAAAACCTATTGAAAATGTTGCTAAAAGACTTCAGAACGCAATATTCAAAATTATTGGACTAACATAGAGCACGAGAGAATGTGTCACTGTTTGGATTAGTATTAACTATAGTCTGTTTGCAGTGAAAATGTACCGATGAATGTCAATTTAACCCCTGGATGCCACAGGGACATATATGTCCTTCCCTTCAACCCTCAATTTGAAGTCGAATAAAAATCAAAATATCCCACGACACAAATACACTTCACAGTTTCAATTCTGCGGAAATTTCCTGTTTCTTGATACCATCCAGTATTATTTTAGACAAAGCTCAAGTGCTGAAAATGACCTTTTAAAATAGGCTTCATCGAAAATGGCGACATTTTGACACAGTATGAAATCGCGATTCACAGCGTTATTTGCTGTATGTTTTGAAATGTGAAAATCGGATAATTCCTGGGAGTATTGAATTTAAAAAATAACCTATTCATGATCACTGATATCACTTTTACATGAAATCGCTAATTATAATTCTGAAACGTTGCCGATGAATCTAGAATCGGTTGGGATGTTTTCGAAAATGCACTTACACGAACACCGTGAGAGCTTTCCGCCATATTGGATAGTGTTTACAAAATCACGCTTCGCGAAGGCTACCGGTATTGAGGCGCCTATTACATCAATGATATTTCATATTCAGCTTCGAAAAATGCATCACTGAATTCCCCATACATTTTAGAATCAATTTGAAACTGGTCTGTGTCACCAATAATAATTGTCTAGATAAAATGAGACGTAAACATATTGGGTGTGAAAACTAACGCTGTGCTTGAAAGACTGCGTTTGTGTGAAATGTAAACAAAGACAAATTCGATTTTACACTCGCGTAGCATTTTCTGAATTTTTCAACATTCATCCGTCTATTCATTGCTTGCAATGACTCGATACCTTTAGAATATACATGGAAAGAGTATCGTGCAAGCAAGAAATAGGAAATTATAAATAGATACAATGCAATGATTTGATAATTCATAAGAAATTGTCAAAGTTTCCGTGCAGCGTGGACGCCATGACTGGCCTTCAAATCACGAGAGCGACAAACGGTAATTATCTGCATTTCTGTCCTTTTTCTCTTACATTATAGTGAAACGATAAAACATATAACAATACACAGATAGTCAGAATCATTCTGATTACTTACATCTCATATTTATGTACAAGCGATCCCTGAATCAGTGGAAGGGTCCTCGCAAAAATCCTGTGTACCCTTGTCAGCAAAGCCGCCATTTTGTAAGAAATCGGTCAGCGGTAGTGATGTCATCGTCAACATTGTTCTACATATTAGGCAATTTCTTTGAGGTGAAGGTCGGTCGAACAAGAGTAAACACAATCGCCATATCCTTCCCGATTACACTGTCAGTATTATGATGTATATTTTATGGATAGTTCGATGCTTTTCATGAAACTGACTTCAGTATCTACATTTAGCCTTGTTCAATATCATATCATACGTGCATATGGGGTTTACGGTGTTTTATTCTTTGAAAGTTTTTGATTGTTTGAATCATATTTACATAAGAAATTGACATATTTATTGCAATACACCATATTCTAAACCTTTACACAAGTGTTAGAAGATCAAACGTAGCCACAACTGCATCTACTTTAGTTCCTATGATGTACAATATTCAATTTATTTGGACTAATATTGCAATTTCATATGAACAGGTTAATGAACGGTGATATAATTCAACCTTATATGCAAAACTGATAATATTAATGACAATGATTTATATATGGTATGAAATGTATATGCACACATATTTAAAGGAATTGTCTTGTTCATTGCATAATTTTGTGTCGATTTTATAGACAAAAAGAATGATGCATATAGATCGGCAAGGTGCGCGTTTGTTGGAAACGTTTTATGATTCTCTATCATTGTTTTCGATAGTATATTCAATTCATATTCGATTAAATAATATTGTGATGACAGGATATCAAACTCTAACTACTTATAGGAAAATTGTTGAAAAATATATATACCATCTCGTGTTAATTCGGACAAATCTTATATCCATATTCTAATATATAGTTCCATATATAAAAAAGCTATCCTTATGCATCTTTCATTGCATCATTATGAAGAGAAATAGCTTCATAATCATAAACAAACAAAATTCTTATCCCCAACAAAATATTCGGGGTGTTGGGAAATATTATTTTATTTACGTTAAATTGATGCCAAACAGGTGCGTGTTGTTCACAATAAGATATGCTGTCAAACTGTCTAATTGTTGATATATTCAGGACACTATTTAAATGGAAAAATCAGTCATTTTATGTTTTGTCTAAAGAGTGTTAAATTCTGACATAGAAGTCTGGACCTTTTATACAATTAATCGAAATTAAAGCGAGATATATACTAATCAGCATACCAATGTTGTCTTTTTCTGATGTCGCAAAATGCATAAAACAAGGCATGACGCCAACTAAAATGTTGTATTATTTTCAGCAATTTAGATTTACATTTGAAGATATGGCTAGTACTCTGGTAATAACGATGCAAAATTAGTCAAATTACATCTACACAAACAGGAGAATATGGGAATCTAAGAACTAACTTATATATCGGATAGGGCCATTCAAATCGCTATTACGTTGCTTTCACATGTAATACGTTGTCATCTTTTCTTATAAATTGTGAAACTACCAAAGCGCATCCGCTCACATTGGGAACTTTGAGTTGGAATAGTGTGGTTCACCATGAATATAAAATAACGAAAATATAGCGTCCGTATCCACAACAAATTTCTCCAAGTGATCTGAGTTACATTGACCTAGTGTTACGCATAACGGAGTTATGCCCCTTATCATTATATCGTGTATGACCTCTCTGTCGCCGTTTGGCGTCATAGAAGAAAAATACATTTTGACATTTATTGCGAGTCATTTTTAATGTTGAGGTATAACGCTATGCACAAGCACAGACACCCAATTCATATCACGGGTTATGTCGCTCAGATATCAGGCTGTATTTTCTTCGGCCACACTTTCCGTAGAAGATGCCCCATTAAAAAATTCAGTAGCACATTGCTTTTTATCGGTAAGCGATAAAAGCGGAGAAATTTACTGCTTTTATCGCATAACAAAAATTTGGACAAAATTTAGCAAGGTCTATTTCTCAAACCGCCAAGGTAGTTGCACTTATATTTATACCAACGGATAGGAAATTTAATATTCTACATTTCTGTGTAATTTTATAGCCTTACGTAGATCCAGGACCACGCGAGAGCAATTCTCGCGACGCGTTCACTTTTCAAAGCGTGATGAAAATGTGGCCTGAAAAAACTTCGGCAGCCAGGGGTTAAACAAAACGTAAATCGAATAAGATGAAATTAAGATTGCGAAATCCTCATAATTTTACCTTGCCAACTGAACATTTAAATCTCAGAATTTTATTTAACTTAGGATAAAAGTTGTTTAACAAACGATCATAGTTTCAAATCGCTATTATTGGTTTGTATGCACATTAAATGAAACACCGGTACATGTAGAGTTGGTCTAAGTTAACGCTCATCACAAAACGCACGTGCATTTGTTTCACTGTTCCAACTACTGCTCTTGCCCCCTTGTAATACAAACCAATAACAGCGATTTGAAACTATGATCGTTTGTTAAACAACTTTTGTCCTATAATGAATAAAATTCTGAGATTTAAGTGTTCAGTTGGCAAGGCAAAATTATGAGGATTCACAGTCTTAATTTCACTTTATTTGATTTACTTTTTTGTTTAAAGTGAAATTCATCGGTACGTTTTCACTGCAAACAGACTATAATACAAGTTTCATGGTGCTATCCCACAGCGAAAGGTTCAAACACAAATTCCTTGTTCTGGAGACTGACCAACCAGTTCTAGTTTTGTCTGTTTAATGATGAATGCCAGCCAAGGTAACACTAACACTCTTAGACCCGCGAAGATCCAGGTTAGAATTGGTCTTCAGCAACCCATGCTTGTCATAAGTGGCGACTAACAGGATCAGCTGATCCAGTTCGCTGACTGGGCGACACGTCATTGTATCCCAATTGAGTAGATCGATGCTCATGCTGTTTATCTCTGGATTGTCTGTCCTGATTCGATTATTTACAGATCGCCATCATATTTCTGGAAGTGTGGCATTAAACAATGACCAAATCCAATTAACACTCTTAACAATTTTGGGTTTGGTATTGAGTTAATGACCCTCTTGCAGGGCTACTGAGCCTCTTACAAGCTACGGAGCTACTGACCCTCTTGCACGGCTACTGAGCCTCTCACAAGGCTACAAAGCTACTGACCCTCTTGCATGGCTACTGAGCCTCTTACACGGCTAGTGACCCTCTTGCATGGCTAGTGACCCTCTTGCACGGCTAGTGACCCTCTTGCATGGCTACAGACCCTCTTGCACAGCTACTGAGCCTCTTACAAGGCTACAGAGCTACTGACATTCTTGCATGGCTACTGAGCATCTTACAAGGCTACTGAGCCTCTTGCACGGCTACTGAGCCTCTTACAAGGCTACTGACCCTTTGCAAGGCTACTGGCCCTCTTGCAAGGCTACTGAGCCTATTACAAGGCTACTGACCCTCTTGCACGGCTACTGAGCCTCTCACAAGGCTACGAAGCTACTGACCCTCTTGCACAGATACTGAGCCTCTTACAAGGCTACTGACCTTTTTGCACAGCTACTGAGCATCTTACAAGGCTACTGAGCATCTTACAAGGCTACTGAGCATCATACAAGGCTACTGACCCTCTTGCACGGCTACTGAGCATCATACAAGGCTACTGACCCTCTTGCACGGCTACTGAGCCTCTTACAAGGCTACGGAGCTACTGACCCTCTTGCACGGCTACTGAGCATCTTACAAGGCTACGGAGCTACTGACCCTCTTGCACGGCTAACTCCATGCCAGTGTTCCCGGCAGCTACCAGGTCCTGGTATCTCTGTGCTGAGTCATCAAACATCTGAACCAGCAACGCACACGTCTTCTCATACTCGCACCGACCTATCGTCGACAACTGAAACACAGATCGTCATAGGGTAGCTGTAAATACATACCGGGTCTTCAACTGTACAAGACTTGGGACAAAATACACAGGGAGGGGGTTGGTGGGTAAGTGAGTGGGTGAGTGAGCGAGCGAGCAATGGGTGAGTGAGTGAGCCTTTGCTGATATTACAGCCAGATGACTTCAGGGGACGCCACAAGTGGGCTTGACACATCCATGTGTGGAACTGTACCTGGGTCTACCCTGGGATGAACCCATGTTTCTGGGGTAAGACAACAATCAACAATAAGCCAGACATCACTCACTTGTTCTAGCTGCTGACTAATCATCCCATGGTCATCCAGCGGATCTTCTAAACCCTCTCTGCAACAAATAATTAACTTTAGTACCTAATGCATCTTCAATTAATGCCTGCAACATCATAATTGTAACAACTATTCATTTGAATAACATATCTTACTGAAGCACATGATCAGCAACTTTACAGCTGAAATATACTGTACAGAAAGTCACGTCCAGTCATAGCATACCACTGTGATCCATGTCACAGTGATTGGCAAAGGCATGTGCCATACACATTGTGGGCCCATCATATTTTCAGATGGCCCTTTAACTTTCTAAATCAGGGGGCCATTGGCACATTGATCAAACTGTCTTTCCCAATCACTGCATGTCATGATGATATGAGCCAGTGAGTTTGGTTTTACGCCGCTTTTAGCAATATTCCAGCAATATCACGGTAGGGGAAACCAGAAATGGGCTTCACACATTTTACCCATGTGGGGAATCGAACCCGACCTTTGGCGTGATGAGCGAACGCTTTACAGACAAGGCTACCCCACCGGCCCCATGATGGTATGAACTGCAACCAGCAAATCCACATTTTACTCACTTTTACAACTACCACATCGTCCCAGAATCCCCACAAATACAAGTAGATCTGAATACAATATTTCAGTCAACAAATCTATATCAGTGATACACTGATAGCCCATGATGCTATATTCACCTAACCAGCATGTCTCCTCATTCCCTGACGACAACACGCAAGGATTTAGAGTACAACCCTGTTGCAGACCCTCACCTTATGACGACATGTACAGACTCGAGGCGTGAACTGATGTATGCCTTGGTGACCTCCGGTGTGTACGTCTCCAGCAGGTGGGGCTCGGAAGCCTTGACATAGGGGACTGAGGCTACCATCCTCTGCCACAGACTCAGCAGGTAGTGGACACTGTTCGGGGCAAACTGCCACATCTGTACCAGACAGAGCAACACGTCAGACAAAAGAAATATCTCATTTGAAAACTGACTCAGAAATGTTCATTAAAATAAAAAAGCATAGCACTTAAAATGCACTGTCATTGGGAATTGTCTGCGTCTTAAGCCACTTTCAGCAATATCGGAGCAATGTCACAGCAGAGTGAAGATGCTGTAGCAATGAGTGTGAGGTGAGGTGAAATTGGGTTTAACGTCGTGCTGGAGAATATTTCGCTCAGATGACGACGTGCATGCGTGTGTATGTGTAGGTGCGGCTGCTTGTACTAGCCCAGACTGAAGCTGGTTTTATAGTGCTAGCCCACTGAGATACCATGCCGCAGTGAAGCAAGAATACCCCACTCAGACACATTATACTGACTCCGAGCCGACCAGTCCTTGTTGTACCCATGAATGCCGAGCGCCAGGCAGGGACCAACAAGTACCATTTTTTAACGTCTTTTGGTATGAAGCGGTCGGGGATCGAACCCGCGACCTTCCGCTCTCCGAGCGGACGCTCTAACGACTACACCACGGAGGCGGTTCAGCAATGAGTGTGTGATAAGTGGAGCTATAGTAACGGCTGCAAGGATATATCGGTCAACAATGACACAATCCGCCAGATCATAAAATACAATCAACCAATGATTTTAACAGTTGGCGTGAACAAAACACCAATAATGTTTGGACATTTCTAGTGCACATCTGAGAAAACACCCATGATAACATAAGGAAGAGAATTTTTATGGATGTTAACTTCTTTATTATGAGGAACACAATGTTTGGGAGTATATCCTTACTCCTTCATCAGGTGAATGAATGTTTGAGGCAGAGAGCATATATATGTACATGTGAGAACAATAAAGCAATAAGACAACAAAGATGCAGGCTAAACAATGGAAGCCAAAAGTTCACTGGTGTTGATGTGTGATTGGCAAAGGACAAATGGATACCTCTCACCTGGGTACCCGGTTACTGGACACCTCTCACCCAGGTACCTGGGTTTTGAACACCTCTCACATGGGTACCTGGTTTTTAGTCATAACACCCCAAGACTCACCTGGGTACATGGGTTTTGGACACCTCTCATCTGAGTACCTGGTTATTGGACACCTCTCACCTGGGTACCTTGGTTTGGGATACCTCTCACCCAGGTACCTGGGTTGTGGACACCTCATCTGAGTACCTGGTTATTGGACACTCTCTCACCTGGTACCTTGGTTTGGGAAACCTCTCACCTGGGTTTTGGACACCTCTCACCAGGGTACCAGGGTTTTGGGCTACTTGGGGTTTGGGGTACCTTTGGTTGGAGTATGACTCACCTGCAAACTGGTCACAGTGAATTCCGCTACAAGTTTGATGATTTCAGAGTAGTTATCAACTTTGACTAGTTCACCCAGCTGGTAGTTGGATTTCAGACGGGCAAGGAGACGACAGAACTCGTGGTAATTGCTGGGGTCTGACAAACCCTGGAAACAACACAAGCAATTTCCATATCATTTATTGAGTTTTCCTAATAAAAGCTCAACGCTTACATTGTTTTTACACAAACACAATGTATCTATACACAAGGAACAAAGTCAGCAACCATTGATGACATGTAAAACGTAAACTAGTCATTCTAGTCAAGTCAGCGGAATGTGGTAGGAAAGCCAAAATTGATGCATGTCTCATCCGATTACCACTTTCGTGAAACCAGCGAACACATGTCGTTTGTTGTCTAACGCCGCACTCAGCCATATACCAGCTGCATGGCGGAGCTCTATAAATAATCAAGGCTGCTCCAGACAATCCAGTGATCAACATCAAGAACATCGACCTATGCAATTGAGATACGATAACATGTGTCAACAAGTCAGTGAACGTGACCACCCGATTCCGTCAGTCGCCTCCTACAACACGAACACGTTTGGTGCGGACGAGGCTTACATAGTTTACATAGTAGACTATAAGTTTCTGCCATGCACAAGGGAAGCAACTCCGCACAGGGAACAGTAGCATATTTGACAACCAGTATTCCTTAAAAAATACAAGGCAGTGTCCAGAACAGGATGCACATGACCAAATTTTAAAATCAGCATTTATAATTACAGAGCTCCAAATCAGTTCCAATAAGGCTTATGTTTTAAAGGTGCACTCTTTCCATTGTCAATTGTTTTCTTGATAATTAACAGCAAACAATAAATTGCACCATGCTCTCATATGATGACAATTTAATGAACAAAAATTTCAATTTCAATGAGTTAAGTATTTCAATTATAATTTTTGCAGCACATCGAAAAACATTCAAGGAACTTTAAGGTTCCATTTTAAACTATTGAAAAAGTTTGCTAAAAAAGCTACCTGTGGATTATCTAGAATTCCCCTGACTCCTCGGACAAGGCTGTTGAGAAACTTGGCTCTCTCTGTGTTGTTGAACAAGGACCTCCTCACAGAGGCAATCTGCACAAGGCAAGACAGGGCCTGCAAAAAGAAATAAGTTTGCTACATATACAACTTTTAGCCGAAGGAAATATTTAAAAGCTGTCTTACACTTAGAATGTCACCTTCACAAGTTGAAAGCCAAATTGTATAAACGTCAGAGCTTTCAACTTGGAGTTTGGCCAAACGGAGGCAAAAATACTAAGTTGACCAAAAAAGCATCTGAAAATGATCAGAAACAACATTTCTGTATTTATTTGAGCTTGGAAAGCGTCAATATGCTAATGTCAGTTTCATGGTCACATGACTTGCCACTCATCCTACAGGACAGTTATATATGTAGGTAGACTTCAAATTGTAAAATTATTAGCAGTGTTCAGTACCATTAACTATAGTCTTTTTTCCTGGGGTTTGACAATATTGCAGATAAATAATCAAGTCTGGGCCAGACAAATCAGTAACTGTTATTCTGTGTAATGTCCCACACCATTCAATCAGGATCGCTCACACTCCACCAAGTCTTACTGCTACTGAATATACAGTGGTCTCTCTCAGTAAGTATCTTTGCTTGTTGTTTAACACTGTTTCAAGCTTCAAGATAATGCAGGCTCTTTGTACATAATTGTCTCTGGATCAGACAATCCAATGAGTGACATCATGAGCATCAATCTGGAACAGCTCTCACAACCAACTGTCACAACTGGGATACGATGACATGTGTCAACCAAGTAGTGGTGGTCCGATTAATTGAAATAATCGAAGATTGGTCGCAGTGACTAAACGACCAAGCAATCGATCATATTTTCTCATAATCGAACACAAACAATTCTGGAACACTTTTTGCATTAACAATATTTTTCACAAGGTTGGTTTTGTAAGTTACATTTCATAACCACTACAAGCTTGTTCCAAGTCATGATTGAATTAATCTTAAAGACTCAAGGAATTTTATGTTCCTAACATACTAGTTGAGTAGTAATCCTTTCAAGATGTGAAATTTGCACACGCTTTTTCTTTATGGTCCTTTTCATTAACAAGAAAAAAAAAACACAAAAAAGATGGAAAATTTCATAAATGACGCTAACCAATTATTTTCGATGATTGATCGGTTGTAATGAAGCAATCATCAATTATGAGGTTTTAACCAATTCCCAACACTACATCCAAGTCAACGAGCCTGACCACAGGATCCCGTTAGTCGTCTCTTACGACAAGCATGGATTGCTGAAGACCATGACTAACCCACATCTTCACAGGTCCAATTTGTAGTGAATGAGTGAGTGAGTTTAGTTTTACGCCACTTTTAGCAATATTGTGCAACACCAGAAATGGGCTTCACACATTGTACCCATGTGGGGAATCGAACCCGAAGTCTTTGGCGTGACAAGATAACACTTTAACCACTAGGCTACCCCAATGCCCCGGTCGAAATTGTATCATATAGTATATGTACATGGCTGCAGTAGTGTGGTCTTTCAACCTACCATTGGTGACAGGGATGTCGGTAGACCGGAGTACAAGTCAAAGAAGAGCTGAAGTGTGCTGAAGTCAAGGAAGGCTGAAACAAAAATGAATTTACCAGCATGAAGATGAATGATTTATGACAGGACTTGATCTCTTGTATTGCATAAACCAATCCTACAAAACCACTGGCAAACAAGGATAAGTTGGACCAGCGCAGAGAACGGGTTTACGAGAAGTAGGCAGTGCACAGCAATGAGCAAACCCATTTGGTTTGTGAAAGGTAGAGCAGATGTAGGCTAGTGCATGTGCAATGCAAACAAATGCACGTGCCACTGTTGAACTCGGTGTTTGCTGAGACAGGCCATGCGCTTCGCCCATCGCACTACACTTGATCGGGGACAACCTGGGGCCCCTTCGCTAACAATGGCAAGCACTGGTGGCACTCACGGGTCCATTGTCAGGTCAGTGCCCAATTTATCCTTGTTTGCCAGTACAAGTAGTTTGGAGCAGCAAATGTGGGGCAGTATATTGTAATTGGTTCACTGTGATAATACAAGCAGGCCAAATCAGTGCATGTACATTTGTTATAAGCCATAAAATGACACCCAAGCTATTTACAAGTTTCATATAGGTAAGGTGAGGTGAAATTGGGTTTAATGTCGTTCTTAAGAATATTTCGTTCGTATGTGTGGCTGCTTATACTATAGTACTGTCGGAAATAGAAAAAACTGTATTTTCTCATTTATCTCTACAATTTATGTAGTTGATATGTGAAAGTGTGAAATATCTGTAAAACTAAGTTCGGCCTAACTACAGTCCTCTCGGTGGTAGAGAGATAGGAAACGGAGAAAAAGGACTTTACAAAGGGAAATTAGTGCAGAAATGAGCAATGCGTTTTTTTCTAAGTCCAAAAAGACTTATGTGGAACAGACCATGGCTTTATGCAAATTAGTGTGCTTAATTTATATCGTATTACAAAGGACACTTTTTAAATGCCCAATTTGAAATTAGGACGTAGATTCATTATAAAAGATAGCTGACGAAAAAAATAATAACTTTTATGCCGAAACTATTAAGGATGTAGCTACCATGCAGTCTCACTGTCACTATAAAAGGAAACAGATAGGAGGGGTCGCCTCAAAAGCAAAACCTGGGGTCGGGCTTGGGGATAGAGATATCAGCTAAGATAAGATAATCCTTTAGGGCAATTATACTGGGGAGGTACACGGCACGTCATAACAATTTACAAATAATATCCAGTCCTGTTGATCTTCGGGTGGTCATGCCACCTATATACTCTGACGCGCTTCTATGGTTTTCGGTATCATACTCTCTTACATATCTCAACATAACCTTTATGAAAGAAAGACACGTAAGATGTTAATCAGTAGATGAGACAAAGTCAACACACATGAAAAAGGGCAAAATATCTTTGAGATGACCCCTTGTGCCTGTAGGCAGCACGTGCATTTCATGCCAGGTGAGTCGACGGTCCGTCGTCATACCTGGCTGAGCCGTAATCTAATTGCCATCTATAGTCTGATCTATTGTTTTCAGCAGCTATTCGTATTTTTTCTAAGTTTTGCCCAATTTCACGAGTAAACATGCTTTTCTGGATATCGATTAGGCATCCCACTGAACTTCCAGTTAGGCCGGCGGGTTATTTCGACATATACTATTTGCAATTGTGTCAATTTTAGGGATACAGAGTAACAGCCTAAAACAGTTTTTTTTCTATTTCCAACAGTACTTTAGCTCAGACTGGTCTTATGGTGCCAGCTCACTGAGATACCATGCCGCAGTGAAGCATGAATACCCCACTCAGACACAATATACTGACTCTGAGCCGACCAGTCCTCGTTGTACCCATTAATGCCGAGCGCCAGGCAGGGACAAACAAGTACCATATTTTAATGTATTTTGGTATGACAGGGCCGGAGATCGAACCCGCAGAAGCTGTAACCACTACACCATGGAGGCGGTTTACAAGTTTCATATAAATTGAAGCAATACCATATTTTGTTGAGTATAGTGCAGATTGGTTTGGGTTGTTGTTTAACACCGCGACTCAGCAGTATTCCAATTATATTATACAGTCTGTAAATAATCGAGTCTGGACCAGACAATCCAGTGATCAACAGCATGAGCATCAATCAACACATTTGAGGTACAATGACATGTGTCAACCAAGCAAGCTAATCAGACCACCTGATCCTGTTAGTCGCCTTTTAGAACATACATGGGTTTCTGAAGACCAATTCTAACCTGGAGCTCCATGGGTAAGTATAGTGCAGAGGGACAGAGTGAGCCCAGACAGCCAACATTACACCAGGTCGTGACTGACAATGTCTCCAGTTTTACAAAAACATCACTACACCTACCTGTTCTCCAGCTGGTTGGAATCTGTACAGTGCACAGGTCGTCCGATGACTCGTCTGTTGACGTACCGATGAAGTCAAACGTCAAGCAGTTGTGTGCCAGACGAAGTGCATGAGATAACAGGCCACGCTGAAACAGAATCAATTGACAATCTTTACACATTATCTAAATTCATCCATCATTAAACAGCCTTAATCTTACTCCTATAAAATCATTATATTCTTAAATCAAACTCACATGAAGATTCAAGGGCTGAAAAGATACTTCATACCAAAGGTTATGGACCAGACAAACCAGTGTTTGACATCATGAGCACCAATCTGAACCACTGGGTACAATGACAGGCATCAAGTTTAACCAAGTCCAAAACCTAACCACTGATCTTTACTGATCTTTTTGGTGGATAACAACAAAGCTGTGGTTTTCATGAGTCAACAAAATAGAGAGCTGTTGTTCACTATGGGTGACCTTGCGTTTTGTCATCAAACCCTATGGCATCAACTATTACTCATTGTATCAACCACTAGGGGTGTTGCAGAGAATTTTGATATTGCGATATATTGCGATGCTAAAGCATGTATTGCGATATGTATTGCAATATATTGCATGAAGTATTTTTAAACAAAAACTACTTATAATCGAGGTAATGCTTGATTTATAGAGCAAATACCAACAAAATCATTATGTTTGATTAAGCTTTAATAACAACTTTTATTCATGATTAAAAATAAAAATGTGAATAATATTTGGCAACAAATGAAAAAAGGAAACATCCTAAGATTTCCGAAAGTGTTACACGAAGTTTTCCGAATGCAAGTAAAAAACGGTTTTCGATCAGCATATCGCAATACGTATCGCTTTCATGTCTGAACCGGTAAATACCGTAAACTGGTTATATTGTGCAGCCCTATCAACCACTGGTTTGCAAGGCCTAGACTATTTACACGCTTATATGGTTTGATTCAAAGATTATGTGAATTGTGACCGCCATAGTCATAATCTCACCTGGTTGTCATCATTGAAGTCCAGATTCTTCAGATTTCCAGCTGCAGATCGAAGAAGTGAACAGGCCAGCTGGAAGATCTCAAACAGCTGGGTGTCTCGGAATGAAGATGCGATCTTCCGTGTTTTGTTAGAGATCTGCTGGCCTCAGACTAAAACCAAGAGAAGACTCTGATACACTTTGAATAGAAACTAAAGCATCAGGAGAATGAATACAAAAGCTTTCACCAATATCCTTTTCACCAATATCCTTTCACCCTTTCACCAATATCACAATCTGACAGCAAGAAGGTTTCCATGTACACTTCAGTCCAAATACTTTTGAGACTACTAGCCCAAACTTGGCTTAGCATAGAAACTTTCTGTATATTTTCAGATCATTTTTAAACTGTTACTAGTTGTGTATACTTGGCCATTACAAGGAGAAATATCACAAGTTGACATCTACACCAGACCATGTTCAATATTGAGTATTAAAACCACGGTATTTAACACCCAATTTAAAGAACAAGTCCTTCGAAGAAAACTTTCCATCAGTTCAAAATAGGTTAAATTGTGAGTATTGACAATTTATTTAAGCTATAACCAAGCAAACTTATCCACATTGTAAAATTTAACATAAGAAAGAATTGTGAAGACACAGACCTATCCACATTGCAACAGACTAAATACCCCAGCTGGACACAAGAAGGAATTGTGAGAGAGCAGAAAGACGTGTAAAAGCATATCAACACAGACGATTCACATTGCAACAGTCTAAATACCCCAGCTGGACACAAGAAGGAATTGTGAGAGAGCAGAAAGACGTGTAAAAGCATATCAACACAGACGATTCACATTGCAACAGTCTAAATACCCCAGCAGGACACAAGAAGGAATTGTGAGAGAGCAGAAAGACATGTAAAAGCATATCAACACAGACCAATCCACATTGCAACAGTCTAAATACCCCAGCTGGACACAAGACAAAGCTGTGCAACTCCAGAAAGACAAATGTGCGAGTGTCACAGAACAAAGACAACAGCAATGGTGGAGATGTACAGGTGTGATGCAATACATGGCAGTCATGTAATGGACGAGGTTGTACATTTCCCTTACCTCACTGACCTGGTTCATTTCACACACCAGCTGAGACAGTAGCTGCCGCGCCAATCATCACATGTTGGGTGGACCCACTCTGCAACAACACAAGCAGTAGGGGTGCATGGTATTATTACTACCAAAATCAGAAGTACTAATGATCATAAATTATAATATGCTGTAAAATACCAGTATATCTTGCTTTTAATATTATAACCAATTTCATATTTTTAAGTTTACAGGAGTGACAGGTCAAATCGAATTTATCAATAAGATGAAACTTACAAATGATTCATGCAATGGGAAATGGGAAACTAGACCAGACATGTCCATGATATGGGTCATTTTCAAAATTGGTAGGATTTTCAATTCTTTATTACAGAAAAATCAATCTCCTGAAAATTGATTTAGTTTTATTCAAATGAAATCTCAAATACTTAATTATTCAATAATACAAACATGCAGGCTCAAATTTACTAATTGACCTTCTAATTGATACATAAGTAATTAATAGGGTGAGGGAAAGTCCTGACCGCTACCATTTCTTAATCAGAATAAGGATTTTGAGTTATAATTCATAAAAATCTTTTAAAGATGGCATGCACAGCTTTACACTGACTTAATCAAACTTGAAGGTAAAACTATTATCATGAATCTTGAAAGTGTTATTTTGTATCTTTCATTTATTTACCACAAAATAATTGCATTTTTCTAAAACATTATTATGCATATAGCTTTCAACAGGTAAAATTGTCTAAAATAAACATCAGCTACTAAGCCGAGGGACATCTTTTGATGACACTAGCATAAAGAGGAGAGGTTTCATGTATTATCATGAATTAATTACAGCAGTCAATTAATACCAGTAACGGTTAGGACAATAGTGGTAACGGTTTGGACAGGAATGGTAACGGCTGGCCATAAACCTTAAAAAAAATTTAATTCAACATAGAAACAGGTAACATGAAGGGAAAAAAATGATATCATATACTTCAATTGCTAACCCTATTTTGGACAGACAGTGAAATGTGTATTAGAAATTGCAACTTGTAACAAATGTGACATGTTTTCTTCCATGCTGTGGTAACGGTTTGGACATTTGTTATATCAATATGAAACTTGTGAATGAATTTAGGCTTTTGAATAAAACAAACTGTAGCTTCTAAAGAATAGAAAAACGCACCTGTTTACGCTTGAAAATCACTTATAATCTAAAGAAGAGTGCAATTGGGGAAACGAAAATTGAATGAATAGTAACGGTTGTGACATTATTGGTAACGGTCAGGACATCAGTGTAACAAGCAAATGTTATCCGCCTAAAAGTTGCAAAAGATTAAATTCTGCAAGATACTGCAACAACTATGATACTGTACACATGGTCATGCTACACAGGCCACTGCATAGATATCATTTTGCTGTTGATATTATGGTGCAATATTAGTCTCCAATTTTAAATATACTTCTTTCATTCACTCGGATACCTTTTAGTTTTTGTTAATCGTGAGATGGTAACACATATTAACATATTAGCACCTAGCAAATATTCAAAGTAAATGGTAGCCTTACATATCTCACAGTTCAAGTTAAAACAGTTTAAATCTTTAAAGGTTGGAATACTGAAAGTTGTTTACCGCTACTACATTTTGTCCAAACTTTTACCATAGATGTCCTAACCGTTACCTTTAATTTATAAAGACTATAGATCTTATAGAAAATAGAAACTTAACGTACTAAATTCGTTTTGGTTTTATTATTTAAAGCAGATAGATTAGTAAACAGAAAATTATTATCACACCATGGAACATATTCTTTAAAATTGAAATTTATTAAAGATATGTCCAGACCCGTTACTATTATTTGTCCAAACCCGTTACTAGAGACTGTTTTTATGCTACTACATCAAAACTCCTTTGAACAGTAAAATTCCATGCTTAAACTTATCTTAACCCTTAAAGTAATTATAAATTTGTTATATTTCAAATATTAATGAACAAGTTTTGAAATACAAATCATTTTGTCCAGACTGTTAGTTAAGGACTGTCCAAACCGTTACTTTGCAGAATGGTAACGGTTTGGACAGTAACGGTCAAGACAATTTGTAAGTAAATCTAAAATAAAAAAATGAATGATCCCTAAAAGATTTCAAAGGACATGCCTTCCACCTCTTCCATTTCTGGGTAACATATCCATTGAAATTTAAAAAATCAAAGGGATATATTTGACACAAAATACATTGGTAACGGTCTGGACAATTAAGGTTGACACATAACATTTATAATGCATTTGATGGTTGTCAACGCTCTGCAAAATGTGTTGAATTTCATTATTTCATCTGCTGTCACAAGCACAGGGGCTAGTTCAAGCAGACACAGGAAGTAGAATTACAATCCAGCTCCAGGGGAAATATTGCTGGAATTCCATACACTGGTAACGGTCAGGACACAGAATCACAGGACAAGCATGTTACAATTTGTAGAAAAAAAACTTTTAAGTTAAAAAAAATTAAATGCAGTTTGAGTATGCCTGTTCAATCCTAATTGGCATAATATGAATTAGTTTGTTTATTTGCATTTAAATTTACATTATTTGTGAACATTGATATTAGGACCGTCACCTCCGGACAGAGCAAATCTGCCAATTTTGACCCTAAAATGTGGCTAAATATAAATTTCAAAATGACAAGACTAATGATATACCATTATATACTGACTAGTAAACATCTAAATATGTTTTCTAGCACAAAAAAAATCCTTTTTAAGTTAACAGAGTTTTTTTTAATTTGGAACGGACAGAAAATCCTACCAATTTTGAAAATGACCCATATATATTCAAGGGTTCCTCATCATTATGCTAAGAAGCCTAGTAGTAGGCTATGTTGAGCATCAGGAGTCACCGGATTAAAGCACTATAGCAATATGGCATGACACATCAAGAAGTCCAGCGCCTCTCTAAATTTGAAATTAAATGCTTCATTTTCAATCTTCCCCCACCCCAAATAACCAAACAAATTTTACCTACTTTAAAAAGCTGTACAATATATACTAGTTTCATTGATTAACAAGTTCCAATATCAAGAGGAGTTATTTGGGTAATTGGTATTTAACACTGCTTTCAAAAGTATTCACATCACAATGATGCAGCATGTGTGTGAGTGAGTGAGTTTAGTTTACACGCACTCAGCAATATTCCAGCTATATGGCGGCAGTCTTTGTATAATTGAGTCTGGACCAGACAATCCAGTGATCAACAGCATCAGCATCGATCTGCGCAATTGGGAACCGATGACATGTGTCAACCAAGTCAGCGAGCCTGACCACCCAAGCATGGGTTACTGAAGATCAATATTCTAACCCGGACCTTCACGGGTCGCAACATGTTAGAAATACAGGAGAAAGGTCTGAAGGGGTAAAACTCATGAGCATGGCCATGGTGCAGAAAAACTAGAAACATAACCAGGATTCAAACCCATGATGACAGGCTTCTGAAGTTCCAAGGGGACACAACTCTGCACACAAACAGTGGTGCTTACATAACTTGGCTATACATGCCCTTCCAGTATCAATGTGGACATTACCTGTATGAATTTGCCAACATCAGTGACCACATCTCTGAAGACATAGTCATCCTTGTTGATGTCAAACCACCCAAGTTTGGTGATTCGAGCAAATAGCTGAAAAAGACACAGTAACTTAATTTTAGGATATTTCATTAATGGCAACAGACCTCTCAAAACCATGAAAAGAATCCATTTTCTTGCTCCACATTTCAAATGACTTCACGCAGCACTGACAAAAATCCACTGTTCTATTAACGATCAAGTCAGCAATATTCCAGCAATATGACAGTAACAAAATAAACCCAACAAATTTCAAGTTTGGATCACACAATCCAGTGATGACTGACTGAGTTTGGTTTTACGCCGCTTTTATCAATATTCCAGCAATATCACGGCGGGGACACCAGAAATGGGCTTCACTCATTGTGCCAATGTGGGGATTCAAACCCGGGTCTTCGGCGTGACGAGCCAACACTTTAACCACTAGACTAACCCACCGCCTCCAATCCAGTGATGAAGATTATGAGCAACAATATAGGCTATGGGATACAATTCATCCCTTTCTCAACCATATGCTAGAAATAAAGAGCAAATCCTTACTGCACAGGTAGAAGTTTTCCTTTTAGAATTATTTGCAGTTAACCTCATCGAAGACATCATTTCTGGGACAACTTAGTCCAATCACATCAATGAATCACATATACATTTGAAACTCTTTAGAAATTAGGTGTAAAACTATTTAGTAAAGTCACAATATCAGGATACATAGGTCATGATACAAGATGTACCAAGATACGCATAATCATGTCAAATCTACTGGAAACCTCTTGCCAAAATACATTTCAGAGCAAGTTCTAAAGGAAAAGTTAGCTTTAGACACAACCATGTTTGTGCATAAATATTTCTTGTAGTAACCTTGAATGACTAATTACAATTCATTTTGTCATTTTAACTGACAAAACACAGGGATCATTAAATGAGTACTTAAGTACTATAACAAGTGCATGGTCTTGTATTAACACAGAAAGAAATATATCATCGCATGAACTCTTGCAAGCTGTACTCCATAAAATCAATATGTGAGTGAGTGAGTTTAGTTTTATGCCGCTTTTAGCAACATTCCAGCAATATCACGGTGACGGACTCTCAGACATCAGAAATGGGCTTCACACATTGTACCCATGTGGGAAATAAAACCTGGGTCTTCGGCATGTCGAGCGAACGCTTTAATCACTAATCTACCATTCCGACCCTAAAATCAACACACTGACTAGTACTGTCAGAAAACGATGACAAAGAAGGAAACATGACTGACATGGTCACTTCCTTACCTGAACAAGCGCTTGTGACACATAATGAACAAGTTTCGGCCGTGTAGCAAGGTAGTTCAATATGTAGTTTCCTGGAAATAAGTTTGATTTTATAAACACATATTTCACCAGTATCTTCTCAGTAGCATTATTTACCTTTATATGCGTATACTGTTGCCGTGAACATGAAGTACATGAGAAATGTATGAGGTGATGCTTAAATGAGGTTTAACTTTTCATTCAAGAATACTGTACTAACGGTGATGTGGCACCAGTGAGGGGCTGCATGCACTAGTCTGAACCTACGCCAGTTTTATAACGGCACTCCATCAATAGTGGTGGTCCGATTAATTGAAATAATCGAAGATTGGTCGCAGTGACTATACGACCAAGCAATCGATCATGTTTTCTCATAATCGAACACAAACAATTCTGGAACACTTGTTTTCATAAACAATATATTTCACAAGGTTGGTTTTGTCTGTTACATTTCATAAGCACTACAAGCTCGTTCCAAGTCATGATTGAATATATCTTAAAGGACTCTAAGAAATTTATGTTCCTTGCATACTTGTCATCCTTTAAAGATATGAAATTTGGCACCAAAAAACCCCAAAGAACTACATGGATTTTTTCCTTATTTGAGCATTAACAAAAATAACCAGGAACATTTCATAAATGACGATAACCAATTATTTTCGATGATTGATCGGTTGTAATGAACCAATCATCAATTATGAGATTTTAACCAATTCCCAACACTAGTCCACAAACATACCATGCCGAGTGCCGTGCCCTCAGTGATTCAAGCAATATCATTAAACGGAACACCAGAAACGAGCTTCACATGTTGTAGCCTTAGCCCAGTAAACACTGTTACCTCAATTCTTCACCAGTGAGTGAGTGAGTGTAGTTCTACACCGCTTTTAGCAATATTCCAGCAATATCACGGTGGCGGACACCAGAAATGGGCTTCACACATTGTACCCTTGTTGGGAATCGAACCCGGATCTTCGGCGTGATGAGCGAACACTTTAACCACTAGTCTACTCCACTGTCCTGAATATTGTGCAGATTGTACCACTTACAGCAATCCAGGAAATACTAGAGACTCTGTGTAACTAGTTCTTGAACAGTGTCTACTATTAATGAGTGAGTGAGTATGGTTTTATGCTACTTTATTGCAATATTCCAGCAATATCACAGCAGGGGACACCAGAAATGGGCTTCACACATTGTACCCATGTGGGGAATCGATCCCAGGTCTTCGGTGACGAGCGAACGCTTTAACTATTAGGCTACCCCACCGACCCCCCTGTTATTAATCATGTTGCTACGTGAATATAACCTGTCATGTAATGAATCCTACACATTGTGATTAAGAAGTTATAAATCAAAGTACTGTATGAAGAGCCTCGTACAGTACAATACAGTGTTGCCGTATTGTTACACCACTGTAGATCACTAGCTACACTTGTTGGAAGCAGGACTTACGTATGTCAACACGCTGTTCTAACGGTAGTGTGAGGTTGGGTCTGGTCACCAGTTTTGTCAATGTTGTTGCTGCAAGCAGTTGTGCATAGGCAGACTGGAAAATAACAAAACAAACATGTCAGTAGGCTGCCTTTAGGACCCACAGACTGCAGCAGAAGCTTAAAACCTTCAGGTCCTCATTTGTAAACAAATGCAGCTTACACTGAGCTTACACTGCTGAAGGCAATGAAGATCCATACAAAATTGGAACTACAGACCTGGGGCTCCTTGCACATAGCAACCTTTACTAAGGTTAACCTTAACTAGGGCTGGGACAATACACTATGTCGAAATTCACAACACATGTTTATCCTAAACGCAGCTTATTGCTGAAGGATATTTTACCTGCAATAAAACCTTGATAATTATCTTAACTAGGACGATACATACACCTTGAAAGAATGGCACAGTATTAAGATTTAAACTGATTTATTTCAAGTTATTTGAGTATAACAACAACACTATTGTAATAAACAAACAAGTAACTCTATCATACTTGCCTATATTTCTCTAAATAAGTACTTTAACATGTTTAAGATAAAACTGTTTTGAAAAAAAGTTGTGTATCATTTTGTATCGATACACCAGTCGACGATATGATAGCTGTATCAAACTTAAATGTATCGCGATGTATCGGTGCATCGTCCCAGCCCTAACCTTAACTCCCATTCTTCACCATTGCACTAAGGTTACCTTAGTGACTTACGATCACCTTAGTGGTTTGTGAAAGGAGGCCCAGACATCTATCTGCCACTGACCTAAAGGCAGGAACTGTCTACACACTGGTTTGTGTAAATGGTAAAGATTCAGGAGTCACATTGAGAGCCCACTTCTGATCTGTTTCATTATCCAATATGGTTGCTGGCAGCGGTATTTGATTGCCAATCAAAATGTTGTGGACAAACTTGGTATGAAAGGAATATTCTTAAACTGTTTGGGTTTTTTAAAATTATTTTTTAATTATTTAGCAGCCATACATTATAGAGCTGTGACGATATATCGTAGTATCGATAATCGTGATACTTTATCTGACGATAAATATATCGATACTATTTTTCGTATCGTGATATGTATCGTTGACCTTAAAATTGTTAATGTTCACCAGAAATTGAAGGTTATGTCAAAATTTACACTGTTATTTGCTATCAAAATATACTTTTTGAAAGAAAATAACTAAAGATAGCATATCGTGATATGCATCGAATCGAATCGTTCCAAGATATCGCGATACGTATCGTATCATGAAATTTCTGTATCGTCACACCTCTAATACATTACTTTATCTTTTGATGCCATGAATATACTTGAGATCCTGCATGGTAAAAATCATCCTGACAAATCTTCAGCTGAATCCAAATCCTTTGCTAAGCAATCCCAAAATAAAAAAGCCTTTCAGGCCCAATGAGCTAAAAATACAGAGAACCATAATGACTGATTAGGATACTGTAAACACTCTGTTGTCAAAGCGCACCCAGAGGCCCAGATAAGCTGCGTATCCGGGTAAAATATGCATAGAAAATTTCCAAATACGCATTGAAAATAATTGTTGCATACCAATTACGCATTTAAAATGTTAGATACGCAAAAAGTTAAAAACAAATGCGTACGGAATATATTTATGAAAATCGCTTGCGTAATTAAAAAGACATTGATTGCTATCAAGTTGTACTCTTAGTATAGGACAAGTGTTGTACTGTCAGTATAGGATGAGTCATTTTTTATGAAATCATTTCCATTATATTTAAGTTGGTTTTGATTAGGTATGACATGAGGCAGAACATACATGCTTAGTAAACTTACTCAATGACATAATACTTAGGTGAGTAAAATGACTGAAATACGCACATATTTGAAAGCAGTGGGTAACGGAAAATGAAATACCCACTCAACATTCATAATACCCACTTCAAAAAAATACAGTGGGTACAGTACCCACATGAGCTAAATCTTATCTGGAGCTCTGCGCACCCCAAAAATATGTCTTACATTTCCTCTTTCCAGCAGAAGCTGACATTTGTTGAGACAATCTGGGGAGTTGGCAAACGCAACCAGCGCCTTCTCTGCTTCAGACCGAATATTGCCATCCGCAGTCTCATACAGCTGCTTGCATAGCTCTTCAAGCTGTATTAATTCCTGAAAACAATGTTCAGTGTAAAAACAACACATAAAACTGTCCATATTTGTTTCCCATCCGCAAACCTGAGCTGAATTGTCTTTGGGACAATGAAAAGTTTTATTACCTCAATTTTGCTTGCTGTTGTTGAACTATTTGCCCTTAATGATAAAAATACTCATATATTTGCATATTCATGCCAAAAAGGTCAGCTTGCTCTTTCTTTGCCTATATAATATTTATCAACAACAAAAAACGTTTCCAAACCGAAGGAACTCAACTTACATCATGATAAATTTTAAGCCTACTACCAAGAGATCTTGTATTGTACATTTCATAAAATATATTACAAAATTAGTGTGATTAGTGAAACCATCTTAATTTAATTAACATATTTATTTTCACCCAATTTCTTCTGGTTGAGGTTGGACATGAGAAACATAAAATAAAATACGGATAGCCTTACAGTGACCACTTAATTTCAGGCAGCTTTCTGCAATATTCAACCCAAAATCAATAGAGAAGACAAAAGAATGTTTTCACGCATTGGAACAGTGTGCGTTATCACAATGCTTCCACTGCTAAGAAAATGCACTACCATCTTCACCTTTATAAGTGTCCCTCTTCAATAAGCGAAATACCAAATTCTAGACCACTTTGTAATTAATTCTTATAACCCTAAGGGACTGGTCAAAATTTATGGCTGGCTGGGGTGAGGATGATTTTTATGGAGAAGCATGTACAATTACCCTCCCCCCTTAAAATTTATGTATAAAGTAAGCAGGGATGTACAGGACGCGAATTACTGCGTCCTATATGCTTAAAAATTGACAATGGATGCACCGAAATTTAACAGCCCTGAAAAATTCCAAATACTTTTTGTAAAAATTCCAATCAAGCTATCAAAGAGTTTGCTACTAGCTGGGTTATGGTATTATTTGAAGTCTAATTCCTGTAACAATTAATGTGATCATCATGATATACAATACAACAACAGTATTTGTTGTAATACTTAAAGTCTGGGACCCCCATTTTGTAGTCCAGGACCCCTGAAAATTGAGAGTACCGGTATGAGTCCCAGGGACCCTCAAATACAGGACTCAAGGTAAATCCCTGAGTAAGTGACCCCACTGAATGTCCAGTACAAAATCAATGACCACACCTCCCCTCCCCATAATTTATGAGCATACTTTTTTTCATGTTTTTATGTACAAAATTGATGACCCCCCTGCCTCCCTTGAAAAAATGGGTGACCCTCCCTTAAAATCCTTATCACTCCCCCGACCACCAGCCATAAATTATGAATGGTGCCTTACTAACTTTACAACAAACTAAATTCTTGCAAATATTTCTGAATATGTCTTCATGGAAAGGGTATATAACTGTAGTTATCCTTGCAATTTTTGTAGCGTCATTTTAATGGTAGAACTGAATTGGTTCTGAACCGCTTGAGTTGATCTCTGAATACATACTTGTGTATGGTTTACAGCATGCTACTAAGCACCCTCTTTCTTCAATAATCTAAGCACCTGGGTGCTTATTTATTAGAGCAAATATGGTAATGGTCACAAGGATCAAACAATTACATTCAACATCTTAAAGGCAAATGAATACTGTTGAATATTAATGAAATATTATTGGTTTCCTGCTTCTTTTGCATGTACATACAATAATAAAGTCATATCATCTATCTCATCATTATATTTTTTATGTATGTACAAGCATAACTTCATACCATCTGTTCAACTCAACATGGTAATTTACAATCATGTCCACAAAATTCGGAGTTCAGAATTAAGGGAGTTTCCTATAATCAGGGGTGGAAATAACCCATTGCCCGACGTCCGAGTCCAGTGTTTTTTTTCTGTCGGGCAAGCACATTTGTATATCACACTGTTAATTATGTTGTTTATTTTAAAAATTCGACAAGAAAACGGCCGGTATAGTGGGAAAATTATCAGGACAAGTGATTTTACATGTGCCACTGTCCCGGAGTACACTAGCAATTTTAAAGTTATTTCCACCCGTGATAATCCATGTGGTCTTCTGCCATGGAGTCTGACATGAAGGACCCCATGAACACTTTGTTGAGCGGCTATTGTTGGTCAACTTTAATTCCAACACTGACTAATATGGTAAACAACAGTAAAATAATGCTACCATTCCATTTAGGATTAGGGACCTGTTAAACATTTATTATGAAAATTATGTCTTGGCTGCATTGGCTGATAAAAATAATGATGATGCAATGTGAGAAACTTCTACATTTCAGGATAAAATCCTCTAAAAACGAAGATAAATGCTGATATACCTCAAGAAAACATAATAATCTGAAATGATCTTCACATTCATTTAAACTGAAACTTCAGTATATATATCATGCTATCTCCAATGCCTTAAATAGATCTGACAATTGTCAAGAAAGGTGCTAGTAGAAAAGAAATTGACACACAATGCCAAAAATAGTTTAAAAAAGCATATCCACCTATTCATTATCATAAAAATGCAAAATGTGCATAGCTGTGAATAAGATAAGTCTTAGAGGGTTTCTTGGAATGTGTCCATTAGCAAAGTGTGTTCTGAAGAAGCAACATTTGATTTTGAGGTAGTTAAGATTTAAAGGATTCAATCTGGATGCACAATGGGAATGGAACTAAAGAACATATAACATAACTGATAAACAGTTATGGTTTCAAATAAGTTAATGCAAGTGGCAAGTTCCTGGTTTCCTTAAGACACATGGGGTAAAAAGAAGCTAAAAACAAGCATGGGTGACATCAGCTATTTCCCCCTTTAAGTTCTACAAATCTTATCCGATTTTGAAGTTTATTCACACAAAAACTCTTAATAAAATGTAAATGCACAACGTGTCCCACAAGTATGTAATAAACAATCACACTAATTCAACTGTCAATACCAACACGACCATGCTTATGCCCTATTTGTTAATGCAGAATGTGTAAAATGATGTCACATGCCCGCTAATTTCAACATTGCCCAACTGTCACGGGTAGCTATCGAGATAATTTCAAATGCAAACACTTTGGCAGTTTACTCTGTATTTGAAACACGTTAGCATTTTGCTTGTGGGCCAATTTTGACAGTCAACTCGAGACCGATGAGGAGTAAAACATGCTTTACTACACGACGATCCCTCACCTGGTCTTCCGCCATTTTGTTTTCCCCACATTTTCAAGTCAGCCGCAAGAGGGCGTTGTTTATTTCCTGCGACACCTTGCGGAAACAGTGTATCAAAGCAGGAAAGATAACTACGTTCGTCAGCCCTTCCCTTTTTCCAAATTCCAGTCATATTTTGAAAATTTTGTGTGAGTTTCTGTCATTGTTTAAGGAATGAGACATGTGTTTTCTTTGTCCATAACCGTCGATAACACGTCATACCATTCATAACCATCTAACTGATCCTGTTTTTGTGGGAAAACAATAAACAGAGCACAGTAAGCAGTTATGAAGGATACCAATATACGGATGAACAACTTCTTTATTGCCATGAGAGCGACGTTTCGGTATCGGTACTAACACCGTTATCAAGCAAGTGGCGAACAACATGAGGATAGAGAAGCATATATAGAAGTTAGAGATGTTTGTACTGTACAATAAGGGATTAGGAAGCCATACACAATAACAGTAAGCATGTAGGACTGGTAACACATACGCCAAAACAGTTTTCAAAATTATCAATATCTGTTCTGAAAAACATCCTGTTACTATTTATAAACCCAACGTCATTTTGAAAATAAGCAATGCTGATGCTCGAAATGAAAATAAGACCAAAAGAATGCTGATGCTGCAGCTTTGTCCATGCACTTTGAAAATGCAAACTATATTCTCAAAACTGTAGATGGTGTTGATGCTGTTGATCACTGAATTGTCTAGTCCAGACTCGATTATTTACAGACCATAAAGCTAGGAGAACCAGCCAATTCAATTTATACCAGAGACACACTGTTATAAAGAGTAAACAAAATTACGCAGACACAGACGTTATTCGATCATTTTGAACATTAAAACGTAAAAGTACAAATGCCACTCAAAAGGGTTATGAGAGACTGTTTGACAAAATACTAAATACTGTATAAATAAAGTAAAATTATATATATACTATATGGGTATAATTTAAAGACATAAATATATAAATTGTGTATGATATGATATACAGTAGAACACGGATATAGCAAACACGGATATAGCGTACAAACGGATATAGCGAACAAATTTAAAAGTCCCGTCAACAGTCCTTTATAATATCATTAAAATTATACGCGAATAACGAACTCGTGAGTAGTGAATTAACGGCTATAGCGAACTGATTTACTACCCCCAAGCCCAACTAACGACTATACTCATGCCAATAATGGTTGTCACTCCCCACCCCAACCCCCCACACACACCCACACACCCTCTCCAATTAAAAAAATTGAAGGGGGTGACAACCATTATTGGCATGAGTATATATGAATATGAAATATCAAATACATCTAAAATTATACATAAAATACTTTCATAAAGGGGCCAGTATAAAAGAAAGTGGAGGCGGTGGGGTAGTCCAGTGGTTAAAGCGTTCGCCCGTCACGCCGAAGACCCAGGTTCGATTACCCACATGGCTACAATGTGTGAAGCCCATTTCTGGTGTCCCCCGCCGTGATATTGCTGGAATATTGCTAAAAGCGGCGTAATACTAAACTCACTCACTAAAAGAAAGTGGGTTTCATCTTCAACTTGGTCTGTACAATGTTTGCAAAAGCGCAGTGTAGCGGGAATAGGAGGGGTGCTGTATCGGCCCGTTTCGATCTTGAGTCTTAGGGAGCCACATTAATCTGTCTCACAGTCCCTGAACCACATTATTTTCCCTAATGCCTAGCCCTCCCTGCAATGCTAAAGCCCTAAATGAAGCGAGCCGAGAATTCCCCAAGTTCAGGAATCTCCCTACTCACTGGGGCTCCTATTCAATTTAAAATGGTTTATTTGTTGCTATAAAAGTATATATATTCAGGGACTAAGCGTTTGTCTAGGAGCCACATCTCAGGAAAGCAAGTATTGACCGCTGATATCTTGGGAGTCGGGTGTACTCGGAACTCCAATATGGTTTTAAATGTGGAAAGGCTCATGAATTATGCTCCGCCAAATAAAACCTTCATTTAAAATTATATCTGACATTGCCCTACACATGCACATTCTACAAGTTCGAATATTCTGAATAGCAGTAAGTACCAGGTCAATGGATGTCCGACGTGTACACAAAGTTTCATGGTGACATTTGGAGCAGTTTGCCAGTTGTACTCCGGAAATGAAGTGTGTTGCCGTAGAAACGCAAAATAAACATGAATTTTAAAAAAACCCAACAAATTGCTAAAAGCATACGTCCCAATGCATGTTTCGTGTGTATGCAAAGTTTCCTGAAATAATATTGCATAGTTCATGAGTTCTATGCTCTGGAAACGAAACGCAACAGACGGAGCCCGTTTCTACATCCCCGAAAAACGTCGTATTCCTAGGGGATAATAATTTACCCAATATTATGACAAATTTTGTGCAAGGGCAGCGATTCACGCCCTTTTGATCACGTCTAATGACGCAGTTGCTTGGAAGGTGCAAAAATTTTCAGCTTTGTCAGTGTCTGAGTCAAATGGACCTCCAAACAATCCCAAACATTTATGACCTGCTGGCCACTGACATATACTAGGCACAAAAAATAAAGGAACCCCTTGACTTTGTGAAACATGTATAATTTAATCAGCACAACCGTACGGTATGTCAGATGTACTTAATAACGATGGTGTCCACCATGAGCAGCAATACATGCACGACACCTTGCAGGCATGCTGGACACCAACCGCTGATTGTCGCCCTTGGAATCATGTGCCACTCTTGCTGCAGTGCTGTACCTAACACATCACTGGTTGTGTGGATGATTGTTACACATCACTGGTTGTGTGGATGATTGTTACACATCACTGGTTGTGTGGATGATTGTTACACATCACTGGTTGTGTGGATGATTGTTACACATCACTGGTTGTGTGGATGATTGTTACACATCACTGGTTGTGTGGATGATTGTTACACATCACTGGTTGTGTGGATGATTGTTACACATCACTGGTTGTGTGGGATTGATTGTGTACACATCACTGGTTGTGTGGATGATTGTTATTGTTACACATCACCGGTTGTGTGGATGATTGTTACACATCACCGGTTGTGTGGATGATTGTTACACATCACTGGTTGTGTGGATGATTGTTACACATCACTGGTTGTGTAGATGATTGTTACACATCACTGGTTGTGTAGATGATTGGTTGGTTGTGTAGACATCACTGGTTGTTGTGTGGATGATTGTTACACATCACTGGTTGTGTGGATGATTGTTACACATCACTGGTTGTGTGGATGATTGTTACACATCACTGGTTGTGTGGATGATTGTTACACATCACTGGTTGTGTAGATGATTGTTACACATCACTTGTTGTGTAGATGATTGTTACACATCACTGGTTGTGTAGATGATTGTTACACATCACTGGTTGTGTAGATGATTGTTACACATCACTGGTTGTGTGGATGATTGTTACATATCACTGGTTGTGTGGATGATTGTTACACATCACTGGTTGTGTAGATGATTGTTACACATCACTGGTTGTGTAGATGATTGTTACACATCACTGGTTGTGTAGATGATTGTTACACATCACTGGTTGTGTGGATGATTGTTACACATCACTGGTTGTGTAGATGATTGTTACATCATCACATCACTGGTTGTGTAGATGATTGTTACACATCACTGGTTGTGTGGATGATTGTTACACATCACTTGTTGTGTAGATGATTGTTACACATCACTGGTTGTGTAGATGATTGTTACACATCACTGGTTGTGTGGATGATTGTTACACATCACTGGTTGTGTAGATGATTGTTACACATCACTGGTTGTGTGGATGATTGTTACATATCACTGGTTGTGTGGATGATTGTTACACATCACTGGTTGTGTAGATGATTGTTACACATCACTGGTTGTGTAGATGATTGTTACACATCACTGGTTGTGTAGATGATTGTTACACATCACTGGTTGTGTAGATGATTGTTACACATCACTTGTTGTGTAGATGATTGTTACACATCACTGGTTGTGTAGATGATTGTTACATATCACTGGTTGTGTAGATGATTGTTACACATCACTGGTTGTGTGGATGATTGTTACACATCACTGGTTGTGTGGATGATTGTTACACATCACTGGTTGTGTAGATGATTGTTACACATCACTTGTTGTGTAGATGATTGTTACATATCACTGGTTGTGTAGATGATTGTTACACATCACTGGTTGTGTAGATGATTGGTACACATCACTGGTTGTTTGGAAGATGGTTACATATCACTGGTTGTGTGGATGATTGTTACACATCACTGGTTGTGTAGATGATTGTTACACATCACTGGTTGTTTGGAAGATGGTTACATATCACTGGTTGTTTAGATGATTGTTACACATCACTGGTTGTGTAGATGATTGTTACATATCACTGGTTGTGTGGATGATTGTTAAACATCACTGGTTGTGTGGAAGATGGTTACATATCACCTGTTGTGTAGATGATTGTTAAACATCACTGGTTGTGTGGAAGATGGTTACATATCACTGGTTGTGTGGATGATTGGTACACATCACTGGTTGTGTAGATGATTGTTACACATCACTGGTTGTGTAGATGATTGTTACACATCACTGGTTGTGTGGATGATTGTTACACATCACCGGTTGTGTTGATGATTGTTACACATCACTGGTTGTGTAGATGATTGGTACACATCACTGGTTGTGTAGATGATTGGTACACATCACTGGTTGTGTGGATGATTGTTACACATCACTGGTTGTGTAGATGATTGTTACACATCACTGGTTACGTGGATGATTGTTACACATCACTGGTTGTGTGGAAGATGGTTACATATCACTTGTTGTGTAGATGATTGTTACACATCACTTGTTGTGTAGATGATTGTTACACATCACTGGTTGTGTGGATGATTGTTACACATCACTGGTTGTGTAGATGATTGTTACACATCACTGGTTGTGTAGATGATTGTTACACATCACTGGTTGTGTGGATGATTGTTACACATCACTGGTTGTGTGGATGATGGTTACACATCACTGGTTGTGTGGATGATTGTTACACATCACTGGTTGTGTGGATGATTGTTACACATCACTGGTTGTGTAGATGATTGTTACACATCACTGGTTGTGTGGATGATTGTTACACATCACCGGTTGTGTGGATGATTGTTACACATCACTGGTTGTGTAGATGATTGTTACACATCACTGGTTGTGTAGATGATTGTTACACATCACTGGTTGTGTGGATGATTGTTACACATCACTGGTTGTGTAGATGATTGTTACACATCACTGGTTGTGTGGATGATTGTTACACATCACTGGTTGTGTAGATGATTGTTACACATCACTGGTTGTGTGGATGATTGTTACACATCACCGGTTGTGTTGATGATTGTTACACATCACCGGTTGTGTTGATGATTGGTACACATCACTGGTTGTGTAGATGATTGGTACACATCACTGGTTGTGTAGATGATTGGTACACATCACTGGTTGTGTGGATGATTGTTACACATCACTGGTTGTGTAGATGATTGGTACACATCACTGGTTGTGTAGATGATTGTTACACATCACTGGTTGTGTGGATGATTGTTACACATCACTGGTTGTGTTGATGATTGTTACACATCACTGGTTGTGTAGATGATTGTTACACATCACTGGTTGTGTAGATGATTGGTACACATCACTGGTTGTGTAGATGATTGTTACACATCACTGATTGTGTGGATGATTTTTGCACATCACCGGTTGTGTTGATGATTGTTACATATCACTGGTTGTGTAGATGATTGTTACACATCACTGGTTGTGTAGATGATTGTTACACATCACTGGTTGTGTAGATGATTGGTACACATCACTGGTTGTGTAGATGATTGTTACACATCACTGGTTGTGTAGATGATTGTTACACATCACTGGTTGTGTAGATGATTGTTACATATCACTGGTTGTGTAGATGATTGTTACACATCACTGGTTGTGTGGATGATTGTTACACATCACCGGTTGTGTTGATGATTGTTACACATCACTGGTTGTGTAGATGATTGGTACACATCACTGGTTGTGTAGATGATTGGTACACATCACTGGTTGTGTAGATGATTGTTACACATCACTGGTTGTGTGGATGATTGTTACACATCACCGGTTGTGTTGATGATTGTTACACATCACTGGTTGTGTAGATGATTGTTACATATCACTGGTTGTGTAGATGATTGTTACACATCACTGGTTGTGTAGATGATTGTTACACATCACCGGTTGTGTGGATGATTGTTACACATCACCGGTTGTGTTGATGATTGTTACACATCACTGGTTGTTTAGATGATGGTTACATATCACTGGTTGTGTAGATGATTGTTACACATCACCGGTTGTGTAGATGATTGTTACACATCACCGGTTGTGTTGATGATTGTTACACATCACTGGTTGTTTAGATGATTGTTACACATCACCGGTTGTGTAGATGATTCTTACACATCACCGGTTGTGTGGATGATTGTTACACATCACCGGTTGTGTTGATGATTGTTACACATCACTGGTTGTTTAGATGATTGTTACATATCACTGGTTGTGTAGATGATTGTTGCACATCACTGGTTGTGTGGATGATTGTTACACATCACTGGTTGTGTGGATGATTGTTACATATCAGTGGTTGTGTTGAGGATTGTGTCTCATTGTTTTTGTGGATCAACACATTTGAGTGTCAACATAGTGGAGGATTTCACTTTCACTTTTCCTTGCCCAAGGATAACAAATTCAGTAACAACTTTGTAAATGTTTATTAAAAACTGACAAAACTAACGCAATCACAGCCACAACGTAGAACCTTTTGAGCAGTTTTCCATGTACACATATCAATCCAAGAGTTAATCTCCACTCCCTTGCCAAATCATCATTACGAAAATAAACATGAGAAATGGCGCACTTGCACAAATGTGCAAACATACAAATGCGATATTTAGTGGTATGTAGCCAAACCAAGGCACCCAACGTTGACATGATGGAATATGAGAGATGCATATAAATCTTCACAGTCTACTCACAGATACACTGCACATCCACTTACAACATTCCCACAGTTACTGTCATGGCAAAAAGGAACCACACAAATGTTTTAACCTATGTGATCTGTGGTTATGGAGAATGAAACAACAGGTATATCATGCACAACTCTGTCAATCATATGCAGTGTATGAAATAAGCCAAAACCCCATCCAGACATCAGGGCTGTTACCAGCCCAAAATGGATTTAACCAGACCAAATATGGTGAATTTACTCAGATATATGGAACATCTACAATTTTTTAAAGACCATCGGGCTGGTTTGCTGTAAATTAGACCGTCCGTCAGAAATCTAGACCGTCTCGGGCTGTCGGATGGGCCTTATTTCATACACTGCATATGTTGACACTAAATTTTGACACTTTTCAAGGGACTGACTTGCTGCCCTATGTTTTTATTGTAACTGTCAACATAAATGAATTCTGGTGGTAAGGTTTGTTGCATGTCTACAATTTCCATCTGGAAAGAAAATACATGAGATCTTGACAAACAAATGATGAGACCTTGACCTTATGAACAAAACATGAGACCTTGACCTTACAATAAACATGGAACCTTGACCTTTCAAACAAAACAATACAGCATCAATAAGTAAAAAGGAACAACCCATAAAGATAATTTTAGACTCAGTAGTACCTTCAGTATTGAAACCAACATACTTAAGAATGACTGAACCCAATATTGACATAACCATGAAACATAGAAATCTAGCTGAAAAAATGTGAAACAATGGAACAATGGCCATCTCCTCAACTAAACAGTGACACTGATGGGATTGGAGCGGTGGGGTAGCCTAGTGGTTAAAGCTTTGCCATAATATTGCTCGAATATTGCTAAGAGATTCGTAAAACTATACTCACTCACAAATTGATTGAATAATGGTTTGAACTATCAAACTGCTAATACTAACGGGATTGGGTGGTCAGGTTCGCTGACTTGGTTGACACATGTCATTGTATCCCAATTGCGCAGATCGATGCTCATGCTGTTGATCACTGGATTGTCTGGTCTAGACTCGATTATTTACAGACCGACGCCATATAGCTAGAATATTGCTGAGTGCGGCTTAAGACTAAACTCACTCACTCAAACTGCATATCACCTATCCTGATGCCATACGTTGATGAAAGGTTCGAAGGGAGATCTTCAAGATCAGAATATAATGTCATTCTAAAGGCTTGAGAATACTGAGAGTGAATGTGTGAGTTTAAAGCTAATGCTGATTGTCGCAGTATTAGTGATGGACACTTGAAATAGGATTTGCACTCATGACGGGAATTGAACCCATGCCTTTGGCGTGAAGCATGAACACCTTAACCATTAAGCTACCACAATCCCAGTGACATCACAGAACAGACATCACACACTGTTCCCATGTGGGGTACAACCTGAAAGGATTTATACCTGAAATGGGATGTCCCCAAATCTGTGTTCAGTGGTAGTGATTTTTTAAAAGACTGGAGAATACATTAACTGCTTGGATAACTTATGAAGAGGATTGGATGGCAGATTGCATGTCATCATGACCTAATGTTGAGGACTGTTGTTCAAGCTTTTGATCTCTAGTTTGACTAGTTGTATTCTGTTGAATGCCATTTTGTATTTCGGCACTGTATAAATGAAATCATGAAAACAGCAGATAATTCAGCTGACGTTGTTCAGTCGTATTTGACGGCACATGGAAGATCATTCTCAGGTTCAAAAGGAAAAGGTTCTTCTGCTGCTCCAGCAGATCACACAGACATTTATAAACTAGTTGTATTCTGTTGTATGACATATTGTATTTTGACTTTGTATTTTGACATTGTATCAATTCTATCATGAAGACAGCAGATCACACAGAAGCATATAAACCAGTTGTATTCTGTTGTGTGGCATATTGTATTTTGACATTGTATCAATTCTATCATGAAGACAGCAGATCACACAAGTTTATAAACTAGTTGTATTCTGTTGTATACCATTTTGTATTTTGACATTGTATAAAGGCTATCAGGAAGACAGCAGATCACACAAGTTCATAAATTAGTTGTATTCTGTTGTATACCATTTTGTATTTTGACATTGTATAAAGGCTATCATGAAAACAGCAGATCACACAAGTTTATAAACTAGTTGTATTCTGTTGTATACCATTTTGTATTTTGACATTGTATAAAGGCTATTGCAGATAACACCGGATAATACACCAAAGTTGTACTCGGTTGTACATCATGTTGCATCTTTGGTGATGCCATCATGAAGATTCTGCAGATCACACAGGAGAGTTTTAATCCAGGCCCATCGGGACCGAAGACACTTTTGCTTGTCTGTTTTCTGAAGGCTCCTGGCATAGGCAGCCTTCAATCTGCTCATCATGTCTGTTTTGCTGAAAACAAATAATGGTCAAGTCAGACAGGTTTCAGGGGTTAATCTAAATCTGCTCAGATGCTTATAATCACCCCCAAATCTGAGTGAGTGAGTGAGTTTAGCTTTAGCAATATTCTAGCAATATCATGGCGGGGGACACCAGAAATGGGCTTTACACATTGTACCCATGTGGGGAATCGAACCTGGGTCTTTGGCGTGACGAGCAAACGCTTTGACCACTGGACTACCCCACCGCTCCTCCTCAAATCTGAACCATAAGTAAGTCTGTCTCACAGTTCCTGAACTGCACTATTTTCCCTTCCGCCTAGCCCTTTCTGTAATGCTAAAGTGAGTGAGTGAGTGAGTTGCTTTTGGCAATATTCCAGCAATATCATGGCAGGGGACCAGAAATGGGCTTCACACATTGTACCCATTTTGGGAATCAAACCCAGGCCTTCAGTGTGATGAGCGAACGCTTTAACGACTGGGCTACCCCACCGCTGAATGCTGAAGCAGTAATGAATTAAGTCTACAATTCAGTCTCCATTCACACTGGGACTCCTTTTCAATTTATAAGGAATATATTTTATTATAATCTATTTATACAGCACCGAGTTCCAGCTCTGCTGCTCACAGGCGCTTTGTATTTCCCCTCGATCATAGCATGTCAGTGTCAACGGCACATCATGTTAACAATATCAATTCCCTGGGGATCATACAACTCCTGCAGCCACTAGGCACACCGAGTTAATGTGGCTTTCCCATCCTTATGAAGTACTCATTCACAGCTTGGTGGACTGGGACACATAGTCACAGTACTTTGTCCAAGTTTACTGCACGTTGCTGTACCCGCAACTAGGTGTTTGCACGTATTCATGTGGCCACCATCTGGTCGCACACCAACGGATTCGTGGGTTCTTTTAAGTGCACAGGGTTGTGTACTGTACACTAGGGGTTCTGACAACACTGAAAGAGTCTGCACACAAAGTTGACTCCAAGGTTTTTACACCCTGTCACAGGAGGGCTCAATCCAGGCACCTCCAAGCTCGCTGGATTACTAGCCTGGCGCCTTAGACAGCTCGCCCATCACGCCTCCATTGGGAATTGTTTGTTTTTATCAAAATTATGTTTATTTAGAGTGTTAGTCTAGCAAACCCTCTGAATTCAGGTTTACTGGAATAATTGATGTCAGGCTGTGTTGACTATTTCACTGACCAAGAGGAACAGGTTTAATTTTTCAGAATACTGCATTGACTGTAATGTTCTTTGCTTTCATGCCAATGGCAATTACTTAGAATTGGTCTTATGCTTGTCGTAAGAGGCGGCTAATGAGATCTTGAGGTCAGGCTCGCTGAGCAGGTTGACACATGTCATCGTATCCCAGTTGTGTAAATCAATGTTCATGATCACTGGATTGTCAGGTCCAGACATGATTATTTACAGACCGCTGCCATATAGCTGGAATATTGCTGAGTGTGGCGTTAATCAATAAACCAACCAACACATAGGTGTCACTGGGACGTAAGATCACATTTAACAGGTTGGCGCGTCGGGCGAGTTGGCTAAGGTGCCAGGCTACTTATCCAGCAAAGTTGAGGTGCCGGGATCGAGCCCACCTGTGACCGGGTGTAAAAACCTTGGAGTCAACTTTGTGTGCAGACTCTTTCCGTGTTGTCACAACCCCTAGTGTACAGTGCACAGCCCTGTGCACTTAAAAGAACCCACGAATCCGTTGGTATATGACCAGATGGTGGCCACATGAATACGTGCAAACACCTAGAAGCGGGTACAGCAACGTGCAGTGAACTTGGACAAAGTGCTGTGACTATGTGTCCCAGTCCACCCAGCTGTGAATGGGTACCTCGTTAGGATGAGAAAGCCACAATAACTCGGTGCGTCTAGTGGCAGCAAGAGTTGTATACTCCCCAGAGAGTTGAGATTGCTAATACGATGTGCAGTTGATACTGACATCCAATGATCGAGGAAAAAATACCAGCGCCTTGAGCATGCACTAGTGTGTAGATATTTGTGCTATATAAATATCCTATAAAAAAATGAAATTTTTAGAGTAAAATTAATATTTTTATACTTATCCTTGCTTGTCTTCTTCTTCTGGCGAACCTAGTGGAACACTTGTATCTCCCAATTGAAGTTCCCTTCAATAAAGAATCACTCATTAGTACTCACCACGAGTTACCTCCCTTCTGTAAGCGCGGGAACGAGGGCGCCACCCAAGCCCATGTGCCTCACTCTCTCCTTTTTTGCTTTGAGCCCAACACTTTCTTTTTCCCGAGAAATCCAAAGAGTTAAGTGGGGAGGACGGGAGGGCTTACCTCATGAGTCAGGATAAGTATAAAAATATTAATTTTACTCTAAAAATTTCATATTTTTTCTTATCCTGACTCATGCTTATTTGCTTGTAGAATCCTACAGATTAGGAGGTGGGATTATATATACTTTGGATTTTACTAATTAGTGATTTGAAGTGATATGATTGTAATAACCGTATGGGAACTTCATGAAGGCACTGAACTGAATTCCTGCTGTTAATATAACAGCTGCCTTTAAAGAAGGTTATTACAATTTACTGCATATAATAAAAGTATATAGAACATTAATTAAGCTAAGGCCATTAATGTGATAGTATAAACTGTTGATAGTTTATAATGAATACTTTTATAAGAACCAAAGTAGTAAGCTTACAATATGTATAATCTATAACAGAATTGTGCTTAAGGTATAAAGATAACTTAAGCTGTATAATAGTAACCAACTACTGATAGTTTGTTAACTTATACATGTTATGAAATGAACATATGACTGAGCTTAAGGAAGAACTTAAGCTGAACATATATATAATAGTAGAAACTCGTAAGAGTTGTAGGTATATATATATATTATGATATAAATCATAGTACTGAGCTTAAGATAATATTTTAACTTAAGCAAATATATATAGATAGCATGTAGCTATTAGTACTGTTATCAGATAAGTATAAAATCAACAAGATAGACTTATTTTCTCCGTGGAACTGTCAACTGTTGAGCGAGGACCATGGGACCGAAATGGTGGATACCTGAGACATCCTTGGTGGTGATATCTCTCAGATAGTGGTTGGCAAACACCATATCGGATCTCCAAAACATCCCTCCATGATGGTATTCAATGAGCAATTTCCATGTAAAGCCAAAGTTGAAGCTAGTGCTCTAATTTCGCGTGAGGATTAGTAGCACTTGAGGGTCCAGTCCAGCTGCCTTGTAGGCTCTTAGTATGACAGTTCTGATCCAAATAGAAATGGTAGTCATGACACTTCTGTCTGTGAGGCGGTAGATATAGGGATAAACAATCTTTTGAATTTCCCTCTACTTTGCTTGGATCTTTGGAGATATATTTTCAGTGCACGCATTACAGGGCAAAGTGATAAGTCCATCGTATCCTGCGGTCCAAGTATGGATGAGAGAGCTGGGACATGGAACAACCTGTCTGGTTGACCTGGTAGTTGATTTTTCGCTATAAAATCCCAGCGAAGTCCCAGATGAGCGATGTTATGAATATCATCAAATCGTGTTCTCTCGTAATCCAAAGCGTGAATTTCAGACATCCTGGCGGCAGTGGCTAACGCTAGCAGGAATAAGGTTTTGTGGGTCAATGATTCATATGACGCAGATAACAATGGCTCGTAAGCCTCACTTGTGAGGTGTTGAAGTACCACATTTAGATCCCAGGCTGGCGCTTGAAACTTCCGTTTCTGGTCTTCCAATCGAAAGGCACGTAACAAGGCGAGTAACTCCGGTGTTTTGGTCAATTTGACGCCCGTTCTCATTGTTATGACTGAACTTATGGCTGCAAGATAAGTGGACAGTGTAGATCCTTTTTCGATTCTTAGTTTGACGTAGGAAACATAAGATATCTGCCACTTGAGGATGTGTAGCAAATCTGGCTGAAAATCCTTTCTTAGCAGCATAATTGACAAATCTGAGCCATTTGTCATCGTGATAAGTTACAGTAGAGTTACGTGAGTGCAAGCGTGACCGCCTTCGGGCGCTCTGGTGGAATAACCTCTCTTATTCAAACATGCCTTTGATACAATCCACACGTGAAGTCGGAATGCTTCTGGTGTTTTGTGCACTTGTTTGGTGTGCGCGGATGTATCAGTAGATTGGAGCGTAGTGGGAGCTGAAGTACTGGTTTTCCCGATTCTAGTATGAGGTCTGAAACCACGTTCTCGCTGGCCAGTAAGCGAGACCAAAATCAGATCGAGGCTCTTCGCTTGACTGATTTTTAGCAAGACTTGTGGGATTAACGCAGGAAGCAGGAAAGCGTACGCGTTTAGTCCCTCCCATGATATGCTTAGTGCGTCCGTTGCCCAAGCTAATGGATCTGGCACTGGCGATACGAAGGTTGTCAGTTGATTGTTGAATCGGGTGGCAAATAGGTCTATCAGAGGAGATCCTATTTCCATGATTATCTGATTGAATATCTCTGTGTGGAGCATCTATTCTGTCGGCGACGGTTGGTGCGGCCGAGAGAGAGCGTCTGCTAACACATTCTTTGCTCCTGGAATGTGGCAGGCTTTGATACGTATGTTTAGACTGTCGACTAATTCGAACAGTCTGAAACATCGAGTGAGTAGATTCAGTGATCTTGTTGACCCTTGTTTGTTCACATAAAACGCCACTGATGAGTTGTCTGTGTGAATCATTAACTGAGCGTTCTGTAATAGGTTGCTCCAGTGATCTATGGCGTTTATGACTGCTTGCATCTCTAGCAGATTTATGTGACATAAGCTCTCTTGAATGCTCCATAGGCCTGACGCTGTCCTGCCGGGTAAGGTGGGCTCCCCAACCTTTTAGTGACGCCCACCCACGAGATTTGTTTTCAATTCTCGCTCTACTAAGGAGACGCCTGCGCCAAATATTCAATCTCTTGGTCCACCAGAGTAGATGTGGTTTGATGTAATCTGGTAGACTGAACGGTAGAGGGTCCTCGAGATGGGCATTGATGAGGACTTGTAATGGACGTAATTGAAGCCTGCCTCTGAGTGTCAAGTCTTGAGCTGATGTGAGTAGTCCCAATAGGCTCTGCCACTGACGTAGTGGTAACGGAGAGAGTAGGGCTTGGGGGATCAGTTGTTGTATCTTGATCCATCTGTCCTCGGGACTACCATACAATTCTGCTGTAAGGAATCGTGATACCTAGAAAACTGCAGATCCCTGCGTGGGCTCTAGGTCCGATTTCAGTAGATTTACTAACCAGCCTAACTGGGCGTTAGTAGCTTGATTGTAAAGTTCAGCTGTAGTCTGAGACGCTGTGGATCTGATCCACCTGTATACCGGCCGCCTCAGGTAAAATGCATTCCGCAGGCCTTGACGATGTAGGTATGAGACAATAGGCTTGGTTACTCTTGTGAATATCCATGGGGCCGAAGTGATTCCGAAGGGAAGTACTTTCCATTGGTAGTGTATGCCGTCTAGCATAAATCTCAGATATTTCCTTGAACTGGGATGAATCAAAATGTGTAGGTATCCGTCCTGCAGATCTATACTTACCATGTAATCTAGTGGACGAATTAGATGACGGAGTTGAGGTAAATGTATCATGCGAAACGCTGGTGGTTTGCATAGAAATTCTCTGTTGAATGTGCTCATGTTGTAAATGAGATGATACTTCTCTTTGGAATTCTTTTTCGGCACTAGGAAAACTGGGGAGTAGAAACCTGGTATGATGTTTTGCTGATCGAGAACTTCTAAGGCCTGTTTGTTTAGTAGAGACTGAACTGTTTCTCTTAACATCGGAAGTTGTGCCAGATGAACGTTGAACCCTGGTGGGTTGACTGTTAACGGTGGCTTGGCCTTGAGTTGTAGACGATATCCGTACTGAAGGATGTTGGATACATACGGATCTTGAAGTATTCCCCAGTTTTCCCAGTGTAGTTGTAGACGTCCACCCACTTGAGAAGGTTGTACTGGGACGAGTTGGGGTGGAAGACTCCAGTCGTTCCGAACCTGACTTTCATCGTTTAAATCCATTAGGCACCTCTGGATGATCTGCCTCTAGCTGATCCTCCTCTGAACTTGTTGTAATGGCTAATTTAAAGGAATCCTTGGGATTATTAACGGCCGCTAATTTCTTATCCCGTGCTCTCTGTAGCCCTGAAAACTTGGACTTGCCCGAGTACCTCTGTGCTGATTGTTTAAAGACGTGCGCTAATGTATCCATAGATTTAATCATGAGTACTTCTCTAGAATCTTTTGATACTTCCTTGGAGACCTTGTTAATGTTGCCACCAAACAGTAAGGGTGAAGACCATGGAGCTGTGTATAGGGGCTCTGTGAATTGTTTATTCCAAGAGCAGGAGGCTAGTAATCCTTGCCGACGTGTCATGGTAGTAGTTTCAGTAAGTGCTGAAAGATGGTCTGTAAGGAATTGTTGATCTTTTTTCTGCATAAGTAGAGCTGAATAGATCATCCTGTCTTCCTCATCCGTGGAGTTCTTGAACTTGGTGATGAGAGTTTCGTTAACAGTCCTAGATCTGTTGAGTCCAAAGAACATCCTTCTGGAAATGGTATCTAACTGGGCCATCTTGCGATCGTCTACCCTATAACTTCTGGACTTGGAATCACTGATAAGTTTAAAGTTTTCATCAATCTCCTGAGTCTTGAAAAAGGGCTCCATATTATGTCCATAAAAACTCTTGGCATTGAAGAATGGTAAATGGGTAAGTTGAGTTTTAGCAGATTTGGAGTAGGCTGTATCCAGTTTTAGCAGGAACGGCTGCGATAGGATCCATAGGAGGCACGGTGATATGATCTACATCATCATCTAACATCAGGTAAGTTTGGGCTGTATCCTCGTTCTTAGAGGGAGAGGCCAGTTGTAATTCGTTTACCATCCAATACCTTATCTCAGCCTCTGAGAAAATGATACCATCGTCCTCCTCTGACGTATGGTCGTATGTCGGAGTCCTCGATCTGTAAGAAGATCTATGTGAGGACTGAGGAGAACGGACTGACAAGTGGCTAGTGTATGTAGACCTTGGAGAAGACATCCTTCGCGGAGATTGTGGGCTTCTTGAACGGTGATGGCTTCGCAGACGCTCTGGACTTCTCGAACGTTGAGGGCTACGCGATCGTCTTCTAGGCGATGTAGAACCACTTAGCCTTCAAGGCGTACGCCGAATGTCTGGAGTCAGTGTCCGATACGACATATGCGCTTGCCAGCGTCGCCCGCCGTGCATGACAAGGTGCGTGCTAGGCGAAGCGCTCCTTCTCCACGAAGCCTCTTGCAAAAGGTGAGGCTCTGGCTCCTTCACGGAGGCGGCCTGGGATACCTTATGCAAAGAGCTCACTCCGGGCAGGGTTGCCCTTCGCGGAGGCGCGTCTATGGGCTCAGAGGCCCTACGCGAAGCCAAAGCGGGCTCTGAGGCCCTGTATGACTTAATATGGGGTGGGCTCTGAGGCCCGTGGCTCTGAGGCCTCTGTAAGCCGTAGCAGTCTTCCATCACCCTCATTATGTGGTTGATCAAGTCGTCTGAAGCGGTCTGCGTTGATGAGGGATGTCTCTCTTTCTGGAGATAGAGTCGGCATCTCCGGTTGTGTGTTCATCTGCGCTGAGGTGACAGTCGCAGAAACGGGCCGTTTCTTGTGACGAACTTCTGGAATGATAATTGGCAAATCATCATCATATAATGCTAATTCTGTAACTGGTAAGATATCAGAGGCAAAATTATTAGATTTTGTTGACTTCCCTTTAGATGAAGGTGTAGATCTTGGTGTACGCAGTGTACGAGATGATATGGATGGTTTCCTCGACTTGGACTGAGAAGACGGCAGCTCTTGAGATGCAGGTCGCTTAATGGACATAGCGGACTGCGTCCCACGCTTATCCCCTGAGGGAAACTCAGGCATGCCACCAGCTGGTGGCGTGTCCTCAGTCAACAGTTGACAGGGAACATTTATATGCGATCTATTAGCCATGTTTGAATTCTGTTTACAGGATTTATCTGCCTTCCGTCTATAAACGGAACATAAATATTTGTCAAAGGCAGAGATAGGTAAATTGATACAAAATTTACAACGAGAATCAAAGGAACATGGAGTAATGCAACTAGGGCATTTTAAATGTGAATCGGTATCAGAATAACATAGTTTACATTCTGTGCAATTTTTCATTAATGTAGCCTACTGAACAAACACGACGAACCGTGAATAAAACAGCAGAAACACAATTAATTATCAATGCAAATTGAATAATTATACTAGTACTACCTCTATACTAACGTATAAGAGGAACTAACTAAATATAATTAAAGGATATAGTGTGTTGGGAGACACAGGCGCTTCAATTGGGAGATACAAGTGTTCCACTAGGTTCGCCAGAAGAAGAAGACAAGCAAATAAGCATGAGTCAGGATAAGAAAAATATAATTTTTTAACAGTATTCCAGCTCATATTATTGCATGAATGTTTTTAAAATTTGTGAGCCGGCCATAGAATAGAGCCATCAACTAGCTCCACTCTTGCCTCAAGCTTTTTAATTTACAGCTTGAGATAAAGTAAGAATCTTTGTTTGCCAAGCCTGATTTTCCCCTGTTCATGTAATCAGCAGCAGCATGTTTTTCCTCATGTTTTTTCAGGATTACATTTGTCAGTAAAGACCATTTCCACTGGATAAACAGATCAGGATGTAACTGGTTGAACATCTGAATTAAATTACAGCAATGTTTGAATTGGGGAAAGCTACAAGAGAATTTTAAAACTGTTAATGCAATAATTACCAGTTTAGAGATACAGAAACAAAATTCTTCAATAAAGTCAATGTCGGGACCAAGTCGAAGGTATGAGACAGAACTACATTTTTGTTATTCAAAATTTGGAAAAAGGTGGTAGACCGGAACCGGAGAATAGGTAACAGATATTGGTATATTTAAGATATTTGAGACCCCCCTTCACTACCACCAGTAAGCCCTGGTAAGTTCACTACTTCATACAGCCTCACCTCTTGAACCCCGAGCTGTAGCATTTGACGAGCTGTAGGAAAACAAACTGTATCCGAGACTCTAAGATGATGCTCAGACTGTCCTCCTCGGACTTCTCCCCCTGGTCCGGGGCGTCCTCGGTGGGACAGGCCAGCACATTGACCGAGGGAGCACATGACCCCAGCAGGCTGGTGATTGCATTGAGGGAGCGGAGACGAGACTTTGCCACTGACTGACCTGAAACATACAAACAACTTTGTACTCCTCATACGTACAAACACGTACACATGGTTTGTAGATCACAAGAGAACATCTTCCTTGGAATAGTGCCAATAGTGTTTTAATATCTTATATTGAGTATTTACTCATGAACATTTCAGTCAGTAAGTAATAAACTATCCTAACCAGAGATCCAATCAACTTGGGATTTGAACCCATAATAAGCAGATCTTCGTACAGCTCACATGTACACACATGTACAAAGAATTCCAAATAGTTCATAAATGATTACAAAAAATCAACTATTCTTTTCACAATATCCTGGATAAATGCAGGGGTGGAAATAACCCATTGCCCGATGCCCACGTCCAGTGTTTTTTCCTGTCGGGCAAGCAAATTTGTATATCACACTGTACCGGTGTCCAGTTGATATTCCAATGTTAATTATGTTGTTTATTTAAAAAATCAGAAGTACATTCGTTTTGAACATCCGCAGAGTAATACTCACAATCGCTGACAAGCACCATCTTAGAGTGAGTGAGTGAGTGAGTGAGTGAGTGAGTGAGTGAGTGAGTGAGTGAGTGAGTGAGTGAGTGAGTGAGTGAGTGAGTGAGTGAGTGAGTGAGGCGAGCAAACAGCAGAGTAATAGGATTAGCTTGTTTGTTGTTGTTGTTTAACGCAGCATTCAGCAATATCCAGCTATATGACGGCAACAGTCTGTGAATAATCAAATCTAGCCCATACAAACCAGTGATCAACATCATGACCATCTTTCTACACAATTGAGATACGATGACATGTCATACAAGTTTGCGAGCCTGACCACCCGATCCCGTTAGTATCCTCTTACAACAACCATGGGTTACTGAAGACCAATTCTAACCCGGATCTTCATGGGTCCTGAGTTAACATATGTATTTATAAGCTGCAAATCCATCTCCCTCTGACTTATTGTTAAGAATGATTCTTGCTCTGGTCGCTTGAGTCAGTAAACTGGACAATACAAATCGACAAAAAGGTATTTTGTACAGGGTATACCTTGCAGTGCAGTCTCCAACATGGCGACCCTCTCCAGCTGCACGCGGAGCAGTTCTGTATGGGACTCGGCCTGCTGGAACAGCCGGAACGCTCGGTCGTAGTGGTTGTCCGCCACCTGTCGTAGGTGGCGCTTCTTCTGGTCATTTGTCTGAGGAATGAAAGGTTAAAGCTGTAGGTCGCTACTGGAAACCAAACTGGATGTGCAGTGTCAAAACATCGTTACAGCACTCTATTAAAACATTGTCTTGTGTTAGTTTAACAGGTTTCATATAATGAAATATGTCCGAGGTGAAATGTTAATGCACCCTGTGCATCCTGGTCATATCTCGGGTCATAACATACGCTTACGACATGTATTGAGGGTCTTATCTGTTAATAAATCACAACAGAGTTAAAAGCAAGAAACCAAAAGAACTGTGAGAACAAAAATAATGAAAGAGTTGAAATAAGGGAGTTATTATTAATCTGTCAATCTCTTTATATCTTGTTTACTTCCACCATGACTTTTCTCTGCATGCAGATCAGACAATATCCTTTGTTTGATTTCTGAACAATGAAACAGACAGTTCAGAATATAAATGAGAAAAGCTGCATCATTGTGTTGTCATGAGTTAATATCTTGTGTACCCTGTAATTTCGAGTACAAAGTAATATTTGTTACATGCGTGTGCGTGCATTCAGAAATAGGTGTAATCACACGATTCAAATGATTTCAGAAAGCTTACAGGGCTCCAGATAACTTTTGGGGGTGTGAGTGTACTTACACATCATATTGCATGTGAAGGTGTACTGAGAATTTTGAAGGAGTACCGACATGTTTTTGTGTGATCGAGTTGATGTGGTTTGTTTGGACGATTCATCGATCACTATTTCCAACCATGTATTTGTATTTGAAGACGCGTGAGAAATAACTGAGCGACCGTGTGATGCACGAAATGTCAGGTCCGACTGGATATAAATAGGAACAGTGTAGTTTTTAGCCAATCGAAAAATAGTGACGCATATCGTTGCATGGCAACGCAAGGGATTCCTACTGTCGGGGTTTCCTTATGTGTCAAATCGTGTTTCGCAAAAGAAACTGAACAAGTATTTATCCTTAATAGATTTCCATTTGCACGATATGCACGGAAATTTAATGTTAGACGTACAAAGGTATTTATGTGCGTACATGATACGCTTGAAATCTTATATTATGTCGTACTTAATTGATTTTGAGGCGTACATTACGCATGTACGCCCCTTATCTGTAGCTCTGAGCTTACATCTAGTTGGTTCAAAAATGAAGACATTCCACAACAGAAACCTACTCTTTTTGGGGAAGGGTTGTCAAATCGTACGTATTAAATCAGAGTAACAGATCAGAGCATTGTTCCACAAAGCGTAAGTAATAGTGGTGTTCCGATTAATTGAAATAATCGAAGATTGGTCGAAGTGACCAAACGACCAAGCAATCGATCACATTTTCTCATAAGCGAACACAAACGATTTTGGAACTGCTGTTTTAGTGTTTGAAACACTTGACGATGGAACATATCTTCGAAGTTGTCAGGGCCTGAAAACTTGTTTAATTCTTAGAAAACTCACTTCATTAACTGAAAAGTCATGACTGAATATTTCTCTAAGACTCCAGGAAGTTTATGTTCATGATATACGGTATTAGTCATCATTTTAAAGTAGCAAGTTGCATCATGTTATACATATCTACAATAACAACCTTGGCAGGAAAATCTGAAAAATGACGCTAACCAATTTTTTTCGATGATTGTTAGTTGGTAATGAAGCAATCATCAATTGTGAGATTTCAACCAATTAAAAATATCTTCCATTATTTCTGATTGACATCATGTACATATTGCCAGCATTATTTTAACATATATGATTTTCTTTACATCTAAAATATAAAATATTGTTGTGGTCCCTACCTCCTCCTGTGTCTGACTAGTGTGAGGTGGGTAGTCTTGTAGCAGCATTGCCATGTTGAAGTAGGTGGTGGACAGGTCCCACTTCACTGCTTCTCGGATTTCTCTCAGGTCATTGGGAGTTTTCTCCCCTGGGCCAAGGACGGTTAGAGCATTCTGATAACAGTCCACAGCCTGGACACAAAACAATTGTTGTGTTATTATGTAAATATTCTGTTTTCGAAGGTCAAAACATCTTTTATTTTGATTTGAGTCCGTTATTCATTCAGCATCCATTCCATGGATGGAAAATGAGATGATATTTCCCAGTCAACAGCTTGTCAGCCATATAATATAGAGAAACTGACAGACAAGTCCAAAATGTAGGCACACACAACCTCAATGTTGAAAAGCCATGTTTAGAAATATCTTTTGTTAACATTTGCAACAACCCAAACCATCTTAACATGATCAACCAATGAGCTACCTGTTGTAGTTACGTCACAAGTGTTGAGAAGACTTGCAGGACCACAGTTTGGAAACCTTAGTGCTGATTGGGGCAAGTCGCAGGTTCGCTTAGCTCAACCTCCAATGGAGGGTATGAAGTAAAAGATTTGATTTTATGTTGAGAGTGTTTCTTGTTGAATGCCTCGCTCAGCAATATTTCAGCTGTATGATAGAGATATAGTGAGTGAGTGAGTGAGTATGGTTTTACGCCGCTTTTAGCAATATAACGGCAGGGAGACCAGAAATGGACTATACACATTGTACCCATGTGGGGAATCGAACCCGAGTCTTCGGCGTGACAAGAGAATGCTTTAACCACTAGGCTACCCCACCGCCTTGATCGAAATATAAAATAACAAGACCATCCAGAGATAGACGTCATGATTATTTCATGACAGACTCGAAATAATTGAATCTTGATGACACAATCCAGTGATTGACATAATGAGCATTTTATGGCAGTCTCGAAATAATTGAAACTGGACAAGACAATCCAGAGATTGATGTCATCAGCATTTATACAGCAATTGGGCTACTAGGGCATGTGTCATCCATGTCATACAGTCTGACCACCTGGGTCATCTCTCAAGATAAGCATGGGTTGCTGAAAACCATTTCTAATATACATCTTCACAGTTCCTAATAACAACCAGGGTTTTACACGACGCGCAAATGTGCATCCAGTACGCACAAATGTGGAGATTAGATGCAAACAACAAATTCACTTTGTCCAGAGGGATGTACAACATTATTCACTGTACCCACAACACATCTGTGACTTTGCTAAGTGTTTGGTTGTTTCTTTCAGAGCAGTTACGTGCATCATTTCATCCATCAGTCCACATGATCAATGATTCATTCCAGGCTCTAAAGAAGTAATCAAACGTACAGTTCTCTACACCGTTACTTCACAGCATGGACCTCGTATTTCCAGCAAGGACCTTTAAAACTAATAATTAGGACCCATATGTTTGTGAGTCGAGGTAATTGATAAAATCTGCCTACAACAGCCTTACCTTGGAATAGTATTGTTTCTCCTGGAGACTGAACTCGGGGCGAGACTGCTGCATGGTTTGTTGAGTGTAGCACTGGGCACACAGACGCATCAGTCGGCCACTGTTGGACATCAGCAGCGCTTGGTTGGCCTTGTCGTGGATGTTGGAGAACGCTGTGATCCCCGACGTGAAACACTGCTGACTCTTCTCCCACAATTCCTTCATCTTGCTGGATGGTTCAATGGCACCTGTGGACAAGAAGTAGCACCTTCAATCCTGTGTAAGTCCTGATTACAACAACACTTATCATTACAATCATCATAGTTTGACCATGTTCCTTATAACAATGTTTGATACAAATGTCACTTTATGTTTAACAAACCGCTTATGACAGGTGAGAATATAATACTGTGTTTAAGATTATTTCACTTAGTGACATGTCCACTGGTCAAGCCTGTCTGCCAGTCAAGCAGTCTACTTGTCAAGATTGTCTACTGGTCAAGCCTGTTTGCTGGTCAAACATATCTGCTGGTCAAAGCTGTCTGCTTGTCAAGCCTGTCTGCTAGTCAAGCTTGTCTGCTGGTCAAGCTTGTCTGCTAGTCAAGCCTGTCTGCTAGTCAAGCCTGTCTGCTGGTCAAGCCTGTCTGCTAGTCAAGCCTGTCTGCTGGTCAAGCATGTCTGCTAGTCAAGCCTGTCTGCTAGTCAAGCCTGTCTACTAGTCAAGCTTGTCTCCTTGTCCAGCCTGTCTGCTAGTCAAGCTTATCTGCTTGTCAAGCCTGTCTGCTGGTCAAGCCTGTTTACTGACCAAGCCTGTCTATTGGTCAAGCCTGTCTGCTGGTCAAGCCTGTCTACTGGTCAAGCCTGTCTGCCAGTCACGCCTGTCTGCCGGTCAAGCCTGTCTGCCAGTCAAGCCTGTCTTCTTGTCAAGCCTGTTGCTGGTCAAGTCTGTCTGCTGGTCAAGCCTGTCTACCAGTGAATCCTGTCTGCCGGTCAAGCCTGTCTTCTGGTCAAGCCTGTTGCTGGTCAAGTCTGTCTGCTGGTCAAGCCTGCCTACTGGTGAATCCTGTCTGCAAGTCAAGCTGTCTACCGGTCAATCCTGTCTGCAAGTCAAGACTGTCTACCGGTCAATCCTGTCTGCTAGTCAAGCTGTCTACTGGTCAAGCATGTCTGCTAGTCAAGCCTGTCTGCTAGTCAAGCCTGTCTACTAGTCAAGCTTGTCTCCTTGTCCAGCCTGTCTGCTAGTCAAGCTTATCTGCTTGTCAAGCCTGTCTGCTGGTCAAGCCTGTTTACTGACCAAGCCTGTCTATTGGTCAAGCCTGTCTGCTGGTAAAGCCTGTCTACTGGTCAAGCCTGTCTGCCAGTCACGCCTGTCTGCCGGTCAAGCCTGTCTGCCAGTCAAGCCTGTCTTCTGGTCAAGCCTGTTGCTGGTCAAGTCTGTCTGCTGGTCAAGCCTGTCTACCAGTGAATCCTGTCTGCCGGTCAAGCCTGTCTTCTGGTCAAGCCTGTTGCTGGTCAAGTCTGTCTGCTGGTCAAGCCTGCCTACCGGTGAATCCTGTCTGCAAGTCAAGCTGTCTACCGGTCAATCCTGTCTGCAAGTCAAGACTGTCTACTGGTCAATCCTGTCTGCTAGTCAAGACTGTCTACAGGTCAATCCTGTCTGCTAGTCAAGCTGTCTACAGGTCAATCCTGTCTGCTAGTCAAGCTGTCTACCGGTCAATCCTGTCTGCCAGTCAAGCCTGTCTGCTGGTCAAGCCTGTCTGCCAGTCAAGCTGTCTACCGGTCAATCCTGTCTGCCAGTCAAGCCTGTCTGCCAGTCAAGCCTGTCTGCTAGTAAAGTATGTATGTTGGTCGTCTGTCTGCTTGTCAAGCATGTCTACTGTTCAAGCATTGTTGGCTAACCTACCTGACTGCAAGAACACCTGGGCTTGGTTCATGTACCACACACCGAGCTCGTTGAGGGAGTTGCCATGACGTTTGGACAGACTGACCCGTGTGTCCTTGCTACACTTGACCTTGGTCCCAATCTGGTAGGCCAGCTCGTAGCACCGGCTGCTGTGTACCAGGTTCTGCTCCATGCTCAACGTCCACGTGTACACCCACGAGTACTCTGTATCACAGATAATGGAAAAAGATGGATGTGGCTACTGGTAGAGAGGCAGAGTCTTACAAGTGTTACAATGGATTATGCATTTAAACTGAGTTTGGTTTTACGCCGCTTTTAGCAATATTCCAGCAACATCACGGCGGGGGACACCAGAAATGGGCTTCACACATTGTACCCATGTGGGGATTCGAACCCGGGTCTTTGGCGTGACGAGCCAACGCTTTAACCATTAGGCTACCCCACCGCCCCTTATGCATTTAAAATAATCAGCATTGCACAATTACTTCTAGTATATTATGTGAAATAATTATACTAAGTATTGTTATGCCTAAAACCTAAAATCTACATGAAAATAGATTAATATTCGAAATTTATTGACAAAACAGCAGAAGAAACAGAAGTGATATTTCCATCATGTTATCTCCCCTGTATCCATGACAACAAAATGACTGAGCATGCTGACTTTGACATTATGATATTAACTTCAGTATGTACACCCAGTGTCAAACCCAAGCTCACATAACTGTTAAGCTGGTTAAGATGTAAAGGTTACCATGGTTACTGTATGCCACCATTTTTTGTCGTTTAATGACAGTTTCCATATATGTCACTATGGGGGCTACAGATCACTATAGGCCCATGGTACATATCACATTACAATGTACAATGAAGTTGCAATACACGGGGTATCTGAAGATGGCACTTTGGTGAAATTACAAAGATGACAAGAGGGCATGCAAGGGGCAATTTCTACCATGATAAAAGAAATGTTAAAAATTTGACACGTAAATTCTCAGACATGTTGCTCTCAGTGATATTCCAACCTTAGGGGGGTCAGCTGCACAAAATAAAATTTGAATCAGACAAACAAGTGATTGATGTGATAATCAATACTGTGCAGCCATGATATGAGGCCATGAAATGATGAAGAAGGATATATTCAAATGTCCCCAATTCTAGTTCCCTCCAAAATTGCTCTACCTGGGTTAGGTACGACGTTCTGTGCAGCATCCAGCACCACCGCCTCTTCCTCCGACATGTCACCGTAGTCTCTCTTGTGTTCCTCGAAGCACGACTGATGTGGCTGATGAGGAGGTGGATGTCCCCGGCCAGCTCAAGGATCAGCATCAGCAGCTCGCGGTTCTCCCCTTCCTTGCTGGGCACCAGTTTCTTCATCGCATCTGCAGCATACACAGTGAGGTGAAGTGAGGTGAAATTGGGTTTAACGTTGTGCTTGAGAATATTTCACTCATATGACGACGTGCATGCGTGTGTATGTGTATGTGCGGCTGCTTGTACTAGCCCAGGTTTTATAGTGCTAGCCCACTGAGATACCATGCCGCAGTGAAGCATGAATACTCCACTCAGACACATTATACTCCGAGCCAACCAGTCCTTGTTGTACCCACTAATGCAGACTGCCAGGCAGGGACCAACAAGTACCATATTTTAACTTCTTTAGGTATGACGCGGTCAGGGATCGAACCGGCGACCTTCCGCTATCCGGGTGGACGCTCTAACCACTACACCACGGAGGCGGTCCCTCATACACAGTGAGTGAGTGAGTGAATGAGTTGTTGGGAGTGAGTGGTTGAGTTGTTGTTTGGAGTGAGTGAGTGGTTGAGTTGTTTGGAGTGAGTGAGTGGTTGAGTTGTTGTTGGGAGTGAGTGGTTGAGTAGTTGTTGGGAGTGAGTGGTTGAGATATGGGCTTCATACATTGAACCAAGGCCTTGGGTGTGACAAGCAAGCATTTACCTCAAGGCTACCCCACCGCCCCCCAAAATGAAAAAGTGTTTGGATGACTGAGTAAACAGGTGAGTGAGAGACAGATTACATGAATGAGTCACTTGGAGAAGGTGAGTGATTGTGTGGTTTGGTGAGTGAGATAGATCGTGAATGAGTGAGTGATTGAGTAGTGATAATATACACTGTGATGCTATTTTTATGGGCTGAGCCAGTGATATCCCCTCAGTGTATCTTAAAATAAAACAACCAGGTGTTCCACTTTAAGATTGAGTACCTTATACGTAACACAAGAAATGCAACTCTTTTCTGAGATGCTTGAGAAGTGTTAGAAGAATCACCAGTATAAGTGAATATCACATTTTCTATACTAGTGTTGGGAATTGGTTAAAATCTCGTAATTGATGATTGGTTCATTACAACTGATCAATCATCAAAAATAATTGGTTAGCGTTATTTATGAAATTTGTTCATGCACAAAAATAAGGAAAATAAACATGTAGTTCTTTGGGGTATTTTTGGCAAAATTTCACATCTTTAAAGGATGACTAGTATGTTAGCAACATAAATTTCTTAGAGTCTTTAAGATAAATTCAATCATGACTTGGAACGAGCTTGTAGTGCTTATGAAATGTAACAGACAAAACCAACCTTGTGAAAAATACTGTTAATGAAAACAAGTGTTCCAGAATTGTGTGTGTTCGATTATGAGAAAACATGATCGATTGCTTGGTCGTTTAGTCATTGCGACCACTATTCTATACTGTATCAGAGAAACCAAATAAGTGGTCAATAGCATGAGCAAAAACATGAAGGTCAAATAAATGCTGAGAGGATCCAGGAAATCTCTTTCAGCAGTGACAAGCATGAGGCAGCAGGGTCAATTCTGATGAGGAACTTCCACAAAACAATTTGAGAACTTACCCAGGCAATGTAATGCAAATCTCACATGCTTGAGTGCATGTCCGTACTTCTGGACCGACATGTGTTCCTTGGCCAGAGCATAATAGGCCATAGAGCCCTTCCTCAGCAGCAAAGATTTGGACAACTGGTGCCAAGATGCCTTGGTGTCTGTTGGCATAGCGATGGTCACCTGGAGACTATCTTGTTTGTCTTCCCCTTTGCTTAGTGGTTCGTAATGGAGTGGAATGGCCTCACTCTGATTACACGTGGCCTGTTCCTCCACGATGCTGCAACTCTTGTGTGGTTCCTTGGTCTTGAGATTGGACAGGTCCCTGCCGAGGCAGTCCAGGCCCTGGTATGCAAATAAGAAAGTGAATATTATGCAGTCAGGAACATCCCAGCCTCAAAACAAAGTCAGACGAAAGATTGGTGACACATATTCATAATGAAAGCCTCTGATGTTCTGACTATTGAACAGAAGCCCTCAAATCAGTTTCAACTGAAGATCATGATCCAACAGTTTGATTGTCCTGCAACAGAGAGTCATGTTTATGTCATAATTGTTTATGATCACAGGGATGTTATGATGTACACATTTTATTTGAAGATGTAATTTGGAATGTGCTTGATTCAACAATGATGGAACAAGCTTGAATGTTTTTAATCATTTTTTTATATGACCCTCCATTATTTATCTGTGCACATGCACATTGGGTGGACACTGGTTTACCTCAGATTATGAATGGGACTTTGTCATGAGTTGAATAGGCTCCATAAAGTCAAAGTCATGTCCTAAAAATAATAACTTTTCGGACCATTTCTCTAATGGTGATCCATCCATGAAGGTCTGAGTTATGAACCTTCAGTAACCCATGCCTGTCGTAAGAGGTCACTAACGGGATTGGGGGGTCAGACTCGCTGACTTGGTTGACACATGTCATCGGTTCCCAATTGCGCAGTTCGATGTTCATGTTGTTGATCACTGGATTGTCTGGTCCAGACTCGATTATTTACAGGCCGCCACCATATAGCTGGAATATTGTTGAGTGCGGCGTAAAACTAAACTCATTCACTCACTCACTTATGATGATCCATTCCTATGATAACTTCACAACACTAGAATCTGCTGTTTATTCTCAACTCTATATGTGGAAGATTTCTATTTCAATATAATGTTGTCAAATACAGCTTATAATGTCTAAATAGAGCCTAGCCATGACAAGCCACCCATATTGTATAGACCAACTCTAGTCCTACTCATCTTGTTTGAAAACAAGAAGACAAAGTCATCAATATCCCCTGCAATGGCAAAATACTCACTATGAATATGTCTACCAGTTATGATTATGTCAAATGTTTTGGAGTGTATATAGCAAAGTGGAAGGAGAGTATTGAAAGGTTTTTAAAATCTGCTCCAGAAAAGAGCACTATCACCAATTCAGTTGACGCCTAACTTGTTGCCATTGGAATGCAACAAGATGACATCCTCATAGTCACAGCTTAAGTCACGTTTCCATGGAAACCACAAAAAATACATTCATATCTGGGTCTAACCCCTAAAAGGCATATCTAAGGATCATGCTTGATATGTGTACCAAGTTTGATGAATAACATGTATAGTTTGAGAGATCTGCTCCAGACAAGATGACATCCTCATAGTCACAGCCTGAGTCATGTTTCCATGGAAACCTCAAAAAATAAAATTCATATCTGGGTCTAACCCCCAAAGGCACATCTAAGGATCATGGTTGACATATGTACCAAGTTTGGTTAAGCTATCACGAATAGTTTAGGACATATGCTTCGTACAAAGTGTGACGGACGCACGGAAACACAGGCTGACGTGCGCACTGACGGACAGAACTCATTTCTATATGCCCCGCAACTTCGTTGTTGCAGGAGATAATAAATGACTATAAAATACAATAAAATACTAAATGTGCACAGAACAGTTTTTAATGTCAGACAGAAGCAATATAGACTTGCCTAGTTATTCTAGGCTTGACATGTACTATTTATATAATAGTATAAACTAACATGCTACTGTTAACATTCAAACAATATCAAGGTTGGATGGAAAAATGTTGACCTATTTCAATCTGTTTAGGATAAACAGTAAACATCATTCTACACTAATTATGCTGTGTTAATTATTTCTTTCCATCAGTACATGTCCTATTTAGCTCACCTTTCTAATGTTACCCGTGGGGTTCCGGGTTAGAATTGATCTTCAGTAACCCATGCTTGCTGTAAGAGGTGACTAAAGGGATCAGGAGTGGTCAGGCTTGCTGACTTGGTTGACACATGTCATTGTATCACAATTGCGTAGATCGATGCTCATGCTGTTGATCACTGGATTGTTTGGTCCAGGATCGATTATTTACAGACTGCTGCTAAATAGCTGGAATATTGCTGAGTGCTGTGTAAAACTAAACTCACTCACACACTCACCTTTCTAATGTAGCTGAGTGCATCTCGACACCGCTCTTCCACTGTGCCTGCGATAGCATGTCTACGAGGAACCCGCCAGGCGCGGCGCACAGTGCGGTCGATCCGACACAGATCTTTCAGCCCGAGGGATATTTCCGTCTTCACCTCATTTTCCTCATCTGATGTCTGCACATAAAACAATATGGGGTAAGTATAAATATCTCTTTTTTTTAACTAATTTCTCCAGTAGCAAATCAAAACTTTTCAGAATAAATGTCAGTGTTCAACTTATCTATAATCAATATCTAATTGGAGCAAACAAATATTAATTTTTAAAAATAGGTCAAATATGTGGGTCAGTCTGACCTAGAAATTTTCATCATTATTTAAAAAAGGAAAAAAGTAAATAAATTACTCATGGAAATAAATTTAGAATTTAACCACAAATATCTTTACACTTTATTACACCCTACACAAAAGAATGGTTGTGAAAAAGTCAAAGATGTAATTGATTTAATAACAATTATGCAAACATGCAAATATGATCAAGCTTCAATGAGTCTAACTAGGAATTAACAAGACAGAAAGCATCATCAGTAGAACTTTGATCCTTCGTAGTTCATAAAACATATGATGAATGGGAGTTCATGTGCCTGCATGAGATATGCTGCCTAGTTTACCTTGTTACATAAGGCATATTACCCTTCTGACCAGAACTACTCAGGATCTACTCTAAAAAATACATGATTTCCAGGCAAATACTTATTTACCCAAATAAATAATTTGTAATCAATCACACATGACTCATACAATTTATGTTTTCAAAACAATTTTTCCTTATAGAACTTGTGAAAAGCCTACTTACATAGGATTCTAAATACACTATAAATCACCTATTACCCACATCAAAACAATAATTAAGACAAATAGCAAGTGTCCTAACATAAAATGATTTTAAAAGAAATCTTATCATCAATCCTTCATAAAGAGATTTTGAAACAAAGAATATATGCCAGAAGAGAGATGTGAAAAAAATGGTTTAGTGAAACGTTGAATAGGAATTATGTAAGCAAAAATAGCTGAAGAAGCTCTCATAAAATATCACAGATTTTCAACACATTTCAAGGCCGGATTCACACTGAACCAGATTCATCAACCATATTAGAACAAGGCAACATGTTTATTGATCTCTGTGGAATAGCTATCATTTTTTTTTAAAAACACTTTAATTACTTTGCAAAAAAATGAATCCACATGAGGTGTAAAACAGAGTTACTTCCCTTTGATTTTCTGGGCCATCTTGCAAACAATGCCATAGGAATCTGACGATGCTGACGGGCATTTTGTTTCCAATGTTACCAAATTTCGGGCATTCAATACTGTTTATTCTCAGATGAACACAGGTCCAATTTAACTTTTCTGAAAATTCACCTTTTTCTTATAAATATTAAATTCAAAAGTAATTAAATTCATTTTCACAAAGAGTTCAATCTCGGATATTTCAACGTTAATGAAACATGATTTCAGGAATTGATCTAAAATACCAACTTAGTGCCCTTGATAGGCAAATTGGGAAAAATATGTTCTCATTCATTATTTGGATTTCAACTCTCTATTCAATGGAGTATTAAGGCACTTTCCTTTTCATGGTCCTGTGAGACAAGAAAACTCTACAAAGACATTATGTGACTCAGGACTATATTAGCATGAATTTGGAAACATTTGGTTCCAAGGTGGGCATATTTCATGACTATTGCTGCAGATTTGGGTCTGAATGACATCTGATCAAGTCCAGACCAATGCCTGGATTTCTGGTGATTTTAAGAATGAAAATATTCGCTTGATTTCAGCCTCTGTTCAAGTCCAGGGCCCCATTCCTCAAAGCGATCGTAGCACTAAGGTGATCATAACTCCCATACTTTAACATAGACTTACGACAGTCGTAGCGTTAAGGTGACCATAACTCCCATACTTTAACATAGACTTACGACTCTCGTAGCGCTACGACAGCTTTGAGGAACAGGGTAGAGATCAATCCCTAGATTTCTGGGGATTTTAACAATGGAAATATTCACTAAATATTGGACTAAGATCAGGTTTGAATCCATCCTGAACATCTGGAGGTTTTAACACAGGACTGTTCACTTACTGCTGTGGACTCCTCGGTGTCCTCGTCCGAATCATTGCTCTCCTCCTGACACCACACATCGCCGATAGAGCTGTCCGGCACAAACAGGTCAGACAGCAGGTAGTTGGCCGATGTGCACACCTAGGTCACAAGGTCAAACATTGAGATTCAAGTATTTGACTGAATCACCATTACATTTAATCATGGAAAAAATCATCCTCTGTGTCAAAACTAAAACACCAAGATGCCTGCTAAACAAATTAACCATTAACACAAGATTTTGTGGAATGTAAAACTTGCTTGTTTGCCCATGCTGAATTCCTTACTCATAAATATTTCAGCTGTAAGATGTTGGTCTGTAAATAAATTGTGTCTGGACGAGACAATCAAGTGATCAATGTCATGAGCATTGATCTAAACATTTTCATATTATAACATGCATCAACAACATATTTGTATTTGTTGTTTTACACCACACTCGGCACTTTAAGCTATATGGCGATGGTCTGTTAATAACTGAGCCCAGACAACCAGTGATCAACATCATTAGCATGGATTTAAGCAATCGGGATACGATGACATGTGTCAACCAAGTCAGTGAACCTGACCACCCATCCTGTTGGTCACCTCTTACAACAAGCATGGGTTCCTGAATACCAATTCTAACACGGATCTTTGCTTGTATTCAACAAAGTCAGGGCACATGACCACCCTGTTGCCTTGACAACACTGAGGGCCGAAGACTAGGATGCCTTATTTGTTCATCTGATATTCCTCACCTGTGAATGTTTCTCTTCATTCAGTAGCTGCAGACAGTTTTCCAGGAGGGTTCTGATGGTGGCAGTTTTCATCTTGCCGCCAGTCTGTCGCAGGTTGCGGGCAACTCGGTACAGCAAGATGCCAACAGGGACAACAAAGGGGTTGCTGTCTTCCTTGATCTCGTCTCCGCACAGCACAGTCAGGTCGTATAACTTCACTACGTCATCGTCCACATCTGTCAAACCAATACACTCAGTGAAACAGGCTAGATCTCATCTGTTCATCATCTAACAATCATTGACATCCACATCTGTCAAACCAATACACTCGGTGAAACAGGCTAGATCTCATCTGTTCATCATCTAACAATCATTGCCATTCACATCTGTCAAACCAATACACTCGGTGAAACAGGCTAGATCTCATCTGTTCATCATCTAACAATCATTGCCATTCACATTTGTTAAACCAATACACTCGGTGAAACAGGCTAGATCTCATCTGTTGTTCATCTAACAATCATTGCCATTCACATTTGTTAAACCAATACACTAATACACTTGGTGAAACAGGCTAGATCTCATCTGTTCATCATCTAACAATCATTGCCATTCACATTTGTTAAACCAATACACTCGGTGAAACAGGCTAGATCTCATCTGTTCATCATCTAACAATCATTGCCATTCACATCTGTCAAACCAATACACTTGGTGAAACAGGCTAGATCTCATCTGTTCATCATCTAACAATCATTGCCATTCACATTTGTTAAACCAATACACTCGGTGAAACAGGCTAGATCTCATCTGTTCATCATCTAACAATCATTGCCATTCACATTTGTTAAACCAATACACTTGGTGAAACAGGCTAGATCTCATCTGTTCATCATCTAACAATCATTGCCATTCACATTTGTTAAACCAATACACTCGGTGAAACAGGCTAGATCTCATCTGTTCATCATCTAACAATCATTGCCATTCACATCTGTCAAACCAATACACTCGGTGAAACAGGCTAGATCTCATCTGTTCATCATGTAACAATAATTGCCATCCACATCTGTCAAACCGATACACTCAGAGAAACAGGCTAGATCTCATCTGTTCATCGGGGCGGTGGGTTAGCCAAGTGGTTAAAGCGTTGGCTTGTCACGCCGAAGACCCAGGTTCGAATCCCCACATGGGTAAAGCCCATTTCTGGTGTCCCCCGCCGTGATGTTGCTGGAATATCGCTAAAAGCAGCGTAAAACCAAACTCAGTCAGTCAGTCATCTGTTCATCATCTCAACGTCATTTTAGTCCAAATCTGTCAAACCATAATTACACTCATTTTATCCTGCTCATCTCTGACTTTCCCAAAATGTAGAACAAACTATGCTGTGTTCCCAAAGAATAGATAAACATCTCAATGAAACACACCCTTCCCCTGCACAGTTGCACTGGAAAATGAACAATCTGGTTGAATCATCACCCTCTTTGAGCCATCATCAACCTTACCCTAACTTTTAGGCTTGGATAATAATAATCTGAATCACATTTATTATTTCCACAATTTATTTTTCAATATGATACTCTGGATGATCGCGGGTGTCAATGCTTGTCTACTCACTTTTATACAGCCAGTATGTGTGGCCCTCTTTGGTGGCGTTAGATTTCAAGAAGGAGAGCAGGTTCCTGGCAATGCCGGTCACCAACAGTGGGTCAAACTTGCAGTCCTCCAGCAGAGGGATGTCCTCTGTCTTTATCAGCTCGTATTTCTACACAGGAGTAAAATCATCATCATCATCATCATCATCATCATCATCATCATCATCATCATCATCACCATCACCACCATCATCATCATCATCATCATCATCATGGATCCTAGCACAACTTTGTGTTGCTCACAAAGATTTAACCTGACTCAAATGAACTTCTTTAAAGAAAACATATATTCTGAACAAGCTACAGAGAAGACTACAGATTTAGCCGAAAAGATACTGATATTTCTTCCAGTAAGAAATCCATTTCATATCCAAAATCACCTGCACGATTCCATTGAGATGGAAGCACATGGCGACCTCCGGCACATTACACATGAGGTTGTCCAGCCAGCAATCCAGCCCGGTCAGCACATTGATGGGCGTGGCCGAGTCCCTGGACATAACGCAGAGAGTAAAGTAGAAACATCGGACATATATACAATGCCTTAACAGTGCTTTAACAATGCTTTGAGACTTACTTGATGCACCCATGAAGATATGGGTTAGAATTGGTATTCAGCAACCCAATCCAACTAAAAGGATGGAGTGGTCAGACTCACTGACCTGGTTTACACATGTCATTGTATCCCATTTGTGTCGATGCTCATGATCACTGGATTGTCTTGTCCAGAAACGATTATTTACAGACCAGCGCCATATACTAAAGTATTGTTGATAGTCCGTTAAGAAGCAGCATAGCACAGGCAACTTAAATTCCTGTTTCTCTAAGCACATAAGGGGTGAGTGAGTGAGGATGGTTTCACACCGCTTTTAACAATACTCCAGCAATATTACAGCAGGGGACAACAGAAATGGGTTTCACACAATATACACGTGTTCGGAATCAAACCCAGGTCTTCAGTGTGACAAGCGAATGCCTTACCCACTTGGCTACCCATCACACCTCAAAGCACATACGGACACACTAACTTAAAAATCATACTTTTTGTTAATAAGTTTATTGTTGCATACATTTGAAATCACAAATACATTCCACCAATATATGGGCAATGACCATCAGACCATGGCTCACATCATTAATGCACAGTTTTAATTTCAAAATAACTTGGGGTATTCATAAATGACAAATTGTATTAACAATCTGAAGTGAGCATGGTTTTATGCAGTACTTAGCAGTATTCCTGTAAAATCATGGCGGAGGACACCAGAAATTGGGTTCACACAATGTACCCATGAGGGGAATCGAACAAGACAGACATGCACTTTAACCACAAGGCTACCCCAGAGCTCCATAATGAACATCAGGCATATTATACTAGATTCCAACCACTTACTAACTAACTCACGGTCAACTGTCATTCACTAACTTTGAAGACAGATGAAATTTCCGGCAGTTGGCATACTCAAATTCATTAAGACACCTGAACATCTTTGAGTGCATACTCGAAAAAATTAATAAGTGCTATCACAGCATCATTCATGATCTAACTATGGGACTAAAGTACTGTCGGAAATGCTAGAAAAATGCTTTTTAGCCTTGATAACCTTAGAAAGGTGATAAATGTATTATGTTGTCAATATATCAACTCACCTATAGTGTACCTAATTTTTATTTCAATTGATTTAACATTCCCATGCATTTAAAGGGCAGCTTACAGGAGAGAATTTGGTACCAAAACAACACCTTAAGATTTTTTCAGAGTTCAACAACAGAAATCTGAAATAGTCTTTACATTTATGCTAATAATACAGGTGGTGTAAAAATATAAATTAACGTTTTTCTTAAACAAATAAATGTTGAATGTTTGTGTTACTTTACTTAATTATCGTTTCTTTATTGAAGAAATATTAATATAAATGTTAAGTCTTGATAAATAAGTTTCCCGTCATGCATGCACATCTTTATCACAGCGTCCACTATGGCTAACTATTTGCAGATGATTGTTGCAAAGGTTTATAAGTTTTTTGTGCTTGAAAAAGACAGAAGTAAACCTTTCATTAGTATAGAAATGGTTTAGTACAGAACTTGTAGAGCTGTTGGTATGTCTTACCAACAAGTTTACAATATTGTAAACAAATCAGACAAGACAGGGACATAAAACAAATCCTTGACATAAAACCACTCTTGACAAGGGAGTGACTTTAGTACTTAGGGCGGTCTACAAACTTTAGGAGAAGAAGAATATATATATTCTAAAGAAGCTACACCAGTGACTTCGTACTCGTAAATCTTTGGCCACTGTTCACAACTAGATTAAACTGACCGAATTACATCCATATTTTTTGCAATGACATATACTGTTGACATGCAAAACATTTATTAAAACGTTCCACATTTCTACAATCAATCGATAAGATAACACAAGTGATAGGATTCTTTCCAACGTAGGATTTTTTTCACAACAAACACACATACACAAATGATCCCTTACATAACCAATACGTATATTATACGTACACATATTCAACATTTTGAAGAAAACATCTATTGAGATGACCCCTCGCGCGAGCTTGTGCTAAGGTGTCAATTTCACCTGTCGATACCGTGCATGCTGATGACGTAACACAGGCAGTTAATGTTTGTATCAAATAACGTCCCACTACCCCTTATTTTTCTAAGTTTTTGGTATTTTCATCAGTAAAAACGCATTTTAGGGCATGTCTCAAAATTTATTCCCTCGGTCAATTGTCATTGTGAGTGAGTGAGTGAGTGAGTTGGGTTTTACATCGCTTTTAGCATTATTCCAGGAATATTATGAAAAATACGAATGAACGCTTTAACCACAAGGCTGCTGCACACACACCCCAACAGCCATACGTCACACAACACATGTCACATAACAGACATACGTCACACAACAGCCATACGCCATACGACATACGTCACCCAACAGACATACGTCACCCAACAGACATACGTCACCCACCCAACAGACATATACGCACACACAACAGCCATACGTCACACAACAGCCATACGTCACACAAAAGACATACATCACACAACTGACATACGTCACACAACAGCCATATGTCACACAACAGACATACGTCACACAACAGACATACGTCACACAACAGACATACGTCACACAACAGACATACGTCACACAACAGACATCACACATCAGTAACAAAACATCCATTGCCGTAAGTAACACACACTTTCATTCACAACTGAATTTCCCTTTCGTAATTAATTGACAAAATGCTGTACACTTAATATTCTTTAAGTTGTATAAACAGGAAAACAAATGTACATAAATGCATAAATAACACAACAGCCGTTGTCCTTAAGTAGCACAACATCCTTTGTCATAAGTAATAGAATCCCTGACTATACAACCAAATTTTCAGATTACTGTTATTAGAACCATAACATTTCTTTGAATTCAATGGCCTTAGTATGTAGAAAATAGGATCTGCATGTACAATCAGCGCCACTCACTGTCAAACACTTGTAATACATGTCACAATACAGGTAGCAGAATACAGATACATAGCCCTACTAGACGCCAGAGTTCAGTAGCTGCAAGCAGTGTGCAGTGAGTGAGTGATCGAGCGAGTGAGTGAGTGAGCAAGCAGGGTTTTACACCGTTTGTAGCAATATTCCAGCAAAATCATGGCGGGGGACACCAGAAATGGACTTCACACATTGTACCTATGTGGGGAATCAAACCCAGGCCTTTGGCATGACGAGCGAATGCTTTAACCATTAGGCTACCCCACTGTGTGAAATAGTTCCCAAATTTTGTTACCAGCCCACAAAATATTTCACTAGCCCAAAATTTGAATGTAGAAACTAAGCAAAAGATTACACAAAGGTAAGCTGCTAATATGATGAACATTTTTGTTAGGCCGTAAGGCATGATTTAAAAGTGTATTATAACTTAACAGGTCGGAGAGAGTGATATATTTACTAAATGACCCTATGAAAATTCACTAGCCGAGTCGGCCAGTGACTGTGGAAATTTACTGGCACGACTGGATTTTTCACACACTGGGCTACCCCATCGCCCTGAGTGCAATGTGAACAGCTGACTCAATGCACAACTGCATTTAAACACAGCGGGGGTGCTGCATGTTATGATGCAACCCCACCCCACCCCACCCCCACCCCCACCCTCCCACAGCTGTTGTTGTTTTGGCCAACATTAGGATCACTGCATGTCTGTGGTCCATCTGTTACACCTAAAGGCTAGCAATGATAGTTAGAGATCTCAAAACAGCACAATCTGTCATACCCAGGTTTATATCACTGCAATAACATTCATTTAAACAAACTTAGTTATTATCATGATTTTTAAACAAACAAACAAACAAACAAACACACACACACACACACACACACACACACACACACACACACACACACACACACACACACACACACACACACACACACACACACACACACACACACACACACACACACACACACACACACACACACACCTGTGATGTCATCCTATTGTTCTCAAAATGTGTTCACATCCCATAAGAAGTGATTTTACAATATGCAACAGATTTACATAAATTTATATTATGAATTTGTGTGGCAATCTTTCCAATTTATAATTGCTCAAATGTGCTTCTAACATTAACTAAGTCACCTTTTCATTCTCAACTCCCTGAGAAGTATACCACCAGAGTCTGTACATGGTCTCTGATTAGGGCTGTGTATTGGCAAATGAATTGTATTGCAGTATATTGCGATTCAGGTACCTGTATTGCGATATATTGGGAGCTTAAGTGTTTGACAGTAAGTGTCACTAATTGTACATGTCGATCCTATTTTCTACATTCCAATGCCTAAATATATATGATATGGTTCTGGTAACAACAATCTCAAAATTAGGTTGCAAAGTCAGGGATTCTATTTTCTTTTTTATACAATTTATAGTATGGCAGTATACCATATTGTTATTGAATAACGAAGGAAAACATTTGTTGTGAATGAAAGTCTGTGTAGATTTTAATTTAAACCGTAAAAATAATCACAAAAGCTTTATGTATGTCCTTTACCCAATATACCGGTTCTCGGAAAAAATATTGCAATATGTATCATTTGAAAGCGCGTATTGTGATACACCAGTAATACCATGCAGTCCTACTTCTGATACAACCCAAACTGCCTGTAAGGTACTGGAATGCTAACAGTCACATCACCACATTGTCCCACCGGGTACCCATTTACTGCTGGATTAACAGAGGTATATTTTGACCAGTCTCTCCCCAAGGGAGACAACACATGCGCTAGGGTGTGCTTGTGTGTTTGGCAGAATCAATGCCAAAGAAATTCTCAGGAGTCAAGTGGCCAAACACAGTCGGCATCCAAACAATCTGCAAATCTAGGGGATCAAAACTTTCATTTGACTTCTGGGGCAGTGGGGTAGCTTAGTGGTTAAAGGCAATCACTCGTCACGCCGAAGACCCAGGTTTGATTCCCCACATGGACACAACGTCCATTTCTGGTGTTCCCCGCCATGATATTGCTGGAATATTGCTAAAAGCGGCATAAAACTAAACTCACTCAATAACTCATTGAGATTTTGTCTCAAAAGACACAAGGTTTAAACTTGTAAATATTCAGTTTTTATTTGTTTGTTTGTTGCATTGTGCCGCTCTCAGCAATATTCCAGCCATATGGCAGTGATCTGTAAATAATTAAGTGTTCACAAGACAATCAAATTTTCAAGAACATGAGCATCAATCTACTTAAACATGTAGAGTTTTAACATTTATTGACTCATTTTTATTACATTTGAAAGCAAAATACACATGGTTGAGATTCCCTAGGCATTAGCCAGCTGATATGACCAGGTGAGGCAGGAGAGGTGAGGAGGTGAGGTGAAATTGGGTTTAACGTCGTGCTTGAGAATATTTCGCTCATATGACGACGTGCATGTGTGAGTATGTGTATGTGTGGCTGCTTGTACTAGCCCAAACTGAAGCTGGGTTTATAGTGCTAGCCCACTGAGATACCATGCCGCAGTGAAGCATGAATAACCCACTCAGACACATTATACTGACTCCGAGCCGACACGTCCTTGTTGTACCCATTAATGCTGAGCGCCAGGCAGGGACCAACAAGTACCATATTTTAACGTCTTTTGGTATGACGCAGTTGGGAATCTAACCTGCGACCTTCCGCTCTCCGGGCGGACGCTCTAACCACTAAGCCACGGAGGCGGTTGTGAGGGGGAGAGATATCTCGACTGTGTTTGTGAGTATTATTGGAATGCCTACAACTTCAGATACGGTTTGAATAAAATTATGAGTAATGTTAATAAAATACAGTCAATTCCCGATGAGTCGAATCGCTGGGGACCAAGTAATAAATTCGACTTATCGATGTATTCGAGACATAGGTATATGAGGGTAGATAAAAAGATGATCCAGTCCTAATTCTTCCGCCTAAGCATTTGTTTATCTAATGATGTCCATATCACTAATAGGGACACCTTAGATATTAGTTCCAGTCTGATTAGCACAGACAGTGATTTCCGTAAAATCGCTAATCTGCTATTTGAACTCACCCGTCAGTGGCGGAAAGGTGTGAGCCGCGATGGTTTGTTATTTGGATCAGTTTGCTACACCATTCAACTTCTCATTGACTGACTTCGGCTTATGTATACAAGATTACTGTTGTTTGAATCTCATGGGACCAAATTTCCTTCTCGAGTCATCGTGTGTATTTATGAGACGAATTCGTGAAACCGGTATTCAAATGATGACAACTATAACAGGGAATGGTCGGGACCGACAGGTACTTCGAGTTATGCATAATATTCGAGACACCGGCATTTGACACATCGGGATTTGACTGTAATTTGAAAACATAAGTCCAGATATACAATGGACACTTTTTAAAACCAAACTGTGTGAATACATGATTAAATTGTGAATTCAGTTTTGGATTTGCTGAGATGATATTTCCTCTTTTCCTGATCTCACCTGAGTTTGAGACTGACGCATGGATGTGTGTCGCCTCCAAAGATGGGTAGGTCAGTCCCAATCAGCATGTGGATATCCTCGAATGTCCAGTACACCTCCCGATGGTATCCGCTCCCCTCAGGCTGAAAAACAGACAATACACCACTGAGTACACGTGTACACACGAGTACACACATCATCATAGTATTCATACTAGTGACTGAGTTTAGTTTGAGTGGAAGTCATGAAACAAAAGGTGGAAGAACCCTAGAGGTATCAAAACACCCAAATATGCCACGTGGAAAAACTCGGAACGTGGGGACACACCCCAACCCGAAGTGAAGAAAAGAAAAACAAAAACGAGGCAGCCAGGTAAGTGAAGTTACTTGTAAATTATGTTCTTCACCCACAGAGAAGAGACATAAGATAGAAAACATACATACCAATAACTTTAATATCTGAAAACTATTAGTAAGTGTCTGAAAACTTAGCGAAACAAAAACGTCTGACAAGCAAGACGCTTGAAGTAAAAGTGATTTTGGATGGACCGCGCTTGCGCGGGAGGGGAGATCACGTCACTTCCGTTGCCTGTACACTCGTCGATACACGAGGTGGCCGTTCTACAGAATGGCGAATCAACGACTGTCTGATCTCTTTAAGCGGAGCTTGAGGTAATATGCATAAGACCTATGGTAAGGTAAGTTAAAAATATATAAAAAAAAAACACGGCAAAAAAGAAACTCGTCTATGCATATACCTTTGGTAGTGGATCTGGTATGACGGCCTGTTGTTCTGTGCTTGGCGCCGTTTGTTTGGCGACAGAGCTGGCGTTTGGTATGGACACACTGTGACTCTGTGGAATCAGTTCGTTGACTGACACGCCCGACACAGCATCATCTTCACAGGCACTGGCTGACAGACTGTAACCATGGTAACAAAGAGTATGAACACCTTTGTCTCACAGCACATAAGTGTTGCAGGAAACCAAAGTACCAGGGTGCAGAAGCTCACCTTCACTAACTGATACAACCTTAAATGAGTGAGTGAGTAAGTATGGTTTTAAGCATCTCAGGGCCGTATCGGCGTATGTACGGATAAAAAATATGCACGATGCGGTAGGAAATAATTTAGAAAACGTAGCAGATAATGCAATGCAATGGTCCATGGTCTTAGAATATTTACAGACGTATTTAGCATTGTTTTATTGTTTATTGACCTGATTACACAAGAGTAGCAATGTTGTGGACATATATGAAACGAAACACTTACTGATATAAATTCCCAGTACTCTAAATTTCACGTTTTCCAGTAATCCTATATTTGGAAAATGAAGAGACTCCTGAAGTTGAAAAAATCTGGAGCCCTGCATCTTTTAGCAAAGATCCAGCAATAACACAGCAGGAACACCAGAAATAGGCCTTGATATATCCTTAAAGTCAAGTGAGCCAAGGACTAGGCATTAATGGACCTGAGAAGATCCGGTTGACTTGATTTTCATTCACCCGTGACTATCAGGTGGTCAGATTCGCTGACTTGCTTGACACGTCATCATATCTCAGTTACGTAGATTGATGATCATGATATCAATCACTGGATTGTCTGGTCCAGACTTGATTATTTACAGACCACCATCATCATAGCTGGAATATTGTTGAGTGAGGTGTTAAACAACAAACAAAAAATGGGTTTATAATCATTTTGAACAGTATTCCATTATATCACTGCATGTCAGCTTAATTCAAGAGGAAGTCCGCTTAACGTGAAGAAGAGGCGGAAGTGGTACAGGCTTGAGACATTTAATACTTCAGTGAAACAACATCATATGTTTGCCCATATCTTTCACCAAAGGACCCATTGCCTACAATGCTTCAGTAAAGAACTATTGTGGAGACGTCTGAATGAAAATATCTCTAGCGGATTTTCAACAGCTGTGTGTGATATTCCAACCTCACCTGTGGTACAGGAACTTGGAGTACATGCTTCTGTTCTGGAGAGTGTTGCGGCTCTTGCTTTTCCTCGAACGCACTTCATCTGTAAACATAGATCAGAAAACGTAACCAGAAAAACGATATGTTAAATATATAAACGCCATGAAACCACCAACAACTTCAGTCACACCATCAAATCACCCACGATCAAAACAATAATGGAAAAATTGTGAATCATATTTACCTTTCCCTCCATGTCCTTCGCAACACTTTCATAAAAGAAATGACGCAACCAGCTCCATTCTTCCTGTAAAGTAAAATAACAAATAACATCAAAGGAAAAATTAACTTAACCTTGTCATTATCACAGCACATGTACGTCTGATCGTATTGACTTTACAAAGTATCTGAACTACATTTTCGAGATGAGTATGTCCTAGGTATTATTCTGGCATTCTTGAATTGATACTCATTAGATTAATGAGTCATGATATGATGGATATCACATTACTTAATCTGTTTTGTTTATAAGTGAAATTTTCTATGTTAGTCTGGCTGAGATAACTGCTGTAGACTTGCCTGTATCCTAACATCCATGATTGGTTATGTTGTACCAGAGTGCCATACAATCAGATTTACCTGGTCCGTGCATGACAACAATCCACAAAGCCTCTCTAGCACTACTATTACACAAATTACGCAAGGCTTCTAAATCCTAGCTAGTCAGCTAGCCCAAGGCTACAAACCTGTGCTGAGGGCAAAACAAAATCCTCTTTGACTAGATGCGTCTGAGGGCTGTAATTCAAAACCAGTGCTCAGTGTTTCAATTTTGACAGAAACTGGGACTTAATATAACATATGTAAACATTTTGTGAGCAGCAACTCACTAAGAATAAACAATGATGACCAGTGAGTGAGTGAGTGAGTTTATGCTGTTGTAGCAATATTCCTGCCATATCACGGCAGGGGACACAAGAAATGGGCTTCACACATTGTACCTATGTTGGGAATCGAACCAGGGTCATCAGCATGACAAACAGCAGCTTTAACCATTAGGCTACCCCAGCGTTGCAAACTCCTGCCTGCCCGACCGTCCGGGATGGTCTATTGTGCGACTGGACGGTCAGTTTTAAAAAGTTGCACGCCCGATGTGGCTGTTAAATCAGTGTAATTTTGTAATGTATATAATGACTAAAGCCGTGACTGAAAAACATTTGAAAACGTGTGTTATTGTTACAATAACCTGACATTAAACAGTTCCCTCCTCTTAATAACCTTCTTTTTATTTTACTTAATCCAGAAAATTCTGGACTGGCAACTTTCCAGCCGGTTTGGTAACTTTTGAGAGTTGACATTTTGTCTGGCTGAAATTTTGGGCTATCCCACTGCACCTGGATTAGTCTGAAACATCCAAAATTATTTCGAAGGCTGCCAGTGTGTCTTACCTGTTCTTTCCTAAGCAGGTGTTTATGAATGTCGAACTCGTCAAGGAGCAGCGTGTTGCTGATGCGATGCACCATCATGCTGATGTGGGACGACTTGCAGAACGGGATCTTCAGTAGCTTCTTGATGTTCTGTCGACGAGAAGAACAGGGACATGGTTCATACTGTGGTGTATTGAGATCAGTAGGGACATGGTTCATAGTACAGAGAACAGTAGGGTCATACTATGGTGTATCGAGAACAGTAGGGACATGGTGTATTGAGAACAGTAGGGACATGGTTCATACTGTGGTGTATTGAGATCAGTAGGGACATGGTTCATACTGTGGTGTATTGAGATCAGTAGGGACATGGTTCATACTGTGGTGTATTGAGATCAGTAGGGACATGGTTCATACTGTGGTGTATTGAGAACAGTAGGGACATGGTTCATACTGTGGTGTATTGAGAACAGTAGGGACATGGTTCATACTATGGTGTATTGAGAACAGTAGGGACATGGTTCATACTATGGTGTATCGAGAACAGTAGGGACATGGTGTATTGAGAACAGTAGGGACATGGTTCATACTATGGTGTATTGAGATCAGTAGGGACATGGTTCATACTATGGTGTATTGAGATCAGTAGGGACATGGTTCATAGTATCATACTATGGTGTATCGAGAACAGTAGGGACATGGTGTATTGAGAACAGTAGGGACATGGTTCATACTATGGTGTATTGAGATCAGTAGGGACATGGTTCATACTATGGTGTATTGAGAACAGTAGGGACATGGTGTATTGAGAACAGTAGGGACATGGTTCATACTATGGTGTATTGAGATCAGTAGGGACATGGTTCATACTATGGTGTATTGAGATCAGTAGGGACATGGTTCATACTATGGTGTATTGAGAACAGTAGGGACATGGTTCATACTATGGTGTATTGAGAACAGTAGGGACATGGTTCATACTATGGTGTATTGAGAACAGTAGGGACATGGTTCATACTATGGTGTATTGAGAACAGTAGGGACATGGTTCATAGTATCATACTATGGTGTATCGAGAACAGTAGGGACATGGTGTATTGAGAACAGTAGGGACATGGTTCATACTCATGGTGTATTGAGAACAGTAGGGACATGGTTCATACCATGGTGTATTGAGAACAGTAGGGACATGGTTCATACCATGGTGTATCGAGAACAGTAGGGACATGGTGTATTGAGAACAGTAGGGACATGGTTCATACTATGGTGTATTGAGAACAGTAGGGACATGGTTCATACTATGGTGTATTGAGAACAGTAGGGACATGGTTCATACTATGGTGTATTGAGATCAGTAGGGACATGGTTCATACTATGGTGTATTGAGAACAGTAGGGACATGGTTCATACTATGGTGTATTGAGAACAGTAGGGACATGGTTCATACTATGGTGTATTGAGAACAGTAGGGACATGGTTCATACCATGGTGTATCGAGAACAGTGTGGTGTATTGAAAACAGTAGGGACATGGTTCATACTATGGTGTATTGAGAACAGTAGGGACATGGTTCATACTATGGTGTATTGAGATCAGTAGGGACATGGTTCATACCATGGTGTATCGAGAACAGTAGGGACATGGTTCATACTATGGTGTATTGAGATCAGTAGGGACATGGTTCATACTATGGTGTATCGAGAACAGTAGGGACATGGTTCATACAATGGTGTATTGAGAACAGTAGGGACATGGTTCATACCATGGTGTATCGAGAACAGTAGGGACATGGTTCATACAATGGTGTATTGAGATCAGTAGGGACATGGTTCATACTATGGTGTATCGAGAACAGTAGGGACATGGTTCATACAATGGTGTATTGAGAACAGTAGGGACATGGTTCATACTATGGTGTATCGAGAACAGTAGGGACATGGTTCATACTATGGTGTATTGAGAACAGTAGGGACATGGTTCATACTATGGTGTATTGAGAACAGTAGGGACATGGTTCATACAATGGTGTATTGAGAACAGTAGGGACATGGTTCATACTATGGTGTATCGAGATCAGTAGGGACATGGTTCATACTATGGTGTATCGAGAACAGTAGGGACATGGTTCATACTATGGTGTATTGAGATCAGTAGGGACATGGTTCATACAATGGTGTATCGAGAACAGTAGGGACATGGTTCATACTATGGTGTATCGAGAACAGTAGGGACATGGTTCATACTATGGTGTATCGAGAACAGTAGGGACATGGTTCATACTATGGTGTATCGAGAACAGTAGGGACATGGTTCATACAATGGTGTATCGAGAACAGTAGGGACATGGTTCATACTATGGTGTATCGAGAATAGTAGGGACATGGTTAATACAATGGTGTATCGAGAACGATAGGGACATGGTTCATACCATGGTGTATCGAGAATAGTAGGGACATGGTTCATACAATGGTGTATCGAGAACAGTAGGGACATGGTTCATACTATGGTGTATTGAGAACAGTAGGGACATGTTTCATACGATATGGTGTATACCATGGTGTATTGAATCAGTAGGGACATGGTTCATACTATGGTGTATCGAGAATAGTAGGGACATGGTTAATACAATGGTGTATTGAGAACGATAGGGACATGGTTCATACCATGGTGTATTGAGAACAGTAGGGACATGGTTCATACCATGGTGTATCGAGAACAGTAGGGACATGGTTCATACCATGGTGTATCGAGAACAGTAGGGACATGGTTCATACAATGGTGTATCGAGAACAGTAAGGACATGGTTCATACTATGCTGTATCGAGAACAGTAGGGACATGGTTCATACAATGGTGTATCGAGAACGATAGGGACATGGTTCATACCATGCCGTATTGAGAACAGTAGGGACATGGTTCATACTATGGTGTATCGAGAACGATAGGGACATGGTTCATACAATGGTGTATCTAGAACAGTAGGGACATGGTTCATACTATGGTGTATTGAGATCAGTAGGGACATGGTTCATACTATGGTGTATTGAGATCAGTAGGGACATGGTTCATACTATGGTGTATCGAGAACAGTAGGGACATGGTTCACACTGTGGTGTATTGAGAACAGTAGGGACATGGTTCATACCATGCTGTATCGAGAACAGTAGGGACATGGTTCACACTGTGGTGTATTGAGAACAGCAGGGACATGGTTCATACTATGGTGTATTGAGAACAGTAGGGACATGGTTCATACCATGCTGTATTGAGAACAGTAGGGACATGGTTTATTATTTATACTATGGCGTATCGAGAACAGTAGGGACATGGTTTATTATTTATACAATGGTGTATCGAGAACAGTAGGGACATGGTTCATACCATGCTGTATTGAGAACAGTAGGGACATGGTTTATTATTTATACTATGGCGTATCGAGAACAGTAGGGACATGGTTTATTATTTATACAATGGTGTATCGAGAACAGTAGGGACATGGTTCATACCATGCTGTATTGAGAACAGTAGGGACATGGTTTATTATTTATACTATGGCGTATCGAGAACAGTAGGGACATGGTTTATTATTTATACAATGGTGTATCGAGAACAGTAGGGACATGGTTCATACCATGCTGTATTGAGAACAGTAGGGACATGGTTCATACTATGGTGTATCTAGAACAGTAGGGACATGGTTCATACTATGGTGTATCTAGAACAGTAGGGACATGGTTCATACTATGGTGTATTGAGATCAGTAGGGACATGGTTCATACTATGGTGTATTCGAGAACAGTAGGGACATGGTTCATACTATGGTGTATCGAGAACAGTAGGGACATGGTTCATACTATGGTGTATTGAGAACAGTAGGGACATGGTTCATACTATGGTGTATTGAGAACAGTAGGGACATGGTTCATACAGTACCATGGTGTATGAGAACAGTAGGGACATGGTTCATACTATGGTGTATTCGAGAACAGTAGGGACATGGTTCATACTATGGTGTATCGAGAACAGTAGGACATGGTTTATTGTATCGAGAACAGTAGGGACATGGTTATGCATCGAGAACAGTAGGGACATGGTTCATACTATGGTGTATCGAGAACAGTAGGACATGGTTCATACTATGGTGTATTGAGAACAGTAGTAGGGTGTTAATACAATGGTGTCGAGAACATAGGGACATGGTTCATACTATGGTGTATTGAGAACAGTAGGGACATGGTTCATACTATGGTGTATTGAGAACAGTAGGGACATGGTTCATACAATGGTATATCGAGAACAGTAGGGACATGGTTCATACAATGGTGTATCGAGAACAGTAGGGACATGGTTCATACTATGGTGTATTGAGAACAGTAGGACATGGTTAATACTAATGGTGTATCGAGAACAGTAGGGACATGGTTCATACTATGGTGTATCGAGAACAGTAGGGACATGGTTCATACCATGGTGTATTGCATCGAGAACAGTAGGGACATGGTTCATACAATGGTGTATCGAGAACAGTAGGGACATGGTTCATACAATGGTGTACATTGAGAACGATAGGGACATGGTTCATGCTATGTTTCAGTATTGGAGAAGAGGACATGGTTCATGCTATGTTTCATTGAGAAGATAGGGACATGGTTCATGCTATGGTTTCATCCAGAAAAGAGGGGCATGGTTCATACTATGGTGTCATTGAGAAGAGTAGGGGCATGGTTCATGCTATGTTTCATCGAGAAAAGAAGGCATGGTTCATACTATGGTGTACATTGAGAAGAGGGCATGGTTCATGCTATGTTTGTATTGAGAAGAGGGGCATGGTTCATGCTATGTTTCATTGAGAAGATAGGGGCATGGTTCATGCTATGTTTCATGGAGAAGAACTGGGACATGGTTCATGCTATGATTTCATACAGGAGAACAGGGCATGGTTCATGCCATGTTTCATTGAGAAGAGGGGCATGGTTCATGCTATGTTTCGTTGAGAAGAGGGGCATGGTTCATGCTATGTTTCATCTAGAAAAGAAGGATTCAGTTCATACTATGTTACATTGAGAAGAGGGGCATGGTTCATGCCAAGTTTCATTGAGAAGAGGGGCATGGTTCATGCTATGTTTCAATCATAGAACAGAACAGTGACACGATTCATTTTTCAGAATGAATGGTATGTGGAAATATTGTCTGTGACACTGTGAAACAAGTCATTATATTAAAATAGGGATTTTTTCAAAGTTCCAATAGATATATCAATATAGTAACTGTAAAGTACATTATTTATAAACTTCCACCAGGTACAAAGTCACATCTTTCTTGGTACCCATTCTACAACCAGTAACTGTCTCCCCCTTGTCAAGATTCAGGGTAAGTAATGGTCCTCTGCATCCCCAGCTCTCTTCAAGAGCGGACTGACTGTCTCTGGTGATCAGACTCAACCGATTGTATTTCTTAGACTGGATCCCAATGGGCTGCTCCAGAATTGAATTTTGTCAGGTGAGGTGAGGTGAAATTGGGTTTAACGTCGCACTTATGAATATTACGCTCATATGACGATGTGCATGCGTGTGTATGTGTGGCTGCTTGTACTAGTCCAGACTGAAGCTGGTTTTATAGTGCTAGCTCACTGAGATACCATGCCGCAGTAAAGCATGAATACCCCACTCAGATACATTATACTGACTCCGAGCCAAACAGTCCTTGTTGTACCCATTAATGCCGACAGCCAGGCAGGGACCAACAAGTACCATATTTTAACATCTTTTGGTACGACGCGGCCTGGGATCGAACCCGCGACCTTCCACTCTCCGGGCAGATGCTCTAACTACTACACCGCGGAGGCGGTCAAATTTGTCAGAGTGCAGTCATATAGCGAAGAGTGGAATAAAAAAGACAACATAAACAGAGTGAACATGTGACTGTGTACCTCGGCATCAGTGACAACATCAACTTCTCCAGTCAGGTCAGGGAAGTTGTTGGCCATGTTGAAACTGCAAAAATATTCATACATAAATTTATATAATCTTTAAAAGATACAAAAAAAACATGTACTGGGAAACTGTTTCAAGTCTTACATGGTGACAGTCAACTCCTGATATACTGTACAATATCATGGCAGTAATTGTTGATTGTAAACTTTTCCAATACAAGTTCATGAGTCTTAGATAGGGCTGGGATGATACACTATGTCACGATACGATACGCATCGCATCGTAATATTTTACCTGCGAATCGTGCGATACGATATGTATCACAATACACACACCTTAAGAGAATGACACAGTTTTAACATTTAAAAAGGTTAATTTCAAGGTATTTGTGTATAACAATAACACTATTGTAGTAAACAAACAGGTAACTCTATCATACTTGCGTATTTGTCTCTACATAAGTACTTTAACATGTTTAAGATAATACTGTATTGTGATGCATCGGTGAATCGTCCCAGCCCTAGTCTTGGAGAGTGAGCCGGGTTTAACGCCACTTTGACTAGTAGTATTCCTGTTATATCACAACGTGTCAGATGAATGTGGGAAGGTAGGTTGAGATGACACAGGTTTACAACGTTTACAGCTTTGGTGAAATCCAAGTATTGGGTATACTGCCGACAAACTTGGAAACACAGCTGTGCTGAACAGAGAATTGAACCACAATCACAGGTTTCTGGTGTGACAAAGAGAGACAACTCTGCATAGCCGTTGTGGCATCTCAGTCAACTTGTCCTATTGTGCTTCCTCATGAGTTTGGGACAGAGTTCAACATTATTAATGTACAATGAAACCTTGATAATTTAGAACACTTAGGTTCACTTATCATGTTTGTTTGGAGCTAAACGCCACACAAATAGTAGACACAAATAGTCAACAGATAAAACACATCTTGAACAAGTATGTTGGAGTAACTTCAGTTACCATAAAGGGGACTCAATAAATAGTTAAAAGGACATTACGTCGAAACTATGTACCCATGACTTATTCATTCAAAAAACATGTCAACCCAATGACTCAGACTTGTCAGTATTGAGGGTTTTAAAAATTCAACTCAGAATAATATTTAATGATTAAATTTGACAAACGTTGGAGTTGAAGTATATGAATATCCGACTTACCTTGAAAACTCAGGATGTTCACGTTTTCGCGGAAAGTCTCTGAAAAACTGTTCTAGGACGGAACTGCTTCGGAGCCAGTTTGAGGGTGGGACATTGAGATTGGTGTTGAGTTGTAGTCTTGAGAATGTTGGGGATGTGGCCACACTGGTATACTTTACCACGGCGGTAGAGCGGACATCTGGGCCCATCGCTTTGGGAACAACCTCCTGCAACATTATTGATCAATTGATGAAAATATACAGAATCATGATGTGACTACTCTGAATCATGCTGTCCATTAAGGTTGTAAACAATTAAGTATCCATAAACAATTTTCCATGCGTTTGTTGTGTACGTGTACTGTTCTGGAGCATTGTTTTCATACAACAGTTGATACCAAAACAATAGTTGGCTCTGCTTGACTTATTCAGTAAAGGGAGTTTCAGCAACATTTTATTCACACGAACAAAGCTTTTATATTGTGCTCTAAGCCGTAATCTAGGCCTGTTTATCTATATTTCAGAGTAAAGGTACAAAATAAAAGTCTGGTCACATGGAGCAGAAACCTCTCTCAAGGAATAAGGCTAGCTGAGTGAATAAACTTGGTGTTATTGACTATTGTTTACAAACAATGATTCGTAAAGCCCTGTCAATGTACAGTCCCTTTAATCAATGCTGCTTCAGGCATATTGAGCCGTAATCAAATTATATCACTGTATGTCAGTTCGGGATGAAATCCCAAAGTGATGCAGCCATTGCACTATTTGCAGGTTTGTGAAACCAATGATGTGAAACCGCCTTTGTGAAACCCATGATCTCAGGTGTGATACTAACAAACAGACAAACATAAACAATCAGATTTTTAGCGTTCTCGTTGGAAACATTTACCAGCGATAATTGTTTGTTAATTTCTAGTTAAATTGGATACGACTTCGATTGACGTACAATATTTTTTACATGCGTTTTGCATAAATGTCGATGCCCAAGCAAGAACTGTCAAATTAATTATTTTTTGAATATATACAAGAATAACCTTAGACGATCCTGGCGTCGACATTTTCGAATTGGGTGCCTTTTTAATTTTACAACTCGTTGCTCTCCGGATCTGCAAAATACATATCACAGGCCGTTGTTTGCAGTTCTGTGATCGTTCCAAAAATCTCGCGCTTTCTGGGTCTTTCTACATGTGGGGAAACCGGAAGTAAATAAGAGCTCGGCGCTCAAACTCCTTTCAGCGTAGATGAAAACAAGCAGCGCTTAAAGTTTGTGAGTTAAACTACCGAAAAGTGCAAATGCCGGTGGTGAAATATATAACAGTGATGTGTTCGATTTTAAAACTCTGCACCACCACGGTATAACCCAGGCTGACATTTATTGACAGATGTAAACAGATTTAAGCTATAATAGGGTGACCGAAGTTATCCCATTTTAACTGAACTGAACGGATTCGGGAGCCTTCTCTATCAGCAGCCTCCAAGTGACAATCTTCATTAAGGCTGTTAAGGGTTATCCGGGGTAATAATGTGCTGTGCCTTGATTGTTAGCGCTATGAGCATACCTAGTGTGGAGTTTGGCACTATACAAATGGAGACATTATTATTATTATATCCTATCCTATCCTAGATCGATGCTCATAATGTCAATCACTGGATTGTTTTGGTCCAGACTCGATTATTTGCAGACCGCCGTCATACAGCTGGAATATTGCTGAGTGCGGCGTTAAACAACAAACCAACAAAATTAAAAAAGATGTCAGCTTGATCTTTCATCTTATTAAAAAAATATTTCCGTTGAAGCGTAACATGTTTGGTCCGCAGAATGAGAATCAATTCCATTGATTTAGGCATTTTGTGATCCAAGTAATAAGCAGTATAAACCTTAATTATATCACGGTTGTTAACGCTCGTTTATCCTTGTTTACCCTAGGTTTCATTACTTGTTAGATGCGTTTCATAGTTCGGTTATCTCCCAATTGACAGACACCCATTTGACAGACACCCAATTGACAGACACTGAACTAGAAGCTTAATTAGGGTAACACCTACGGGTATAATGGAACAGTCCACTGTCTAGTGAGTAGAGCAGGGTGAGCCTGAAACAGGTTCGTTACTGAGAAGTTTGATTGTAGGTAAATAGAACTTTGTTGTGATTAAATGATAAAATGATTTCTCTTCTCAAAATTTAGTTTACTACTTATTACTATCGAATATAAAAACAGGTTTGTCACTGAGAGGTTTGATTGTGTTTATTGATAGAAAAGCCCCCTCCCAATAATAGCATATGTACAAACAGAAGTTAACTGTGAAAACGTTTTGTTGGAGAGGTATAGATAGATATGAACATGTTTGAAAACATTCTGATTTGCAGTAAATGAGACACCTGCATTGCCATGTAAGATACGATTAATACCAATCAGTGTTCTAATTTTAACGATACTTTCTAAAGATTGTAACAGTTTATGTCTTTGAGTAGTATACAATGGTCATTCAAGGAGGTAATGGCCACATTGACATGATGCTTCATATTTTGAATATTTATTCTAAATAAATCGTAATTAAGTGCACTCGTCATATATCTTAATATTGTGTGCAAAACATATAACGTCTTTATTCCATATGGATAATATTTAGGTTCACATTTGTCTTTATTTGATTTATATGATACAACAGTGTCGCAATTCCTAACAGCTAAGCTAATGTTTTCAATATGATGATGCCGACTCCCGTTAGACTAGAAGGTTAAACAGAAATGTTTATGAAAACAAACTGTTTTTATATTGCAGCAATGGAAATTCAAATTACTGTCTTTTCGTCCATCTTTCAAAATATATAATACAGCTTCAGTTTGTTCCTGTGTTTTTTGTTTGGACTATTCCATCATAATGTGTAGGTAACAGGTAGTAGATAATCTGTTCACTGAACCGTAAATGTTGTTGTTTTAATGTGTCTGCGAACTGGCTGTCTGCGTAATGGGTGGTAGTGGTGGAATTGGGTTTAACGTCGTGCTTGAGAATATTTCGCTCATTATTTGTATGTGCGGCTGCTTGTACTAGCCCAGACTGAAGCTGGTTTTATAGTGCTAGCCCACTGAGATACCATGCCGCAGTGAAGCATGAATAACCCACTCAGACACAGTATACTGACTCCGAGCCGACCAGTCCTTGTTGTACCCATTAATGCCGAGCGCCAGGCAGGGACCAACAAGTACCATATTTTAACGTCTTTTGGTATGACGCGGTCGGGGATCGAACCCGCGACCTTCCGCACTCCGGACGGGCGCTCTAACCACTACACCACGGAGGCGGTCCTGCGTAAGGGGAGGACACAGATAGTTCCCCGAAGTGGATCTTTGGCCACAAAATGGATCTCTGGATTATGAAGAACGTATCTTGTCTATATTTACATGTCTATATTCGTCATAAGCTGGAAAGTTGTTGAGTGGTGCGTGGCATTTTAGTCAATGAAACACAACTAGTTTTAAATCAATAAGATTTCCTATCCTGACCTCAAGTAATATATAATTATAACGTCTAGCCAGGATGCCACGTCACGTGACGATTGAGCGTCTGATTTAACACTCACTAATCAATTTCAGTGAGCGAGTATGTTTTTACTCCGCTCTAGCGATATTCCAGCAATATCACGGCGGGGGCTTCGCACACTGAACCTAGGTCCTAGGCGTGATGGACGAATACTTAAACCACTAAGCTACTCCACCGCCCCTAATCAATTTTAGTGTATGCATGTCCCTTTTCCGCTGTTCTGTGTTTAAACATCCTATTTTATTTGTTTGAAAAAGGTTACATCATTTACATTCCTGATTTCCTAGTCAAATCTTGGAAAAAGTTTTCAGTTTCATATGTTTTGTTTAATAAACTCTGAGAGTCAAATGAAATCTGATGTTTTTACTTGTATGAAGAATCGAATTGAAAATTATCCAATCGAGGGTCCAATATCGAAAATCGAATCGTTGCAGCCCTGGTATCTGCCTCTGTCAGTGATGACAGTGTTGATGTCTCTGTGTGTATAGTGGGTGAGTGAATTTAGTTTTACGCTACACTCAGCAATATTCCAACTATATGGCGGCGGTCTGTAAATAATCAAGTCTCGACCAGACAATCATCCAGTGATCAACAGCATGAGCATCGGTGTGCGCAATTGGGAACCGATCTGTGTGTGTGTAATAGTGTTAGCGTTAATGTCAGTGTGTGTGTAAGTTTGTGAGTCAATGTATATCTCTGTGCGTCACGTGTGTGTGTGTACGTGTGTGTGTGTGTGTGTGTACTTTACACAGTTTCCCTGTTTATGTCTCTTGTTCTTAACATCAGGTTACACACAAACACGTCCAAAACGCATCCCACCCTCTCACCCCCACCCCACAACTACATATACCCGACACGCCCAAGGACGTTGTGTAATATCTACCCCAAACTCTGCAAGTCACGGTGTGAGTAATGCAACACTCGATACGGGTGGGACACTCTGACCATTGACATTTTAATGTCTTAAGCCCCAGAACGACTGTGGGCTGAATGGAATTCTAACAACGTCACTTACACAATGTACACCCACGTGGAAGTATTGTTCAGCCAGTGTGATACAAAAGCACAAATGCAATCTTCCCTCAAGAAGTCCTTTGTTGTAAAGGGTTTAGCGTTGCTTATTGTCCGTTAAAAAGCATCGAACATGTATCTAATAGATACCTTATTCACTGGAAACAGGATGTGGGGGACGGCAAACAATGTTAGCTCCCCTTTTAAAGCAATCGATTTTGTAGCACATTTTCGATGTGAGCTATTCATAGATTGATGTTTTTTTCCGTGTCTCAACGTCGGGTCATGGACAACGGTAATGGAACGATAGTACAACACAAGTCGTGAGTACCATTCCCACTAGTCAATACCCGGCAGACAATGGACAAGATTACTGACAATTACATAGCACAATATGTAGTGTTTGTTGCGAAACGCCGCATTCGGCAACTTGTTGTTTGCCCTGGTTGTGTTTCTAGGCTTGTCGTTCTGCACCATTCCGTAGCGAGTGGGAGCGGTGGGGTAGCCTCGTGGTTAAAGCGTTCGCTCGTCACGCCGAAGACCCGGGTTCGATTCCCTACATGGGTACAATGTGTGAAGCCTATTTCTGGTGTTCCCCGCGTGATATTGCTGGAATATTGATAAATCCGGCGTAAAACCATATTCACTGACTACAACTTGTAATGTACAGTATACTGGATTGTGGCGGTCGTATACAAGTGATCAACGGGTGTACATTCAACAGAGGCAATGCGGTACGCTAGAACGACACGTCGGCAATTTCGTGTCTCTTGCCACACGCCTGAGTGCCACACGCCGCTTTTAGCAATATTCCAGCAATATCACGGCGAGGGACAGTTGTGGGGCGGTATGGGCTTCACACGGGTTGTACCCATGTACAATCAGCGCCATTTCTGGTGTCCCTCACTGCGTGATGTTCAATATTGCTAAAAGCGGCGTAAAACCAAACTCAGTCAGTCAGTCAAACAGTTGTAAAATATGTCACCATACAGGTAGCAGAATAGAAATATACTGCAATACAATATATTAGCCGATACACAGCCCTACAATACGCCAGAGTTCAGTAGGTGCAAGCAGTGTGCAGTGTGAGAGTGAGCGAGTGAGTAAGCTGGGTTTTACGCCGTTTGTAGCAATATTCTAGCAATATCACGGCGGAGGATACCAGAAATGGGCTTCACACATTGTACCCATGTGGAGAACACACATTGTACCCATGTGGAGAATCGAACCCGAGCCTTCGGTGTGACGAGCGACGCTTTAACCACTAGGCTACCCCGCCGCCCCCACACGCCAGAGAGAGATGATAGTGTTATGGCAGGGACTACTTGATCATCGGATACATAATATTATTCAGAAAGAAATCTCATATTGTTTTAAAAATATGAAAGCAACGAGAAAATCTAAGACAGATCGTGACGAAAAACGATACAGGAATGACCACCTGACTATTTGTATTGTTAGACAATGATCAATAATATTCGTCATCAAGGAATCTTAATACATTCTTCAAAAAAAAGAAAAGAAACGCATAAGCCATTTTTAAAAGAATTTATTGCTTTAGTTTAAGAGGAATTATTTCATGTAATTTCAATAGTAAAACGGCTTAAAGCTCTCGAGCACAGCAGCAGTCCTAATTGTTGTGTTTCTG